GCTAAGTAGTGCTGTCATCTCTTCACAGACTTGCACAGTTAAAGCCCGTGAGCCTGAGTATAGTTACATACTTACCTGGTGTGTCGATAGACTAGCCCTGTATGGGTCCTAAATCGACCAAGGCATGACGTGACCATGTACAGATCCGATATAATTCCGAAAAGCTAGAAACACAGGGTTCCATCACCTTAGTGTTTCTAGGAAGAAAATGCTGGAAATTGTCTAGACCGTTAAAAATCCTCTAAAATCGCTAACAGCATACCAACGCGCCAGTTAGGTAAACCTAATTTTGGAATTGAATTAGAAACCAAAAGTCCCTTCGTCTATCTATAAATTGATTACTTTAGAGTAGCAGGTAGGCTGGTCTTGGCCTTTCCCGCTGCCAAATCCACAGCCTTGCGCAGTTCATTTTTCTTGATTTTCCCGAGGTAGGCGAACAGGACGATAAAAAGAAGCTCCATCCTTTGCGATAGTTAGTACAGGCAAATGCGAATTTAGACACAGAACACCTACCTCTCCTTAGTCATCATAAGCAGACCCTGGACCAAAAGACCCTTCAAGATCTGAGGTCCAATGCCCTTGAAGAGGGAAAACAAGCCCTCATTATCAACAATGTGCTTCATGACTTCACCAAAGGTCTTGAAGGGCTTGCCGTTTCGGCTGGGTGGTGGGCGAGACTGCAGTCCAACCTTAGCGACGATCAGAGGCTGGGTTACGATCGTGGCCAAAGCCTTGGACATGGCACCAAGGACTAAAGCAAAGATCAGCAAGCTATAGTTGACTCCAAGAATGGCTACTACTCACGGAATGCCTCCCAGGGTTTGAGATTGTTTTTCCCCGGGAAGAGAACTTCCTTCAGGCGCTGGTATGCGCCATAGGTGATGGCCGGGTTAACGACCAGGATCAAGCTGGCCTTCAGGCCACGCCACAGGCCGGTCCAGCCGTCCTCGCTCTCGACCACCTCCCGGCCCGTCTCAATCAACCCCTTCTTCTCGCCCTTCGGCTGTGTCTGCTGTCGGGTCGTGACAACGGCCACCGGGATGGTGAAAATCTGAGCCACGGCACCAGAGACAGCACCTAGCGAGAGCTCAATAGCTGTGCCGGGAGCCTGTCTCGACTTGGCAGAAGCCATATAGAGCGTTCTTACGACGCTGTACCAGTAGAAGTATGCGAAGTTTGTTGAGGCAACACCTAGAAGGGCTCCAGCCATTCCGGAGTATAGACCACTATAGCCTTCCTTCTCTGAGATCTTGGTGATAGCATCCATCGTCGATTTATAATGTTCGAGGTCGTCAGCTCGCTCGGGTCCGTTCTTCTCCTTGACTTGTACTTGTAGTTTTGTCTTGACTCTACAGATTGGGAGCGATACAGTCAGCGTGGTTCGATCTGATAATTCAAGTGTTGTTATATATGGGACCTCACAAGTCAAGTGGGTACACCAGAGCGTTCGCAAGGACGGCCCCTGTCGCGCCTGCCACGGCGCTGCCCCATGGTGACAGCACAGGTTTAGATTGTCCGGCCATGTTGTTAGTTCAAAGTATTCGAGATCAAGGCAATGCAGCAAATAAGGATATGATCTAGGAAGAGGGTTCGCTTCTTTTAGCGGCCGGGCGACAGGAGAAATATTGAGCGGGGCTCTACACTGCTTGGCTTTGAAAAACGGACAGAATGAACTGGAAGAGAGAGCACAACTGGAAAATGTACACAGACGATGTCCTAATCAAAGCCACCTGAACACCAAAACAAATGACCGAGCCCATGAGCCGGAGTTCACAAATGCACCTCGGCGTTCTCACCTTAAATCGAGCCGAGGTCCACTTTGGTGATAGGTGGTGAGTTTATGAGCTTATGTCATGCCTCCCATTAACTAGTTACCCCCTTTTTTTAGTATCTAGCACTTTGTATGTTGTCTACAACAATCATCATCTCAATCTCTATGTTGTACATATGCAAGTCCCGGAATATTCACCGGAATTTATAATGCAGGGAGTGGTCCTCTCTCGGCTCAGCCGAATCCGGTGATTTGCTTGCTGCTCAATCTGATTACATCGTACTCCACAACTACCGGTCAACATGATCATGTCTAAACCTACATCCACGCAGTCCTGTCTATCTCAAGCTTTGGTATGAAATTCTTTTTAACTTGCACATACTGCTAAATGAATAAAGCTAATGACCAGGCAGAGCGCTGAAGAGGCGGTAGCTGCAGCGACCTCCAAGAAAGCGGCATTGGAAGCAGCCATCAATGCCGCGGAGCTTTACATGAAAGCGTTGCGCCTGGCGCCTGCCGGTGATAAAAGACAACTCGACACAAAATGCAAGGAATTGCTGTCCAAAGCCGAGAAGATCAAGACCGCTGCCGACTGGCAGTCGGCTGCTCGTGCGGGGCCCCAGCAATCATTCCCTAGCCTACGGCCGCCCGCATCCAGGCGGAAGCTCACCACCCGTGAAGAAATCATCATCCTTGAAGGCGCCAAACTCAACGGCTATATCTTTCCACCATGGAGTCGTGCACCCCTTCAGGATGAATTTGAACACAAAGCGCAGCCTTTTACGTATGTGGAAAATGTGGCCTGATGCTAATTTTCTTGTTCTAAACGTGTATAGGGATGTGCCTGATTTGCACCTATCTGAATACCAAAGAGAAATTTTCGCAGGCTGGAAACGGCCGCATGATCTACTACGGACAAAGAATGCGGCTAATAAGACACATAATGCAATCGATCCAGCTATGGCGACTTCAAGACAATCTGATCTCGTGCAAGATGTCTTGACGGATTGTTCGGTGGTCGCAAGTCTCTGCGCCACAACTTCTCGATCGGAACGAGGTCTAGGGCAGGTATGGGCTAATTTGATCCTATGTCGAACAGTCCTCAAAGCTAATTTGAACAGCATGCATCGCCGATACTCTACCCATGCACTGTAGACAAGAACCCGTTACTTTCGCATTCTGGGAAGTACATTTTTCGCTTGTACTTCAACGGATCTTTTCGAAAGGTAGTGATAGATGATCGTTTGCCATCGTCGAAGACAACACGCTCACTCCACGTGATCGATCGCAACAATTTGAATTTCTTGTGGCCTGCTCTTGTGGAGAAGGCCTACTTGAAGGTTCGCGGAGGCTATGATTTCCCTGGAAGTAACTCGGGGACCGACCTTTGGGTACTTACTGGTTGGATCCCGGAACAAGTCTTTTTACATCATGACGATTCAACCTCGGATGAGATCTGGGGACGTTTATACAGTGCCTTCCGGCATGGCGATGTAGTTTTGACCATCGGCACTGGGAAATTGACAGAACGGGAACAACATGGCCTGGGGCTAGTTGGTGAACATGATTACGCTATCCTGGAATTAAAGGAAGTCCAGGGTCGTCGTCAATTTCTTTTGAAGAACCCGTGGGCTGGTGCAGAACCTAATGTACAAAGCAGTCTTACGGATGATATCGGCTCGGTCGGCCTGAATGATAAACCTCACCTTTCCCCAGGGACATTTTGGATGGACTGTGAACAAGTTCTACAAAATTTCGAGAATCTTTACCTTAACTGGAATCCTGGTTTATTCAGATACCGCGAGGACATCCACTTCACTTGGGATCTGTCGCATGGTCGAGTTATCGCTGGCTGTTTCGTGAAGAACCCCCAGTTCTCCATCTCTAGTTGTGCAGGAGGAACGGTCTGGCTACTGCTCGGGAAGCATTTTACGACAGACCACCAACAGTTCAGTTCTGGAGGAACGAAAAATGAGACAGGGTTTATCAGCATCTACATTTTTCGAGCAGATGGCCGAAGAGTGTCTCTCAGTGATGGGGCGCTCCATCGAGGACCATACGTGGACTCCCCTAACACTCTTATGAGGCTGGAAATGCCTCCCAAGTCAACCTACACCGCAGTGGTCTCGGAGCAATCACTCCCATCATCCGCCCGGAATTTCACACTCTCTGCATTTTCAACCGCCCCTGTGGTCGTGGCACCCTCGCTAGATAAGTATCTATGTTTGACCAAGGCAAGTGGTTCCTGGACAGCAATGACAGCGGGTGGGAATGCCGAGTCACCTCGATACCACTCCAATCCTCAATTCAGCATACGGATCTCCGAACCAACAGACGTCTCGATATTGCTTGAGACTACTGAAGCAGAGCTAGCGACCCACGTGAAAATTTTCTGGTCAAACGGGCAGCGCATATCGCGCGTGCGAAGCCGAGACATCATTGCTGACAGTGGCGATTACCGTCGCGGATGCGCACTGGCTGAGACCAGATCCCTGGACAAAGGCACTTACACCATCGTCTGTTCCACATTTGCCCCCGACCAGCTTGGCAGCTTTATGTTATGGGTTTCATCCACAATCCCGTGTGTAGTCCAGCCCTTGGTCTCGGAGTCTGCTGGGCGGCGCACTGTCCTGTCCGAAGTGGGTGTTTTGTCTCCAGGCAAGGATCGGATGCTGGCCTCGCTGCGGGTATCTCGTTTGACACGGGTCCGACTTATTGCGAGGAACAAGCGGTCCACGACCGGCTCTCGCCCTGTTGCTCCGTCCCCCGTGCTGATGACCGTGGAGCTGGGCCAAGGGCCATACAAAGAGACATTGGCCACCTCGGAGGATGGAACTCACAGCGATGCCGTGTCCGGGGTACGAGTTGATGATTTCGATTTGCTACCCAGTACTGAGTCACGCTATGTATGGATTGTTATTGAGCGCATTGGGGGTCCAGGAGGGCAGGTGGAGGATCATTTCGAAGTAGAAGCATTGGCGGAGGAGAGAGTGGAGATTGGAAAGTGGGCAATTGAAGATGAATGATACCCAGTACAGCCGGAAAGAAATACATAGTTCATACTATGAAATAGTTTGCAGTTTCATAGATTTCCAAATCGTTCGAGGAAGACTGAAAGATGAGAACCGATACCTCGGCCCCGCACACGGGCGGTGGGAACTCCGCGAGCGCCAAACGTCATTTGTTCACCACATGCATCTTCTCCTCAACACAACAAACATCCTGAACTATGGCGAGTAACATACCAGCTGGACTCCGATCGGTAGACCTTGGGCGATTTGCAATCAGGGCAGCTCAAATCGAGAAGGCCAAACCTGTGGTTGCCTACTGGTGTGAGTCGGAGAACCCCGCGCATAGCGCAACTGAACATTGGAGCTGATTGAGCCTCAATTCTGTAGGCAATTTCCATATTGTAAACCAGATTATCGAAAGGGGTCTTCACAATTCCGATGACGAGATCAAACTCTACACAACAAACCTCGTGGAAAAGCTGGAGCAGGTGAGTTGGTCTCCCTACCTTCGTTCCCTTCCTGCTGGTCTACACTCCGCATCGCGCGCTTGAGAGCTAGCTAGCAGCTGATATCATTGGCCTGAAATAGTTCAAAATAGAAAATCCAGACAATGATACAGTGACAGACACTGTTGCGGCGAGCGCCTATGTCGAACAATTTGGATTGGAGGTCTTCGGCCGTGCAGAGGCCGCTATGAACGCCAACAAAGTTACAAAGTGAGCTCTCCAAGAGGTGCTTTGAGCTAGAAATGACTAATAATCTAAAAAGGCAAACGGCAGATACTTTCCAGGCTGCGGCCACTTTTCTTGAGCTTTGTTCGATCTGGGGGCCCATGGATCCAGAACTTGCTGGACGGATCAAATTCGCCAAATTTCACGCAGTCCGTATCGTTAAGGCTTTCAAAGCCGGCGAAAATCCTAACGCGACTAATCCCACGCCAAAGCAGGAAGAAGAACTTGTCGACGACCCCGACGTTCAGGCATTTGATGAGTCGGTAGCAGAGCAGGCCTCCAAGCCAAGACAAGCCTCTATCGAAGAGATCCCAGACGAGTCCGACCGTTTTGGACGAGAGCTGGCTCAGCTTTCGACTCTCGATGAATCGTTTCATCCATCACGCACATCCTCAACACCTCATACCCCGCCCAAGATCCCTTCTGTTCCTCGCAACGCACCTGGTTTTCCCCCGCAACCAATGGATGATGATTCAATCACGGGCGGCTTAGAGCTTCCATCAACTCCAGCGACCATTGGCGGGTTGTCCTCAGCACCTAAGCTTCCAGATACCCCGACTGCATTTCAGTCCTTCCCTCCGCCATCTGAGGATATGTCCATCTCCACGCCAGACCAGGCCTCTTTCTATGATACCCCAAGTGCTAGTGCACCCATCCAGCCTCCAGTTGCTACGACACTTGCTCCATCCCCAGCTGCCCACGCTCCGGTTGCATCGGCTCCCTATGTTCCGTCTCAGCCATCACACGGATTAGACGACAACGCTGTGCAGTTGGCGCAGAAGCACGCTCGTTGGGCGGTCTCTGCTTTGACTTTTGACGATGTCGATACCGCTATCAAGGAACTCAGAAACTCGCTGAAGTGTCTAGGCGCATCATGATTCTATAGTCTTGTCTGATCTCACCTTTGCTGACTCTTCTCTTTGCTAGAGCACCATGAATACACCTTGCTTTAGCTATTGTGAAATTAATTGGCCTTGACAAGTGCGAAACTTCCGTGTTCAATTTGGTCCATCTCATATTCAATTATCTCGAGTTTCCATCTGTGGTTCCGCTAGAAAATTTCTTTGCGAGGCAAAGTCTTATACCAATAATTTAGGGCCCGATTTTCACCTGAAGCATCGCCACGACTCGTCCATTCGTCATCATGCCTTGCAAAATCTGGTAGGCTTATGTAGTAGTGTTGACCAATTTCTAAGTTCTAGCCACTGGTAGACCCGCTAAATGAGATTGTGTTTGACCGGAACCCGGATCTGGCACCTAGCTTGCTAGCACCCAGGCCCCCGACACACAATCACTACTAGTACCTGGTGAAAGGGCCTATACCAATACGATACGCGAGATCTTGCTACTTCAGAGGTAGGGCTGAATATGAAGGAGGTATTTGTAGGTGGATTGGCCTACTGTGGTTTCGGAGAATTCATTCAGAGACCCGCTTCCATCAAGAAAATCAATGTCATCACGTGGCAGAAAGAGGCACGGTACCAAGATCGGCTCCACTTTCCGACTCCACCGTTCCAAGATTCAAAGACCAAGAGGTCGGAGTGTGGAATTTGCTCCGTGGTTGGATCACTAAGAAATGTCCGAACAATAACCCTAAAATCAAGGTAGATCTGAATATCTTCTTCTGGCATACTACACCCAGTTTCCTGCATACGTTTTTACATCAAAAGCCGAAAAGTCCAAATGGGAATTTCCCTGCACTCGCGTAGTCTGGTTCGAGATGTCGGTCCGTGCTTTGGTGCATTTGTTGGAAACCCTCGTCGGAATGCCTTTGACGTGACTTGATTGTGAATAGATAACCTTGTTTGCCAAGAAACAAGCGCTAGATAGCTCCCCCAAGCCATCCAGATGCTCTGACCCATGTACACCCTTCTGTCTACACCCTTAACCTATGACATGTCGAGTGAAAGACCATCATAGTCACTTTTTAGTAGAGATATACATGGATTGATAATCATGAGAACTGAGCTGTCTAACAAGCTCAGCCAGTCCCTTGAGCTGTGCAACCAATAACGAGCCGAGAACACACAGCCATACTTCATCTCATCGACCACTTGGACTTTTACAACAGACCACGAGATCTGCCTTTCAGTGTAGGAACTCCCGGCGTGGGATATAACCGGAAAGGCAGAGAGACTGTGTCACAGTGTTCCAGGATCTTCTTTTTGAAGAAAATCCACCAACATCTATCTGGCATCGTGACCGCTAATTTTGAGCTACCTTTTGTTCCATATGTTCATGTAAATGCCCTTGAAGGAAATTCGATAGAGTCGGGCATGGGCGAGCAAGAGCCGCCCACTCTCTTCTCTGAGTTTCTTCGATGTTTGATTGTGTGCCCACAAGATCGTCCTCCGCTCATCAACAAGTGCCCCGCCCTTGTCTATTCGTCCTTTCTAGATTGCATACAGGAGCCAGAGGCCCGTCCTCGTAGAGTTTCAATCCAACACTACGAATGGTTCATCTGAAGAACAGTACGTACGACTGCAATTTCAAATGGGAGTATTATCCCGAAATTGCTTCTAATAACTCCGTGTGGAACCTGTACACATTGAATGGCTCAACTCGCAATGTTGTAGTCATTTATTCAAGCCTTAGATGATGCCCAGCGGTTATTCTATGGAAAACATCTAGCATTGCAAAGGCCAAAACAAATCAAAAATGGATATCGAGCCAAATTAAGCATAGAAAAGGCTTAGCATCGCATCTATGGTTCGGGTGATCGGAAACCCAGTACCATGGGACCAACACAGCTGCATGGACTATACAAAGAGACATTGACTTGGTATCACATCGTATGACATGCGAAAAATGGACTTGAAGTAAAATGAGTGCAATTCGACTCCGTAATCATCACACTAATGCCACTAACACCCACTATCTTCTCTCCGACGTCACAGGGATATGTTGGTGTTTCCACCGTAACCCACTCGCTATTTAACGTCGTGGGCTTGGCAGGGGAGACGCGAATCCCGATTAATGCTTTTCGGGGGGGGGAGAGGGGAGGATTTTTTTCCCTTTTTCTTTCGATCTAATTATATTCTTCGGGTTCTTTCTGAGTCTCGGTTTCTTTTTAATTGTTCCCCTTTGCCCGTTTAGTCCATCCCCCTCCTCTCTCCCATCCTTCACCTTCCCCCCCCCCTTTCATTCTCCTGAACCTGCGGGGAGACCTTTATCGCTCACATTTAATATGGCTGACTCTAAAAAGCCCGCTGTTTTGATTGTTGGTGGTCTCGGTCTGTTTTCCTTTGTCTCAATAAAACTTTTATGCAACTGACATTCCCCGTCTTCAGGCTTCATTGGTCGACACCTCGCGCTATACATCCACGAAAACAATCTAGCCTCGGAAGTCCGTTTGGTAGACAAAGTTCTACCACAATTAGCCTGGTTGGCTCCAGAATTCGAAGAAGCATGCTCCAAGGAAAAGTTCGTCCAGGCAGACGCCAGCCGCGAACGTAAGTGACCCGGCCCCATTTTCCTCATCCCAAATCAAATTCTTTTCTAAACCCCGTTCTCCCAACAGAACATTTCCCGCGCATCTTCGACCGAGCCAATGGCGAACAATTCGACTACGTGATTAACTGCGGTGGCGAAACACGCCATTCCCAACCGGACGATGTCTACGAAGTGCGCAGCTACGCCCTCTCCCTCGCGCTCGCCAAGGAAATCGCCCGACGCGGTATCCCCGCCTTCGTCGAGACCTCCACCGCGCACGTGTACAAGGGCGGCTCAACGCCACGTAAGGAGACAGACAAACTCACCCCCTGGAACAAACTGGCCGCGTGGAAACTCAAGGCCGCGGAGGAATTGTGTAAAATTCCAAACTTGCAGTACTGCGCCTTACGTATGCCCCACGTCTACGGTGCTTACGACCCGGGCTACTTCGCGACCGGTATTTGTCTATCGGCCGTCCATGTCGATCTCAAGCAAGACCTGGTCTTAATGCATACCAAGGACTTAAAACTCAACACCCTGCACGTCAAGGATGCTGCGAGTGCGCTGTTCGAGGCTGCTAAGTGGCGTGCCGCGAAGGGGCTCATCGATCCCAAGGATGGCATTGTTGCCTTCAACGTTGTCGATCATAATGACACGAAACAGGAACACGTTGCTCAAGCCTTGACGGAGGTCTTTGGTCTCGATGTCACGTACATCGGGTCGCTTGCTTCGCAGCTTGCCAAGTTGAATCTGGACGATGTCCTGGATGATATGAATGAGGTCAGTCTGCAGACTTGGGCTGAACTCATCGAGAGAGCAAAAATCACGCGGCCTGGACCGATCAGTCCGTTCCTAGAACGTGACGCTGTCAAGGGTGACGATATGTCCATTGATGGCTCAAAGTTCGAGAATGAGACTGGCTGGAAGCCATTGTACCCGAACTTCGGGGCTGACAGCATCCGCGAAATCGTGGACAGCTACAAGCGTCTGGGCTGGTGGCCATGAGAGAAGATCCCACAATTTTCTCATCGTTATCTTTTGCTTTAATTTGTTGGTTTTCTTTTTGAAGATATCCCGTCCGTCGGTTATTTGACTCTTTTCTGTCTTTGTACATTTGTTTCCCCCCCAATGTTTCATTTACCGTCTCCCCTACCCGATGAGGAAAATCGATCACCTCATCGCGTTGTGCCTGAAAATGGATGCATTCAATTTGCCCTATAACATGACAATCTCACGATCTGCATTTCCATACACCCTCCTGCCCTCCTTTTCTCCCCCATCTCCAACCTCCGAAGCTATTTTACCAGACAGACCTGTCTAGCATCGCTAGATGTGAATCATCCTTGTACTGTATTTGAAAATCGCTGTTACATGGGGTATTTCTCTTGTCTCTTGCACATATGTTTCCGTTCCAATTTCTTTCCTCGCTCTTATCTTTTGCATGGCCCTGCAATTGGCAGCATTACCAGCCCTTGTCCAATTTCTCCAATATTCGATTTCGTAAATCAACGTTCTTTGATGTACATTTAGATCGGAAATACAGCGCTAGTCCTATGATTGCCATGTATTATTATACTCAGACTGCGACAGTCTTCAACCACCAGTGCGCCACAACTTACTTTGCCTGAAGCACACCTGGTACTATGAGCATTATAATTATCCAAGTATCATTATATCACAGCCAAATGGAAACCAAAAGTCCGATTCTTGTCGACTGCTTGATGATTAAAATTCTCGATGATTAAAATCTTAATACTGCCCAAATTCTAATTTTAACTACGATCCTTTGATACTGGAATTCTTGGTAGTGTGGCTGTCTAGTTAAATTATGGTGGAACCCGCGAGTTAAAGTAGAGTGAGATATCTAATTAGAGTAGGGTAAAAATTGGAATTGAAGAGCCGATTAAAAAGATCTTCGCAGTTGGCAATGAGTAGTTACAAGGCGGTAGGTAAGGCGGTAAAGATTGCCGTGAGAAAATCAATTACGGCGGGCGGTCAGAGACGGTTGTACATAGACCCTGCAGATATGTTGTGCAGGTTCCACAGAGGATATCTCCACAGCCCAATCCAAAGAGCTGGCAAGTAAATACAAGTAAATGGGTAAGTAATTAACGTATTTCACAAGCGAGTGGGCCGGTTCAAAACACATAGTAAATGCGATAAATTACATCTTGAAATTTTGACAACGGTCGTTCTATATTGGGGTTTCCTGGTTGCTGAAGGCTTTTTAGGTGATGCCTGGCCTATCTTGAGAACACAAAATCTTTTTGGTGACTACTTTGACTGCAATATGTCTAATTTTTAGCAATGTAGGTTTCGGTAACTTTCGAAATGATGACCGTGAGGCTGTGAAATACGTTATGCAGGCCTACATGTAACAAGTGCTACGTTAGACTGCGAATGCAGGGAGACCATGACTGATGCCAATTTCAATAGAAACGACTGAACGAGTTGATTCGAGACTTCTAACCCCATGACCGAAATGACAAAGAGCAGCGGAGCAGAAACTGTGCAAGATGTCCGACTGCCATGCGTGATGTGTGCGTTGCATTAAACTAGGCCACCCAGCCAGCTGAATCGATGGGTCTTCTTGATGCATTTTTTTTTTGGTACTCCCCCCCCCCCCTTTTCGTGCATACTAACGTATACCGATCATTTCGTACCGACAGTCTCCACTATTGCAGGCTCGCATTCTGAGCCAAGCTGTCATAACGAAAACCACACTGGCAGCATCGATTTCCTCAAGAACGCGAATGAAACCACGGAACCGAATGGATCAATGGCAAGATTTGAACGAATTGTTTGAAAAACAAAAGAGTGTCACCTTGTCTTGCCAAGGCAGACCGAGTGAAACCGAAAATATAGTACGAAGAAAGTAAAAAGCGTAACAGACTGGGAACAAAACCAAGTTATCAGGGCGAGACGGGTGGTTGATTAAAATTCCCAGTCCTCCTCAACCGACTTGATGGCCCACTCGAACTTCTCACGCAGCGCCTTAGAGAAGAACTTTTCGATGGGGACGTCATACTTCTTGCTGAAGACGACAGTGAGGCGAGGATCAATGTAATTCTAATGAGATTGATTAGCTGGTGATGCTGTAGGGATCAGACCAAAAAAACTCACAATCTTCGAGGTACCTAGGGCGACCTCTTTGTTGTCTTCCTTGTCCTGCGCCTGGACGGACATCGTTTCGACCCGCTGGTCAATCTTGGTGATGGAGCCTTCGAGCTTTTCAACCGTTGCGCCTCTGGCCTCGACCTCGACCTTCCCGGTTTTGTTTTCCCTTTTGAACTTCTTCTCCATCTCCTTGACGACCTGCAGACGCTCCTCGAGCTCGGAAGCCTTCATTTCTTTCTCCCCATCAGCAACGCGCTTTTCGTTGTCCTTCTCGAACTTCTTGGAGATTTTGGTTCTCTGCTCCTCAATCAAAAAGGCTTGATGTTCTTCGATCCATTCTTTGTCGAGATCTTCATCGATTTCGAAGAATGCCGTGCCCTTTTTCTTCTTCAGAGTGGGGTCCAAGTCAAGCATTTGCTGCTTTAGTCGCCACTTCTGGTATCGAAGGCCCTTGATCTTTATAGTCAAACTTCCGTTAGCATTGTAGCTCTCGCCGTGACAGTGGAATAGAGAAAACTCACCCGTTCGCCCATCTTTTCCATTGCATTGGCATGGCCAGCAGTGACAGTACGTTTGTGGTTACACAAGATGGCAACCTTACGGTTAGCATCGTTGTACGCTTTTACCTTTTCGGCGACAGTGCCTCCGGTAGGGTTCATCTCGTTGAGGACACAACCCATAGTGTAAGACGCGTTATAGGTACGGAAAACCTTAGCGGTTAGACCTGGCATGTAGTTGGCAAGATGCTTATTGAGAGCAGAAGTCTTTGATTCGTCAGTTTTATTCAATACACCAAAAAAACAAGGAGGACATACCGTAAGGCGGTCGAAAATTTCATCACCGCTCTTTTTGGGTGCCTTTTTGAAGATCTTCAGGTTCTTAAAGACTTGCAGATCGACCTGCACTTCATCGTAGAAACGAATACTATCTTTACCCAAGAAATCAAAGACAACAGTATTTGGGGGCTTCAGCGTAACATTCTCATATTTAAGAGAACAGCAACCGACGGTTTCGGCCTCATCTTCACCTTTCTCGTTTCCAGCACGCAGGGCAAACTGATCAATGAGATAGACTGCCGTGGCCTTCTGCCGCTCCACCATCATGTCATGTTTGAGGTTCTTCTGGTAATCCTTGCGGATTTTCTCAATGTGCTTCTTGAGTTCACGCGCTTTCTCGAATTTCTTGAAATCGCTTTGTCCCTTGACATCGGAATTGGCGGCTAACATGACGTACTTGTAGTTGCCATTGATATTTTCCTGCCACATGGCAAGCCAGGTCCCTTCCTGATCGTGCTTTACTTCCTTCCACTTGTGGCCGGGAGGTGGCGGTGGGACCCTCGCATCTTTACCAATGTTGATGGTGATTTGCTCAGGCTGCACACGCGTCTTTACACGCCCGGTCTTTGGGTGCTCACCGCGGCCCCGGAATAGAGAAGGCGGTTCAACACGGAAGTTGCCCACCTTCTGCTTGCGACCATCCCACACACAGAACTGGTAAGGGGCTTCTTGCTCATCCTTCAGAGCCTTTGCGGCTTTCTTCTCTGCAGGTGGCAGGTTTCTCTTTTCTTCACGCTGAGCGTCGTAGAAATTGAAGATAGACTTGAAGTCGCATTTCGCAAACTCCTTGATATCGATCTTGTTCCCCTTTGCGTCCTTCGCTCCGCCAGTCTTCTTGACAACTTCCTTGAAGTCCCCAAAGAAATTCTTCTGGAACACAGGATTTTCCACGTTGTGGGTGGAGTTGAGCATGGAGCCGAAAAAGGTAGCAACCTCTTCGGCTTCCGGTGCAAGGGAGACCGGAACACCGTCATACTTCAATTTGACATTCCCAGGCAGCACTTCGTATTCAGGAGGGAACACCACGCCATTGTGCTCCAGAGTTGTCCACTTGATTGTTCCATCGCCCTTGTTGTGGTCTTCCCACCAGCGGTACTCATCCTCTTCCTCCTCTTCCTTCTCTTCGGCGTCCTGGCTTTCTGCCTTCACCTTGGCTGTGCCCTTTTTGGCTGAGGCGGGTTCAGCCTTCATCTTCTTGGGGGCAGATTTGCTGGCGGCTGGCTCTTTCTTGACGGCGTTTGTCTGTTTTTTGGCTGCCACAGGCTTAGCTTCCTTCTTTGGCGCAACAAGTTTGCGCGCAAGTTTCGCCTCCTTCTCCGCCGTTTGTTCAATCTTCTTCTTTTGCACAGCAAGTTTGCGTTCAATGGGGACGTCGGAATCGGACTCATCCCCGATGGATGTTTCAGCGGCCTTGGGAAGTTTGCGCCCGTTGCGTGCCAATGGCACATCATCATCGGTCTCGAGATCTTCGTGTTTGACAGATGTACGCCGGCGTTTGCTCTGTGGAATGGTCAGACGCTTCAACCGAAAGCGACCGTATCGTCGCACTGGGAATAACAAGTCATCCCGCGACGGGGGCTAGGCGTACCAAAGGCTCATCTTCTTCGCTGCTTTCTGCTTCTACGTAGGACTTCTTTTCGCCCAAGCTGGTCCGAGACTTGCGCTTAATAGCACCTAGGGCACCTTCTTCATCTTCCATCTTCACATCCTTGTCTTCCACAGGACCGAACCGAATGGATATTCCAGGATCAACATGGCCGTTCGTGGCAGGGCTAGAATCCCCCATTTTGATTACTTCGGGAGATTTTGGGGAAACTAGAAGTGCAGAAACGTTGTGTTAGAATGCCGGTCGACTTGGTTGGAAGTGTGAAGGAAGTGTGAAGGAAGTGACGTCAAAGTGCTCGATGTGCATCTCGCACTGATAAGAAGAGTGCAATTGCAAAGGAAGTGGAAGAGACATAGAAGTGAGAAGACGAAGTGCAAGTAAAGCAAAGCTTCGCGACAAATTGTGGAGGTGCACAAGTCAGCCGAATAACCCGAGGAACGCACCTTTACCGCGTCCATTGGCGCGCATGAGGGGCGTGTCGTCCTCTGAAGAGCTCATGGTGTTATTCCTCGGACAAGCGACAAGAGGACGAGGGTAAAATGAAAGAAAACGTTGATTTGGTAAGGGCAGGCGTCCTCGTGCGCCGAGTCGGACAAATTGAGTCGCCTGGTTGAAGGAGGAAAGCAAGGAAATTCTGACCAATGAAGAGTAAGAGTGTGGTTATAAGATCTGCTGCATCAGTGATACATGCATAGACGTGATATTGTAGGCAAATTCGGAATAATAAAGCCGAGAGGTGAGAAAAGATGTGAGGAAAAGAGAGAAAAGGTTTTGGGGGGACTTGGAATGGAGGAATGCATTGGGAAAAGAGGCCCTGAGGGACTACAAGTGAGGTGCCTGAGGCGTCAGGTGATGTTATGTAAATACCTTGATGCCTGAGGCATCACTGCGGTGGAAGTCGGAACGGCGCACCGTAGATGCTTTCCCCTTTAGGTTTAGCGGCAGCACGGAGACAGAACCTCCCTGGTTCTCAACTTCCTTCCCGACCAGCGAGGCATTCCCGTCTAACCTTCGTCACTTCCCTCCTCTCCGCAGTCACTATCTGCTCGTTCAATTTCCTCTCTTAATCTCTCCCAAAATGTTCTCCCGTGCCGTCCGCCCGGCCCTGCGGGCTGGTGGTGCCGCCGTCGCTCGGTAAGTCTTCATCCGATACCTCGTGCCAAAGTCCTTCCACCCGACGTACTCCGACGCAACCACCTCGACGCAATTGAAACTGGAAGATATGCTGGAAGTTAGAGGAGGCGAATACGACAAATGCTGACCGCGATATCAAGCCCTGTTCCCGCAAATGCCGCCACCTTCGCGACTCTGCGTGAGATTGAGGGTCGTCTCAAGTCCATCAAGAACATTGAGAAGATCACCAACACCATGAAGATTGTTGCGTCCACTCGTCTCACCCGTGCTCAGAAAGCCATGGACGAATCCCGCGTCTATGGTAAGACCTCCAACACCGTTTTCGAGCAGGCCGAGACCAAGCCTCTGGAGGACAAGAAGGTTCTTCTGGTTGTTGCCAGCTCCGACAAGGGTCTTTGCGGTGGTATCCACTCCGGTCTGAGCAAGGCTACCCGCCGTATCTTGGCCGAGAACCCCAACGCCGACATTGCCATTCTCGGTGAGAAGGCCAAGGCTTCGCTGTCCCGTTCCGTCCCCGAGAACATCGTCCTGAGCTTCGCCAACGTCTGCAAGGACATTCCCACCTTCGCCGATGCTCAGGCTATTGCCGATCAGATTGCTCTTCTGCCCGAGAACTACGCCAGCGTTCGCATCATCTACAATTCTTTCGTCAACGCTCAGAGCTACGAGCCTGTCACCATTGAGGCCTACTCCGAGGAGGCTATCACCCAGTCTGGTGAGACTTCGTTATGCCCAAGAAGTTCATTGAGTTTTTAAACTAACCCCGATATAGCCAACATTTCCTCTTACGAGGTTGATGATGAGGTTCTGACCAGCCTCCGCGAGTACGCTCTTGCCAACAATCTTTTCTGGGCCATGGCCGAGGGTCACGCCTGTGAGATTTCCGCTCGTCGCAACGCCATGGAGAACGCCTCCAAGAACGCGGGTGAGATGATCAACAAGTATGTTTTACGTTTAATGATTTGAAAAAGTCGTCTCTAACAGCCCTCTAGGTTCCAGATTTTGTACAACCGTCAACGCCAGGCCACCATTACCGGCGAGCTGGTTGAGATTATCACCGGTGCCACCGCTAGTGCGGATATGTAGACGGTTTCAATTACGGGACCAAGTCTACTTGAGTGTGGACTTGTTCATATTTAGATCGACCTTCAGCTTGTGTAAAATCAAAGTCAATCCATTTTCATTTCATCTGCACCGATTTTGCCCGTGTGCATAGCCCTAAACTAAGTCATCCAACAAACTATTTACAAGACCTCTGCTATTCAATGGGATCCTATGCTCGTCAGATTCATAGCCTCTCTGCTTGATGGGATAACCCTGTGTGGCTCCCATGGACATAGTCCTAAGCCCGGAGACTACCCAGATGATCAACTTCTTTGTTTGATGAAGTCTGCCATCTTATGTGATCATGGAACCGTGCCATTTATGGCTTCAAATATTATTCTCATCAATAGGATCTGATTCTTTGGTCAATGGGATTCGGTTTACAATAGCATTGTCTACTCAAATAGAATTTCCTGATTCTCGCCCTCATACTTGTATCCCAGTTCTGTTCCTCCTCTTATTCTTCTCTCTCTTCCTCCTTTCCTTTCCTACAATCTCTTTCTTGCTTCTGTCCTTCTTGAATCTCATGCTGAATATCATTTCTGCGTGGTCTCTGTTCTTTATTCCACTCTTATTCATCTTCTTCTAGTGCTCCTGCTCTTGTTTTTTTCCATCCTCATTCTCTTCTCCAATCTCATACTTTATCGCGGTAATAATCTCTCTTCTCGGGCCTCTACAGTGGCTGTTCTTTCCAAATCAATTCTTCACGTTTGTGTGGTAAGTTTTGATGTTGTCGTCACTCCGATCATTCTTCGGGGCTGTTTCCCACTCCTTCCTCATGGCAGATATGTTCTGATTGCCTACATACCTTCATTCTAATCTCACATTACTCTCTCCATCTCTCTCGTTCTATCCATCTATTTTAAGATCGAGAACGAAGATTAATCTTCAAGTCAACACGCACATATAGCAAAACACTGACACTCGCTATCAAGACTTGTGGGACAGAAAACATGTCGACCGCCAGTGTGACCATTGATGCCTACGCCATCCTGGGAGTTGAGCGAGATGCCAAACTCCCTGAAATCAACATTGCATACAAGCGCCTTGCCTTGAAGCTTCATCCAGACAAGGCTGGAAATGCCGCCGCAACTGTTGAGCGATTCAGAAAAGTATGTCTACAACATCAGGAATGTGGTTGCTAAACATCGCTGACTAGCCATTGCAAACAGATTCAAGACGCTGTTGAGCTTCTCCGTGACGAAGACCGTCGGCACTTGCTTGACGAGGCTCTGAACAAGAAAGCCAAGAGACATCTAGATTCCGAGGATGACGCACGGGCTTGGGCCTATAAGCGCAGCCATAATCGTCCTTCAAAGCGAGAACGCCATGGATATGATTTTCACTGGCCGGGCTCATTTACCGATTCAGCCTCTCAACACAGGTCGAGACATCAACGCCAGCACAGCTATAGCTACTACTATAGTTATGGTACAAGTGTACACATGGACCCCGCTTCGGCCGAATCCAAAGCAAGATGTGCGCAATTCCAGGCAGAAAACGTCCAGTGGGAGAATGAATGGGCGGGAATTGATCCAGAGGTACAGAAGGCACGAACAGAGCTCCGCAGGGAAAACATGCGGGCTCGAATGAAGCGTGAACTAGCAGATTTGGCGAAGGACCAAGACCAAGATACCAAATATGCCGATGTCGTTGATCAAGTTGTCGAAGGAGTTTTGGACGAACTCAACTTTGGCCATAACCACAAGTTCGAAAACCTCTTGCATGCCCTGCCTGAAGAGAACATCAAGACCTGCAACCCTGTCGAGACATTTGATGAATTTGCCTATGAATACGCCAAAAAGTGCCGATCCGATTCCGAGGGTCCAGCATACTCTGATTGCGCTTCAAGTCCTCCGTCTGCTGCTAGTAACGATTTGTCCTTTGGCTTTTCGACAGGTAGCAACCTCACCGACTACACTCACCCAGCCAACGACTGCTCAAATTTCCGGTCCACCACCGTTGAAGATTACGAATCTACCACTGAAGATTCTAACTCTGAAGCTGACAAACTGATCAACTCCTACATGGTGGGCCATGATTCATTGCTCCCTCTAGTCTCATTCCTGAAGCAAAAGCTTGCCGACCCCCACGGACGCTACACCCTCAATGATCTCGGTGGCGAGCTAAATGGCATTATGCTGGAAACATATTGTGGCTGGTTGGAAGAAGTTCGTCTTTGTGTCCCGAATGTCTCGCCTATTACAGTTCGAAATGATCCCAAGCTTTGCTCCCACCTTGGCTTATGGTACAAGGATTTCTGTCGTCCCGTGTGCAATGTTTGCAACATGTGGATGCCATCATTCCTCCTAACCTGTCCTGGCTGTGGCATGAAGGCCTGTGTCAGATGTAAGTTCACGGGTAATCGTGACTCTCTCTTGAGATCTGTTGTGCAGGAGCAGTGATAGATCCAATGTTGGATCACATGTGTTTCCTGTTTTTCTTTTGTTTCCTTATCTATTTGTCAGCTCAGTCTAGATTTCCGTTTTCGTCTCGATTCTCTGTTGTTGTCAGAGAAATGGAGAAGGATACCTCGGCGTTGTAGGAGGATGACCCTTTTCAATTTGATTTTTTTTTGTTGAACTTTCGAAAGAATTACTGCCAGTCTCATGTCGGATTTTGCGACCAATCATTCTATTAAACTTAACGAAACTTGATTAGGAAAGAATTGCTTCTCATGCACAGATACTATCCTTTGCTGGATACATCCATGGATTGCCGGCGCGGAGTACAAGTACAGCCCCTTCGGATTCACTTCGAAATCACCTCTACTTCTAATTTGACCCTATATCCTCCTACGAGAGAAAGATTCCGACTTTGCGTTTGGTTTGATCGAAACAAAGAATCGAAACTACCCCTCAGCCACTCAACAGTCCTCAATTAAGTTTGATGATCATTCTGGTCGTGGTGCTGCGGCCCCTTGGTACAAACTGTCGAGCCATCTGCTAGGTATTTTCCATGGGGAAGATCCTCCATACGAGAAGAGATTTGGCGGTAGCCCCCACAATACCCGAAACCGGAAGACTGACCCCGGGGAGAGTGAGTCCCTGTGCGAACAAACCCTGTACGGGCCTGTTGCCTGCCCCACTCTTCCTGGTCCTCCATCCTACCCAGTCTAACCTTGAGTTCTCATAAACTAGGACGAACGCTCTCCATCTCATTTGGAGTACAGTTTTGATCTCCATTGCCCCCTGGGACTATGCTACCGGGTTTGGGCTGGATTTGGCCCTTGGCCTTGTGCTTTGCCTCCAGTCCCAGGCTTTGCCCGATGACAAGATGGCCACCACGAACGTAGAAGACGCGCAACAGAGGATTTGTCACGAGGTCGTGTATTTTGCAATACTGTGGTGATGGTTGAAAGAGGATGCTTGCTGGAGAACGACTCGCACAGGTATCAGCGGCTGTATGAGACCGAGTCGACGAGCAAGAACCTTTCATGATTAGGCGTAGGTGTGGAGAGCCGTGGACAAGAGATTTAACCAAGTCAAATGCAGTCTTCACGAGAGGATTGAAGTCTTCATTTGTTACATTCCACACCCATTCAGCGGTAAACCTTGCATTACGCCACTATCGAAGAGTTGGAGCGTGCGTGTTCATGAGAACTTTTTTGGAGTCGAGTTCGTTAGTTTCAATCTCGGAATCTGTATTGCATTTGGAACAGATGTGGGCAAAAGAGGCCTTCTCTCCGTCGTGTAAGGACTCCACAACTGGGGTGCTAAGAGCGAGAAGATGGCAATGTGCATATGCTTCAAGAGTATATAGAGGATCCCAATACCATACACGTCCTGGACGCAAAATCAAATCGTCTCGTGTTCTAACGATGTTCTGACGAGCACTATGGCCTGTATCCTGATACACCGAGATTCGTAGGATCTTTTTTGGGCTTCTGTTCAGAATTGCAAGATTATGTCTGGGTGGACTGTAGTCAGACCTGGGATCTCAGAACAAGCACTCATCGCCTTGGTCGCCTGAGGTGGGATTTGACACGACCCGTCCAGGTTTCAAGTCAGACAAGAGGAAGAAAGAACGTACCGGCATGCAGACTAGGGTTTTAGGCTGATAGTTCACATGTCGGTACTACTAGTCCGATTCCCTTTGGCAGTCCCTTTGGGATCGCGTATCGTATACATTCAGGAGGACCCTAAGAAAACATCCTAAAAGAACACCCGGAAGGCCTAAATACAACACTGAAAAACGTATTAGAGTGTTCTTACAGATAACATTCCTTCTATCATCTCTAGCTAAATGTATCAGATTCGTCCAATCCTTGCGTCGTTAAGGAGAGAGGTCTTATAAGCGGCAAAACGGTCTTCTTCATCTTTAATTCATCTATCAAACCGGTAAATCACTAGCTCTCGATTGTAATTCTCGCCCACCAAGTATCTCTCACAACCAGCAATTTTTCCCTTGCCGACAAAATCCCAATTGTCACAAGTGATGCTAGAACGAGGTGTCTGAATTGTCAAATAGACAATCTGCTCTTGGATCCACATCCAAGGATCGAAGTGAAGACAAAAGCCAAGATCAGGCTCATGTACAGTCACCTGAGAAAGGACACCATACCAAGGGTCCGTCATGATAGACCCATCGAACCTCATACTCTCGGCCTGCATGCTGCAGTTTCCACGGTAAGGCGGGAGTATACCCTCAAAATCTCGGCGCCAATGGGGCCCATTTCCAACTAGAGGAATACTTGTGGTAGTAGGGTGAGGAAAACCGAATGGCTCGGGCGGTTGGTCTTCTGGCCGGATGCAAACGTTTTCTGTTATTTCGACCGCTTGTGAATCATCCGTAAGTTCCAATCGTTGAATGCTTGGACAGCCTCGTTGTCGGATGTCAAAGAATTCCAGGTCTCGGAATCCGAATCGTGCAACGATTGATGGCGAGTCACCAGGTGAGTCTCCCAGTCGTCCCGTAGGATCCAGTGAAGGTCGGTATGGTGACGGTTTTGATATGTCCCAGACAAACAAAGACTCAATGGGCGCATCTTCATCGGCAGTGTACAAGCTGCGATTTGGCTGCCATATATAAATCACATAGTGAGTGTTGCTGTGCGAGGAGAAGAACCGATCTCGCTCGCTCAGTGGATGTCCCAAAAACAATATCTTCCATTCATTGCGCGGGACAATATTCCAGCCCTGATTCTCGCTTCTCGTCACATTGAAGGAGGATGCGAAGTGACGATGCACGCCATCGCTATCATTCAACCAGTGAAAGGCTTTCGGTTCAGCCCACTCAATGACAAGCAAGCTCTTCTGCAGTCGCACACGACGAATAACCTTGCCACGAGTAATAAATGGCACCATAAACTGCCGGTCTGTTTCCAAATCCATGAGTACAAGAAACTGATGATCGGCGCTGGGGTAGACCAGTAGGCCATCCTCGAAAGTCCACAAAGCCTCAGAGAACTGGCGGTCAAGGAAGCGCCTCATATGACTGGCGTGTGACTCCCATGGTTGCACCTGATACCATTCACGGTCTCCAGCGCTGCCAAAGTCATCGCAGAGGCGGTACTTCTGAACAGAGCGGGGTTTGCCTCGTTTTAGGTGATCATATCGTGAAGCAACCTGGTCGAAAAGACGACGGCCTTGGCTCTGCTCTTGAGGTAACGTCTCTGAGCCCAGGTTTTTTACTTCTTCTGTCCATGGGAACGTTTTCTTCAGGCGTGGAAGTAGGATGGCCGGGTTGCTAAAGGCTTCGTTCCAGGCACGCGAGACGCGGCGACATCGGACTAATTCGTTTGGTTCTAGGTAGTCTAGAATCATCCAGAAGAGATCGCCAGGTAGAAAGACCACGTTATGGCACTCTTTTGGTCTGGTCATTCCTAAGTTGCGTTTATCAAAGGGAAAAGGGACACGATCGTGAAGACGGACAGGTTCATCGGATGTTCATAGAAGGAATTGTTTTGATGTCAAGACCTAGATATTTTGACATGCGAACTCTTGTACTAATCCAAGTCGTATAGTACACACTTAATGGGATCTTTGACGCTCTCATATCTTCCTTGTTAGTATCTGAAAATAGTATAGTCGTAGCCAATACCATCCGCACGCCAAGAGCTTCAGGACACCTTGCGTAATGTTTCGGACCATCTTGTTTTTTTTTTTTAAATTCTCTTTGGCTTCTTTGCTGAATCTCATCTCCACCTTCAACTTACCAATTAGCCATGCTGCACAGCGCCAGTCTTTTGCTTGTGTCGCTCCTTGCGGCACTGCCTGTTAACGCCGATGGACTATACACCAAGAATTCGCCGGTGATCCAGTTGAATGCCAAAACCTATAACTCGCTCATTGCGAATTCGAATCATACCTCGGTGAGTATCCGTCGTATCCACAAATGTGCAAAAGTCGACTAATGCTTGGCTACTCTGTAGATCGTCGAGTAAGCTCTCCCGCACTAGAGCCATCTAACCGCCTCTCCCCTCCGACCTTCACTCACATTTGTCACTTAGATTCTATGCACCCTGGTGCGGCCATTGCAAGAACCTCAAACCCGCCTTCGAAAAAGCCGCAAAAAACCTTGATGGACTCGCGAAAGTCGCCGCGATCAACTGCGACGATGACGAAAACAAACCCTTCTGCGGACAGATGGGTGTCCAGGGCTTCCCGACCCTGAAAATCGTGACACCTTCTAAAAAGCCCGGAAAGCCCCGTGTCGAAGACTACCAAGGCGCGCGCAGTGCAAAAGGCATCGTCGACGCAGTTGTCGACCGCATCCCCAACCACGTGAAGCGTGCAACGGACAAGGACCTGGACAAATGGCTTGGACAAAACGAGGGACGGCCCAAGGCCATCCTCTTCACAGAGAAGGGTACAACTGGCGCGCTGATCCGCGCCCTGGCAATCGATTTCCTCGGCGCGATTGACATCGCCCAAGTACGGAACAAAGAAACCGCCTCCGTGAAGAAGTTCGGCGTAACTGAGCTCCCAGCTCTCGTCCTCATCCCCGGCGCTGACGCCGAGCCCAAAATCTACGCCGGCGATCTGAAGAAGAAGCCCATCACCGAGTTCCTGAGCCAAGCGGCGACACCCAACCCAGATGCATCCCCCCGCTCCGCCTCGAACTCCAAGCCAAAGCCGAAGCCAAAGTCCAAGCCCGCTTCCAAGCCTACCTCTATCGTCGACGACGCCGAAGACGTCAAGCCCACCGCGTCCACGGACCAGGACGAAACAGACCCCTCTGCTAAGCCGGTTCAGGTCCCCATCCCCGCACCCCAAATCCCAACGCTCTCCACCCCTGAATCTCTCGAGTCAGCCTGTCTCACACCGAAGTCCGGCACTTGTGTGCTAGTCATTCTCCCCGAGGTGAGCGAGCCCGACGCCGGGCTTCCAGCGTCAGCCACCGAGGCGCTCACAAGTCTCGCCGAGATCGGCCACAAGCACGCCCAGCGCGGAACGCATCTCTTCCCGTTGTATGCCGTCCCAGCTATCAACACTGCGTCCAAGACACTGCGTGAGGCATTGGATTTGGCTGATAGTCAGACAATTGAGATTATCGCCTTGAATGCGCGTCGCGGCTGGTGGCGTCGCTTCAGCGGTGCCGATGCGGACTTTGGCGCTGTTGCTGTTGAGTCTTGGATCGATGGGATTCGATTGGGCGAGGGCGCTAAGGCGAAGTTGCCTGGGGGTGTTGTTGCCAGTGTTGAGGCTGAACCCGAGGCTGAACCCGAGGCGGAGGAACAGGCCGTGGAGCACGATGAGCTGTGATCATTTCACGGTCGTTGGAAAGAAGCCGGTGCTAGTCGATGCTAGTTTGGTGACCTCCATCTTGTTTTCGAATTTTTTTTTCTAGTTTTGAGAGCGAATCGCATAAGCCTATGCAACCAATGCATCAAGCCGTTAGGGGATATCCCATCTACCACTACGAAACAAGCAGACTGTCGTATGCATAAAAAATACATGATTCATATAAATGTACAAGAGACGGATATCCTGTGGAAACATGAACCTTGAAGAATACAGACAAATACTAGACACAAGCAAGTCTTTTTAGACCCAAGAAACCGAACACCGTACATTAATGCAGAAAGAAAACCGTCCAGATCCTAAATCATTTAGCGTTTTTTGCGGCCCTCGGTGCCCTTCTTGATCATCTTTTGTCTCTTCGAGTCAATCTCCTTGTCGTAGATGTCGCGCGCAGTCTCAAGCTTCTTGCGCTTAGAAGACTTGGAGCTTTCAGGTCCATCACTGTGGGCTGGAAATCAGTTATTGTTGTTTCGACAGACAGGAGACATGATTTAGACTTACGGGTTAATTGCGCTCAGAGCACGCTGCTTGGCGAGCATCTCCTCATCGATCTGCTTGCCTCCTTCGCGGAGCTCATCCTCGAGACTGATGGGCAGGGGTTGGAGGCTGACTTCGGGCTCGTCGTCGTGAGCGGCAGAGGTCTCGATGCGGACCTTCTGTGCGGGCAGAGATTTCTCAATATCGCTCTCGATGAGATTACGGAAGTGGGTGGAAATCTTGCGGACAATCTTGAGGAACATGGCGAGGAGCTGGGAGGAGGGGAGATTCAGCTCCTTCTCAATGTCGTCGAGGTTCTTGTGCTGCAGGCCGATGGCGAGGAGGATGGATTGCTGTACCCCGGAGAGGCTGACCTTGCCATCGAGACGGTTGGAAAAGTAGTAGTCGGAGAGAGCGGGAACCAGGTCGAGGATAACGTGGTAGTCCAGGAGGTTGTTGGCGTAGCTGTCCAGACGCTTGAGATCGAAGGGCGAGAAAACGGCATCGAGATCGGATTTCTGTAGCGTGCGCGGCTTGAATTTCGGGTCCTTCTTGGCACCGGAGTTGGCAGACTCGCAGATACTGAGGGAGAGGACGGACGGGAACTGTCCGAATTGATAGGACAACAGCGCGAGGAATCGCTTGTGGAAATCGCGCGCGTAGGCGCTCAGCCAGGCATCGTCGGTCTCGCCGGTGGATAGAGTGCGGACCATCACGCAAGAGTGCTCCCCAGTGAGTTCGTTGGGGGTCTGACGCAGATACACGGGGACAAAAGAACCGCGTTTCCAGAACTTGTGGAGTGATGGGGTAAGACCGTAACTGACACCGATGTAGTCGAGAACATCTGGGCGACGTTCGGTCAGCTTGCCGAAGAGCGGAGGCATGGAGCGAATGTCTCGGACGTGGACGTTGTCATCCAAAAGGCTAGAACCAGCGAGCTCTTCGTCCGTAACACGAACCATTTGCTCTTCGGCGGTGGTGCTCTCCTCCTCCAAGTTGGTGAACTTACCCTCGAAGAAGTCGACCAGGAGCTCCATAGCCCGGGAACCGTATCCCATACCCACATATTCGGGGTTAGTTGCGATACGGACAACACGAGCACCTGAAAGACTGGCGAAGTTCTCATCCTGGAACTGCTGGCTGACCAACCACGGGATGAGATCACCTCCTGCGCGCTGGCCACGGCTCAAACTGTTGAGCACACTCTGGCGACTGATGCGACCTTCAAGAGCAACCTGAATGACACAAAGTGGCTCGGGAAGCTTGGTAGCCCCTTCATCAATCGGCGGCACGAGAACATAGAGTTGATGAGCGGGAGCATCACTCATAAGCTGAAGGTCGTTCGGTGTGTTCTTGTAGTGACTGGCAACGTAGAGCGCCATCATCTGCTGCAAGAACTTCTCGGAAACAGGGTGGAAGGAGAACAGGGTATCACGGTTGACCTGAAGAAGCTGGCACTGCGAAGGGTGAGGGCAGCCTTGTGTGTTCATGTGCGACTTGGGAAGAGTTGCGTCAAGGCAGAGGACCTTGTTCAACCATTTCTCGACAGAATCACCCGGGGCATATCGAATGGGCTCTGCGAGAGTGATTTCTCTCAAGGTTCGGCCACTGAGGTTCTTGTCGGCACCCTTGGCTGATTTGCCGGTACTACGGTCGGCGACGTCGGTATCGTCTGTCTTGACTCCACTTCGGGATTGTTCCCGCAGTTGCTGAATCAACTTCAAAGACAGGGATCGGCCCGTGCCTTCGTATCCATTAATGGTGGAAGACATGAACACCAGGTAAGGTCCCATCAGCTTGCGCACCAATGGTAGAGGGATAGCTGCAGCCTCATCGATAACGAGAAGCTCTGCCTGTCCCAAGACTTGCGCATCTTGAGGCTGAATGTACTGAATGGTTTGACGGTGGTTGCGGTGAATGTTCACACGCACAACGGCCTTGTTGAAGTCAGGGTTGGTTGACTGCAGGATGGTGTAGTCAACGTGGTCGAGATATCCAAGGGCATCGAAGCCCTTGAAAATGAATTCGAAGAGTGTCTTCAAGTTCTCTGGGCTGGGAGAAGTGATGAAAATGTTGCTGTAGCCGTGAGCGACAGCGGCGGCAATGGAGACACCGAGAGCGGCCGACTTTCCTCGTCCACGACCAGCAGTCAGTGTAACAGTGCTCTTCAGCGTTTTTTCGGCGATTGCATCAACGAAGGTCAGGAGCGCCTTCGCTTGATCCACGGTGCGAGCCAAGCTGAGCAGAGGACCCACGGGCTTTGAGTCGGCCAAGCTCTCCTTAATTTCCTTCAATTCCTTCTTCGTGCCAAAAGCTGACTCATCGGTTGTCTCAGGAGCGGGAAGAGGCTTCACGGTCTTGCCGCCAGAGATGGGCAACACGTTCAGCTCGTCGTCGACCACCAGACACGAATCACAGCTTCCGAGGGATAGGATGAATCGCTCATTGAAACGAGCAACAACATCATCGTACGCCTCTGTTCGGTACCGCGAGTGAATATCCATGGACATGGTGTAAAGCTGCTTCAGACTGGTCATGCTCTTCAAAAGCAGGATCACCAAACCTCCACCTTCGACGGTCTCGACTGTTCGTGCAAGCAAGTTGGGAGTCATGGCCTCGAAGTCCTGCAACACACACATGCCATAGGTGTTACCCAAAATCTTCTCGGTTTCCTTGTAGTAGACATAGCGGATCTGGTTGAGGGTGATGAAAAGTTCGAATGGGTCTTCCTGGTTCGGTTCGCGAATGCCACGCTTGACCTCCTTCTTGATCTTCATTTCGCGCTTCTTCCGGTGACTGGTGAAGCCAAGCAGGTCCTTCTTATACGCCCATAGTACTGACTTGTTCTGCTTCACGTCCACGCTGGACATAATGTAGTGAAGATGCACGATCACATCCTTTGCATGGTCGCCAACAACCACGAAGAAACTGCGCTTCTTCTCCTGAACACCATTTCGAATTAAAGCGGGAATCCGCGAGTCAATCGCCTTGCGGGGCATGGCGATTCCGGAGTAGTGTTGATAGGAAAAAAACACTCAGCTTCGTCTTGCAACCTAAAAAAAACTTCCCAGCGGTTAAAAAAAAATGATACTGCTGTCTGACACCGCCCGAAGCAACACACCGCCCTGGGGCTTTGAATCTCAAGTACGCAAGTCCATTTCACGTGACTGATGCATGAACAACATAAAGGTCCCCGGTCCCCCTAAACAAGTAGGCGGTATGGCTCTGCCCAAAACGGGGTTTAAGACGAGATCTCCAGATTGGCCCTTTGCCATTCGGGACCTATAGTCAACCCAAGATACACAGAGAAGATTAACATGGCTCATACTCTAAGTATTGCACCCGTCATCAAAGAGACGGCCTTATTTTTGCTCTTTCCAGGTCATTTAAGGACGGTTTGCGGATGTGGGTCCCTATTGCTAGGTCACATCCATCCTTTTTGGAGTCACGTGGGGGACTCTAGATAGTCGACACTGCCTGGACCCTTGTAGAGCCACGTGATAGTAGGTGACGTGGACGGCCCAAATTAGGAAATATACGGTCTGCTTTGAGCTTAGCCTAACTTAGTTCAGTGTGTCCTTTTGATGCTAACCGTGGGTCGCTCGGGGCACCTCTATTTCACGATGTGCAGCCGAATGGAGCCGACAGAATACAACCAACAGGGTCGTAGCTGATATGACGCGTGTAGTGGGTCTTGGCTGCGTGTGCACCTTCTTTATCTACATCGATGTCGTTCACAGGGTCTGTATACCGAGTTGGACATGATGAATAAAGTACAGCATATATGCACCACAAGCGACATGACCCTCACAGGATTGAAGTGGGCCGTGAGGTTGACCCGGGCTTGATTCTGGCCGCTAATCAGCTCGACATCTCTTACTGACCAGCTTTTGCAATATAAAATTTGTAGGTAAAATCTGCTAATGACTATGAGCTAACAATTTGGGTGTGGTGGCTGATGACGTTCCATCGTTCTCATTGGCAAGATACCACAAATGCAAGCTATGCAAGGCAGGGCCCGTGGTTATGTGCGCAGCCAAAGTCCAATCGCGAACGACATCATAGCCCGCCCGTTGACGCAACCCTAATGGATCAACACTCCGGATTGCCTCTGGTTAGCCGCCAGTGGATCAAAGGGGCCCTCTTGACCCTCACTGTCCTGATTTTTTACCATGTTTCGAACACTGTCAATCTCCTGAAGATCCACAGGAGTTGAATCTTCTGTCTTTTTTTCCTTTTCTACAATTTGATCTATTGTTGATATCACGGCGATGGCCTGAGACGCTCTAGAGCGATCACAGAACGATTGGCTCAATATGATCCAAATATCCTCTGACCTCGGGCTAAAGCTCTGTGTGGGGTGAGTACCTCGCAAGCTATGTCACGTTATTGAAAACTTGAACTCATGATCGCATTCCATGAGTAGGACATTTCTTTTGAGCTCACTGTTCCTTACTACCTCCTATAAAACCACATTCGCTTTTGGTGAGTTGTGGCCGTGGATATCAATGTCGTTCCGCAACTTGATCTGACTGTTGCACCGATGCAGATCGCCCTATCAGTACGTCTGTCTTGGCCTGCTTCCTTACGGGGTTCACTCTCTTGGTATGGAGTCGGTTTGTTTCATTGGCGCCCTCGCCATCATCGCCCATAAGTAAACGGCCAATTATCCCTCTCGCGAAGCAATGTGAGCTTCCTTCACGCGCATCGACGTCATCTTTCTCACAGGGCGATGCCGAGACCCGGGCTCCACTACGGTTTCAACTTTGGATAAAGATTGGTCTCTTAATGGGGTTATGTGGCTTGCGGATTGAGTCATTCCGTCAAGTAACTCGGAACACCGAATGCGCGCCAGCTGGTTTTGCTGTAAGTGGCCGAACACCTTACCTTAGCTATCGTTCAAATGTTCAAGCAACTAAAACGGTGCTCTGGACAGTACGTCATCCCTTTCGTGATTTCACTTTATGATTACTGGCGCAACCAGCGATCCCGACGAGTTGACGGATATGTCCCTACCAAACGACTCGAAAAGCTACCGTTACAGGTGGTCTACTCTGTTTCCCACCGGAGCTTCTATTATCTTACGCAAAGTCGATCTAGAGGTCTAATCGCAGCCGCATTTCTGTCCGTCGGTGGGCTCTTGGCTTCATCGCTTTTGGCGGGGACCAGGTCAACCTATATCTGTCCCATTGTATCGCATGGTACATCGCGCCTACAATCATACAGGCTGTTCAACCTATTTGCTGATTCTGTTTTACTTATCGGCATTACTGAGCTTTGTCGGATGGGCACTCAATATGATGATGCGCGCAGAAAACGAGCTTTGACGTTCCTTGGAGCTGGTTTCTTGGTAAGCGGATAACTACGATCATGCTGGGCTTATTTGTTCTGATGGTCTTCCTAGGGCCTTTCGTTGGTCTGGAGTGTTATATCCTACTGGATACCAGATGGCTCGCCTGATTTTGCTGGTCAACCCATGTTGGATCTAAGGTACTCGCGCGACGCTTTCAGCCAGTCTGTGTTGGTTCTCATTCTAGTCCTGTCGGCCTGGCACATGGTTGGTCTAGTCAATTCTCTAAAATCTTTTCTCTATCAGTACTGATTCTCCTAGTTACCACATTTTGACATCCTCGGAGTGTCGATAATAGGCGGTTTCATGATCGTGTATTTCTCCTCTTTGTCATCCTTCACAGAACAATCACCATCTCCAGGTATCTCCCTAACTCATGCTGTTCTCCCGCTGGCGGCATCTTTGACGGGTGCTTCCCTATTTCTTCTTGCTCGAGTGGTTCATGACGAAGATCCGAAAATGTTCCGCACCAACGTTGCCATTCAAATTTTGTTCGGTGTTCTTTGTGGGATTAGTCTGGTTCTGGCAGTGAGCAAGCATCGTATCTCTGATATACACCCTATTGAGTTACTTGTCAACAATGGTGAAATTCAACATCACGAATACCTTGTTCAGGCCTCTAGGAGCAAGACTCTTGGAGACGCCGTCACCGAATACCAGAAGCGATATAACCAGCATCCACCACCGTATGTCGTGAAGATCCATATTTGTCGAATAACTAAACTGATCTTCATCTAGGGGCTTTGTCGAATGGTATCAGTATGCTACCAGCCGATCGTCAGCTATCATCGATGATTTCGACCAGATATATCAAGATCTACTTCCATTCCGAGCCCTGGCTCCGGGGCACATCCGTGCAATGACCCACGAACTAGCCACAAATCCTTTCAATGATCTTGGTGGGATTAGAATTCGCAACGGCACGGCCATGGTGCAAGAAGGCATCAAACCGACCCATGCGTGGATGGTGGCGGGTGCCGCAGACATGATGAAAAACTTCACCAAATATCTCCCAGATATGGACTTGGTCTTCAATCTGAACGATGAACCGCGTGTTGCAGTTCCCTGGGAGAAAATATCATTGCTGAAACGGCAGACTGAGATGCAAGAAATGATCTCGAAAGAACGCATGGTGCGGACTTGGTCGATCAACCGAGAGAAGGGCTGGGGCCCGATTGAGCCTGCCGATCAAATCAACATTACCGTATTCACTGATGAAGCATGGAAAGGTGTTTTTGACCCTTATGTGAGCGCTGTCTGCCCGCCCTCGTCGAAGGCGCGCTCCCAGAGAATCTGGAATCGTCGTGAAATCTGCCTTTCGTGCGTGGCTCCTCATTCTAGGGGCCAATTCCCCCTGGATTTCAACATCGCTTCTGAAATCTGCCACCAGCCCGATCTTGCCTTCCTCCACGGTCTCCTTATCTCCCCTGCCTCTTTCAAGGTGTCACAGGAACTCATCCCAGTTTTCAGCCAGAGCGCTCTCACTGGATTCAATGACATTCTCTTTCCAAGCCCGTGGAACTACATCGACAAAGTAAAATATCAACCCACAGACGAACACCCAGATCCAGAATACAGCCAGAAAGAGAACTCCCTCTACTGGCTCGGCAGCACATCAGAAGGCGTCAGCCGCTTCGGCGAGTGGACAGGCATGCCACGCCAACGCTTCGCCCACCTAATAAACAACAATACTAACAATCAGGTCTCCGTCCTGCTCCCAACCGATTCAAATGAAAATTTCTTCCGCTACGAGGTGATGGATGGCAGCGCCCCGACCTCAGACCTACATCTCCACACCGCCGTCCATCTTGCCGACCCAATCGTCCGCTGCGGCGACTGTGGCGAACAAGCTGCAGAAATGGGCACCGCAGGCTGGGCAGACTTCCAAGCACACTGGTCGCGCCGCTTCCTGTTCGACCTCGACGGCGCAGGCTTTAGCGGCCGCTTCCTCCCTTTCCTGCACAGTCGCAGCCTGCCTCTCAAAACCGGTCTGTTCCGCCAGTGGTTTGACTCCCGCGTCACCTCGTGGTTGCACTTCGTCCCTGTCGATATCCGTCTCCATGGACTGTGGAGTACGCTTGCGTACTTTGCGGGCGTACCTGCTGCTGCATCTGAGAAGAGTGGTCCTAATACCCAGATGCGCATGAAGGCGCATGATGAGCAGGGGAAGTGGATTGCAGAGGAAGGGCGGAAGTGGGCGAACACAGCGTTGAGGAAGGAGGATATGGAAATTTACTTCTTTCGGCTGCTTTTGGAATGGGGTCGGCTTACGGATGATCAGCGTGATGTTCTTGGGGTTGGGGCTTGAGGACAAAAACAATTAATGTTAATATGAACGTCAATTGGTACATGGATCTAAGTACAATTACGTGTCTTATCTTACTAACATCATGGAGCATTATGAGAAAAAAAGATTAGATTCAACCACACTGCATGTTTTTGGAATGAGATTCTTGAGAAGATCATACCTGGATATATCACTTTCCCTCCCGAAGCGCAAGTACGTTTACTAGCAGTTCCTGCACCTGAATAGCTTAAAGTGGCGAGATGAGGTACGGCCACTTATAAAACTTACTGATGCGATGCGTTTGGGAAGCTATCGTTAGAACAATATTAGGATCCCAAAACTATTGTCATGAGAAATCTCCTTGCGAAGCCTCTAACGTTCTCGAAACGTCGACAAGAATAAGCCCGGAGAGTGACAGAGCACGAAATGAAACGACCTAGGATCAAAGGCTAGAAAGGACGGTTATTTTGTTAATAATTACCTGGAAAGTAACCAACACCCACTGTCCCAGTACGGAATTCGTCAAGCAGTAGGCGGCAGCTACATCATCAGACGCCGATTAGCCAGTTTTCTCGAAGAGCATCTCCTAGGCCGCTGGTCAATGGATATTTGTGCGCATTGATCTGTTCTACGCAGAATATGATCAACTGGTTGTCGTATAGCTAAGCGCAGATAATTGGGACATCGATAAACCGGCGCCACTACCTCTGAGCAAGTCGTCTGAGTCACAGTGTGACTACTCAGTCTTAACTCTACATAGGAAGACCTGCAAACTTGTGAGAATGGGACTATAAATGGATCAACAGCGTCAGATAGTAGCTAGGCGTGTTTCTCTAACATCTTTACCCTGAGATGAAAAGTTGTTCTCTCGATCTATTAGTAGTTTGAGTGGTTCGAACAAGGCAAGACTAGATATCAGGGGACCATTGAGTAGGGTATGTGTTCTAAAATATACGAGGTTGAGCTCGACGAACCAATCTAGAGGAAGTAAAAGTAGGGACGAACAACCTCACACACTGTGGTCAGGGCTGATTCTCTGTCAGATCACGGATGGGATGAGGCTTTGAAGTATGAACCTTTGGAGCTATGTCGTCTAGACTGACCTTGTTTAGTCTCCGAAGAAGTGCAAAAATGGTTGGTATGAATTGGGGACGTTTAGGAGGCGTATATAGTAGCTGGTCACGGTCAGAAGGTATATAGAAGAACCCAGGAAGGATGGACCTACTCAGCAATTACAGTCCAAACGATCTACAAGAAAACTACTGTGCTCATGATCATCGTTGCCCGTATTCAATCTTCAAATTTCATTTCACCATCGAAATGGAAAGGGTATAAACAAAGTCATCGTAAAGCATAAAGCATGAAGCGTATCAAACGCGCTCGTCCCCTCACAGCCGTGGACTAGCACAGGCCATTGTAGTGCAGACGAGTAAAGAGACCTTAAAACGAACGAAAACCAGAAACCTGGCTAGAAGGAAGGGTAAATCACAACCGAAATCGCAATCGAAATGAAAAACAGATCGAATCCGAATCGCTTTCAAGCAGAAAAAAAATTCGTCCAGCCACCACATTCATCATCACCGTCTAAGCATGACCATGACGATGACCATGCCCATGATGATAATGCTGTCGACGATGCTTCATAGAAGTCTTAGGCGAAGAGCGCTCAAACAAATCCGTGGAACCCCAGCTAGCGACCAATTCCTCCTCAGCAGTCACTTCTTCCTCCTCCTCCACAACCACTTCCTCCTCAGCACCCACCTCCTCACTCCCAGAGCCAGCAAAGAAGATAGACCAATCCTGATAGACCTTAAGCGACCGCACACGCCAATAGGTCTCCTGGAAAGCGATCGGATTGTTCTGCACGTAATCGACACACGATCCCGCACGGCTAGCACAACTCGACGAGCCCCAAACCGAGCCCGCCCAATCGCCACAGAAGGTAATATCAAAGATGATTTGCAGATTGTTGAAATGCGAGTTGATATCGCAGCCGCCGGCAAAGCGTGCGGTGGGCGTGCCCCAGCCGGCCGGGTTAGGGGTTCCCGATGAGATGTCGCCGGGCACAGCGTAGGAGGGGAAAAACCAGACCGAGATGGCGGAGCCGGTCCATTCAGTGGCGTAGACGCCGCCGCCGACGTTGTTAAAACCTGTGCCGTAGGACTGGGTGCTGTCGCTTCGGATTGAGCAGCCGCTGTTTGCGGCTTGGCCGGGGGCTTGGACGTAGCAGTTTGCTGTGTCGAGGGTTCCTGTGAAGCCGCCGTTGTTGACTGTGCAGCCGTTGCTGGTGTGCAAGGCCATTTGGTTTTGGGATTGCTCGTTTACGCCTTCGATTATGTCGATTTCGCCGTTGTTGGGCCAGTTAGAGCCGAGCATCCAGCTGCGGAGAGTTAGCTTTTTCTTGTTGCTTTTGACTGAAAGATATTGGGGCTGGGGCTCTTACAAGGCAGGCCAGCTGCCGCATGCACTGCTGGGCATGTGCGCCAGATCGAGAATGACAAGACCATGCTCGTAGGTGGTGGTGCTCTCCAGGCGGACGCTCTGGCGACCAGGCGAGGTGGCGGCATTGAAGTGGTCGACGCCGATGTAGACGCCGTTGCCTGTGTTGATGAGACCATTGCGCGAGGCGGTGTTACGGTCAATGTAGTTCACAAAGCCATTAGTGGGGTCTTTGCCCTATATATTAGACGAGTGTTAGATGTGGGACAAAGAGATAGAATCAATGCCGAGGGACATACCGTGTAGAAGTTAAACCTGTCGAAAAACGAGTCGGAGGCACCATAGTCGTCGCGCAGGGTGTATGCGGCGGAAGATACCTGGGCCAGCAAGCCCATAACGGGCAGGATGGTCGACAAAACGTGCATAGCGCCTAAGTGGTGGGGTCTTTGCAGTATGGTTGCAAGGAAAAAGATGGACTGGAAAAGGGGGTCTGTCAAAGACTGGAAAAGTCTAGTATTCCAGATACTGACGAAACTGATAAAGGACAATCGGAGAAAAGGAATGAATACAGAACAATAATGAGGGACAACAGACACAATGGACTATAGATTAATCAATGCCACAAACAGGGGAGCTGGGATCGGTTTTATACTTGAGACGCCTCCTTTCCTGAAGTAAAAGGTCCAAACGGAAGAAAAGGAAATAAAGAAAATTAAGAAAATTAAGAAAATTAAGAAAATTAAGAAAATTAAGAAAATTAAAAGACAAGAATGGAACAACGTGATACATCCACCAGACACTGGCCCAATCGAGGTAAAAGAGGTGGGGGGGGGGGCTGTTGAAACATGCACGGAATATGAGAGTCTGTCATGTCCGAGCCCCGGATCAGTGTCAGTAAATCCTTGAGATTTTGTCGACTGAACCAGCCTAGTCTGGAATGTATTCATGTTGGCATTTAGAGTAGAGTAGACAGCAAATCAACTTGGAGTGTATCAAATGTATCAAATGTATCACATGTATCACATGTATCAACAAAGTAGTTTAATCACGTTTAACCACAGCAGATCCATGGAAATCGCAGGCGCCCACGCTAACCTTAAATGTTTCAGATATCGAAAAGTCAAAAAAGAAATGAAGAAAAGGACTAAACTAGTTGATCTCCAAGACCAATCAGAGTGTTTACCGCCAATATCCAAGGTTTGCATAATAGTAAAGGGAAGAGGAGGAAGATGATAGGTCAGCAGCTGTTTGAACGCACTCGGCTATCAAGCTGTTTTGGGCTTTTTGGGGCTTTTTTTAATTATCTTAGTACTTTTGCGCTTCTTCGTTCCTAGGAAGAATTTTCCGGCGATTCCTCGGTCAGTCAAAACAGTCTAGATTAAGAATCTGAAATGTAAAAATATGAGAAGGCGGAAATCGAGGAATCGATCCGATCACCAGGTCTAGCCCTTCGCTTAAAATGCGCTAGGTCAAAAGTACCCGCACATACAGATGCACCCGCAGTACGGAGCACCTAATCCCATGTACTTGTACCGTGATCAATTATTACGCAGATCCTACCCAAAACTGATATTGAAGACACCGAAATGATAGTGTGATCTCAAGAGAGTCACCAAACCCATACCCCAGGTATTGTAGATCAGTACGTAAACCAAGGAAAACCCGACTCTCTCGATTGGAATAATATGATCACATGGTCTACGATCCACATGGACATAGTCACATAGAAAACGCCGTGCCATATCGGAACCCTGGAACGAGACTGAATGATAATCCGGGGTAGGAATCCCCAGTCAATCACATTGGGAGTCTAGGGTGTGCTGGGCGTGTGTCGGCTGAGCGGCTGAAATGCCGTGCCATATCTGAACCCGAGAACAAGACCGAATGATAACCCGGAGGAGTAGGCATCCCTAGTTGATCGCACTGGAGCACGGGTTTTACCGTACGTGGTTCTTGGAGAATGAGCTGAACAGCTGAAAAATCTCACCATTGTCATCACCTGTTCCCACGGAAGACACTGTGGCAGGGATAGACCTGGCCTTAATACCAAACTACATTACGGGGAATTGAGAGTTAAAATAAAAGGGCGAAAAAAAGGAGAATAGCCAGATACAAGGTGATCGTGTGTCTTATCTGGGATATCCCCCGAACAGCACCTAAAGTAGGAAAAAGCAAAGAGAAAGAGAAAAAAAAATTTAACAAAAGAATATCCCTAGACAGAAATGAAATGATCTTCACCGCTGTTGACTGGGAATTTATGTACAGAGCGGGCAGAACAGCCCGGCTCCTGACCAGTCGGCCAAATGGTCGCGCCGAGATGTGGTTTCAGCGGGACGGGCTCCCGCGCTGACGGCACCCAGCACGCAGTGTCGGTGGTAGAGGTGTCGGCAGGCGAAAACGACGACGGGTTCGGGGGCGCTGTCTGCGGCTGTAGCTGTAGTGCTAGATCCAACCCCAGCCTCGTCGTAAGTATGGTCATGATCATGACTATGGTCAGCGTTCGCATCGGACAAACCACCACCAGCGCCATGCTCGTGGTGAACGTGGGCATGCGCACCGCCCGCATCTAATCGCAACGGATGATCGACTCCGACATTAGCAGCCTTGCCCTTCCCGCGCTCAGACGGATTATAGCTATCCTCATTGCGTCTCGCGATGCGGCGGGCGTAGGCATCGGCACGTCGCGCTTCCCATGCGAACCAATGCGCGTCACCAACGCTGGGGCCCCAGATGCGGCGGCGGCAGATCTCGCACACGTGGCCGCGGGGTCGCCAGCCGTGTTGCCGCAGACGGGAGACTTCGTCGACGTGGACGAAGAGGTCACGGTCCAGCATGCCGTTTGCGAGGGTCAGTAGGGACTTCTCGTATGAGTAGGCGGAGAAGATGGAGGCTAGCACGGCGCGCAGTTCGAGGAGGGAGGGGGACCAGGTTGCGGCGCGGGCGAGGAATGCGTGCAGGATGCGTAGGAAGGACATGTCTGTTCTTTCGGTAATGGCTGGGCTACTTTTTACTGTGCTTGCTAGGAGGGCCGTGAAGACTTGCTGGACAAGGGTGCGGAAGGAGGTTGTTAGGCGGTCGCTTTCACCGGCGAGGGAGGTTATTGGTTGGGCCGGGAGGGTTGTTTGGTTGTTGTTGCCTTGGATGAATGCGAAGACGTTGCTTGCGATGCGGACCACCGCTTCGATGTGGTCGAGCCAGAGGAGTTCGTCGAAGGCCAGAGGCTGGTCGATGGTAGGCGCGTTGCGTTTACCGTTGGCGCTGCCTGTGCGTGACAGCTTGACCGTCTTACTCTGGCCCTGACAGAGCCACGTTCCGACGCCAGCATACTTATTCAAAGATTCGATCAGGTCTTCGATTGCCTCGGTGGTAGTCGCTGAGTCGGGGCTCTCGCGCACGCTCTGGAGGATACCTACCAGACCAGATTCGAGCGTGCCTAGGTGTGCGACAAGACGGTCAAGGGCCTCGCGAACTTGGCCTTGTCGAGCGAGGAGGATGACAGCAGCATCGATGGCTCCGCTTTCCTCAATGAACGGGAGCAGTTCTTCTAGGCGAATCTCACCGACTCGCAATCCATCGACGAACTCCGCGACATGAGTGGGGTTGTATTTGCATAACAGCTGCACGTAGCGCTCGATCATCCAGTTCTCAATGCTGGGCAAAGATTGGGTGTCCACAGTTTGAGCGTGCGGCTCAACCAGGACCAGTAAGTATTGATACTGTCTCTTGGGATCATCTTCCAAAACCCGCAAAAACGTAGAGTGTGTTTCAGGGACCAACTCTTGCATCGTCTGTGCAGCGTGCGTCACGTCAATTGCAGCGATCTCTCGGGCATGCTCCTTAACTACATCCAATATATCACGTCTCTGTTTCTTGCTAAGTCCAGAGCCTGGACGGAGGCAGTCATGCAGGCAGGTGAATATAGCATCGCGGTAATTTGGATCTTCCAGATAAGTCATCACCAGTAGGGGATATTGCTTCTCTGAACGGTAGGTCGACTTGAGTATCCGGAAAAAGCGTGCCTCTTTAAACAGAGGAATCATGCTTTGGATATCCGGCGGGTGGTAAAAAGACAGCAGATACTCAGCACTCAATTCACAATCTTCTGCCATTTCCTGCTCGGGATATTGACACACACGGACAAGAACCTGGTGGAGGGTCGTGCCGGAAAGGAGAACATACTGAGGATATTTGGGAAGATTGCGTGCAACAAACATATCCAGGTAGATTGTATCTAAAGGCGTGAAAAAATCGCAGGTCATGACTTGCAGCAAAAGGCTGATGAGGTACTGTCGATTGATCAACATTCCTGACGCGGAGAAATCCTCGCTCTCGGGCTCATTTAGGAAACTGTCCTCGAATGCCTCGTTGAGCATGCTCATGAAGCTGGAAGCATCGAACTTGAGCATGGCTCGAAGTTGAGAGAATGAGTCTGCCCCGTTTTTATCTCCAGGTACCGAACCGGCCCCACGGCCTGAGAAGAGAAATTGGTACAAGTCTGTTTTGGCTCGTGTGGCTTCAGTTTCATCCATGTTGTCTCCGGTGGGGTAGATGCGACCCGTCAAGATGAATGACAAGTAGGGGAAAATTTTCATCGCATTGTTCTGCCGCCTCATTTCAGTTGCGTAGTTACTATTGACCAAGGGCTCAGTTTGAGATGGAATAAGCTGTAGTAGCTCTTCCAGCGGTCCCACATAGTCCATCAAACAGCGGTTCCATACATATATAAAGGCGTCGTAAAGATTGTGCTGTTTACATAGCGTTGTGACTTGATCGATATCCATTGTGGTAGTATCAAGAAGACATATGATCTCCTCCAAGCGACCGGCCGAGTGAGTTCCAATGAAATTGTTGATCAAGGCCTTGACCGCGGTTGGAGGCAGTGATCGCAGAGTTCCATCAACGATGCGTGGTTCGAGGGCATCCAGGAAGATGCCTACCGAATTTTGCTCCTCATACCAGTTGTAGACTTCTTCCCAGAGGAACTCTTCATCAGCCATGTAGATACAAGCCGTGGTGGAAACGTCTGCTAGCTCCTCCAGCTGCTGGTTCTCAAGTCGGCCGTTGCTTGCCTCGGAATTGCGGCCAAAAGCATACTTTAGTGACGCGGAGATCATCTCCAACAGCCTTTCTTGCACAATAGGCCGCCTCAAAGCATCTTCTTCGGGAAGCCCAACCGTCAGCTTTTCTGAATCTCCTATATAGTAGGAGGTCGCTAGTCGAATGGCTCCAATGAAGTCACCAGCCTCCATAAGCGCTAGCAAGCGATCGGCCCAATTTGAGAGATTGCCTACCAAGGCTTCGTTATAACCAAGCAAGAACAGGCGCCCTTTATAAGAACGAAAACTCATATAGAATGCATCTGCTACAACTCCGTGCATAGAATCATCCTCTTCGTCAAGTTGCTCGACTAGCGAATGAAGCTGTGATGAGAAGAGATCGGTATGATATATGTGTCTGTTGGCTAAATCGATCGAGTCGGTCACATGCATGGAATAATCCTCGATAATCAACAGCCGCTGGGTTATTGTGAATACCGCGAGTACCGAGCGACTGAGCCACTGAACAGCAACAATAGCCTCGTCTGCTCTCCATCTACTGCGCGCTCTAAAGACAAGGCTAGGAGGATTGTCTTTGTCTGCAGGTTCGTTTGACTCGGAGACTTCAAGCACGGTCAACACATTTGACCAGCAGTAGGCAAGTTTCGTGTTCGAAGTTTGGGTGTCTTTGCCCTTCAGTCGAATGGCTGGAAACCATGATAGGGCACCACTCATAGCACTGTGAGCGGGGACTTCTTTGGGTCTCGGTGCCTTGTGATGGGTTTGTGCCACCGGTGTGGTGGACACAATTACAAGAAGATATGGCGTTAGCATAGCAACAAGGCCCAAAGAATCAGTGGGTTGCTCTACGTTGCCGAGTGGCAGGGGAGAGAAAGCTAGGACAGAGCTAGGCTTCCGCCGCTTGATCTCTGCCGTTGCCTGAGGATATCGACCCAGGATCCGAGTTGTCCTAACTGTTCGCCCCACTGCACCCATTCCTCTTGTTGCTAGGTGTGAAAACGACATGCCTCTTGTGTCAGCCGAGACCAGCGCGGTTCGTCTGGTGCCAAGGAACCCGATGTGGATCACAGCGGATCCTGCAAGATGGCCATCAGATGTTCGGGACTCGACTTGATTGGTCGGGATTGGCGGAATATGAAGGAAAGGCTTTGCTGAGCGAGATATCTCCCAGGTAAAGATATCGCCCGAGTCATGCCCCCCAGCAACAGTGGAATGGTCTGCGGAAAGTGCTAGTGATGTAACAGCACCACATTCAATAGCTAGATGATCATCAGAACAATGGGCCAGAGGGTGTAGACTTGTTTTGACAAACCTGGTGTGCCCGTTCCAATAATTGTCTTCAAGCTCTGTTGATAGTCAAACACGAGAATGATACCCTTGGATGTACCTATTACAATAGACGTGGAGACTGCAAGACAGGTTGGCCGTCCGAAATTGCGCTTCCCTAATTCCGAAAACGCCTGCCCAGTGATCTTCCGCAGCTTTGTCCATCGCACCACATCCCATGGCCCCTGGAGCGGTTCAGCTTCTGTTTCTGGACTCGGAGAAAGCTGGCTTGTGATTGAAGATTGTCGGGAGTGAAGATGAGATAGGAAAGGCGAGCCGGCTCTAGACAAACTTTGCGGCGATGAAGATAACCGGGACTGGAAGCGAAGATCGAAGGGGCGACGGGCCGGGCCTGGACTGACTCGCGGAGATCCGCGGAGCACCAGAGCACTGCTACTCAGGGAGGACAGAACAGAGCCCTGTTATCAATCAGCTAACTATCCAGGTTATGCGCCAATTATACCACTAACATGCAGCGATGGGGAATCGTCGGGGGTTGACCCTGTTCCATCCACGCTCCCCGTCGCATTCCAGTCCGCGTGTCGCGGTGGAGGGGCTTCTAGGAAGTTAAAGTCCGTATGTTCCGCTGTCTTCTCGGAATCGTGGTCCTCCGCATCATTTATCGTGTTCGATACCTCCTCCGCTGGTTCCTGCGGGGAAGGCAATGTTTGATCGAGGGCACTATGGTCGGGTTGTCGGGGATCGTCATCCTGGCCTAAGTCAAGCTCGTCTTCGCGCGACCAACCACCACTGCCCTCAGCCATCGAGCTCATGAGCGAAATCTCCGAATGACCATTGCTCCTCGTTGTGCAGCTTGGAAACGAGGCCGACTCAGCGACGAAGTGTTGTGGGAGGACTATTGTGTAATTGATAGTGAGATCCTTTTGGAAAATTGGAGGTGAATCATGAAAGCAGTACAATGTATTTCGAAGGCGTGAAGTGTCGAGCTCGAGGGGTTCGACGACAGTGGAGAATGAGAGTTCAGAGCTCCGTTGCCTGGGTCGGGGCCGTTCAAAGCGCCGTGCACCAGCCACAAGTGGCTGCCAGGTACACTTCCACATCCACAACTGCACCAGACGACATGCTTCAAAAAATTTATACAAACCTTGAAGCAGCGAGAGTTTCCAGAGGAAGAAAAACTACAAATGAGGGCTCTCGTGTCTTATGAATGACTTTTTACATGTTCCATTATGAATCACGCATTTTCAAATCCATGGGACCTGTTCATTGAACGTCTTGGCCACACCCTTTTCCTTCTGTAGTCCATGAAAATGAGACACGAGGTGTGGGCAAGTTTGACAATCTCTTCTCCGTCTGTTACAAGGTCTACTACACCTATGAACTTGTCTTATGTTGATGAAGAGTGGGGAAAGCAGATACACCAAAAACGATTTCTCGGGAAAATCACATCTATAAATTCATCGAAAACCGGAAACCCAAAACCCAAAGACCAGCCGTTGGTCGATCCGAATATCTAAGTAGTATAGGCGAAAAATGACAGATCATGTGGATCAAACTTCGACGTAACTGAGTGCTGTACTAGGAGTTGTAGCCCATTGGAAAAGGGGGTCACTCGATAGACAATTCATCGCCGCCCGTTCCAAAACCCATCGTAATCTCCAGCATGGATATGGAGATGCAATGTCAGACGGAAGATTAGCCATTATCCAACAGCATCCGGAAAATGAATCGAAATGCATGTCGAATAACTGAAGGTCTCCGAGTGGCCCAAAGTTCATATAAGGCGATCCTGAACTGATATCAGACACAAGGAAATTCTCACCCCATCCGGGTAGGAATGAACCCCAATCACTTTTTTGGGACATATTTGCAATTATGCCCTCTATACTCTGTTTGTCCAGGGTTCTGGATGCTTCCTGAAGAGTCTGGGCAACGTTGCAAAGCCGCCAGATATCTTCCGGCCCCACCGGACTAAGAGATTCTGGCACATGGATATCTTGCAAGACTCCAGGTGGAGGGTCCACAAAGCCATTGCACGGGCTTTTGGAGCCCAAGATAGCGTTACCGATATATCGCCGAGGCAAATTGAGTGTCTTCCTGGTATTCTCCACAATGAACATCTCGGATGAGGGCTCCTTCTGATCGGGGAAAGCCCTCAAGCGGGCGCGACTGGTACATATGCCCAGCAGCGCGCTGACGACCAGGCTCTGCGGAAGGGAAATCTCGGGATGATCCTTCCTGAATTCCTCAGGAAGAGACTGCAAAGCTGAATTGCAAGCATCGTGCAGAATTTTTATCTTTTGACCATCGAGTACATGGGAAGAATTGATAGGCATTCGGCTATAGTCTGTGGGTACTTCGTCTTCGCTTGTTGGGACAGGAAAGAGCGTCCAATTGAGATCTCGAGGTGTGGCTGTAGATGCAATATCATTGATAAGCTGCCTTATTTCTTCTTGTGCATGCGCTGTTGTGAATGGTCCCGGGGCATTTAGATCATTACAGAACGCGGCGAAAGCAGAGAACAAAGTAAAAAATCCCGATCCATCCATTGTCTGGTGTTGAAAACACCAGACCATTTGCAACTTGTCTCCAATCACATTTGCCTTCCACCGGAGCACAGGGGAAGGATGACGTGGTGGGTAGACGATTGGGAAGGGCGCCAAGACAGGGTTGAATTTCCCATCCACGACAAGAGCGATGGATTCTGGATGATTCTGAGTGACCAAAATAGGATACTCTTCAAGCTCGGCAGCAGTGGCAGGCCGCACCCGAAGTACGTTGCTTCTACCATCTGGCTCGGTAGATGGCGTCACCATCCCAGCCAAGAAGGGGAATCTGCAGACTAGACGATCCACTGCATCCTCCATTCGCTGAATGGCCTGGATACGATTCTTGTCGACCAAGCTAAATGTGAGAGAAAAATGGAAATGCCCTGTAGGCGCATAATGGTCAAAGGGAGTAAGATTGTAAGGTTGAAACATGGTTGCGGGATTCGAATTTATTCGGATTGAAGTACAACAATGACAATGAAATAAGGTCCCAATCTACCATTTAAATATATCTCAAAGACTCAAAATTCCGACTGATCAATTTGAGGAGTGCTCTGTTATCCCCACCACACCCTCTTGACATGTGCAGGTGAATGGTAGTCCGGCTTTTGTGTCACACATTGATGAACAGTATGCTGTTGATTGGGCAATCGAATGCTTAGCCCTTTATCTTGTAGCTTTGACACCAGATCATCTTTTGAAAATAAGCGTTTGATTTCTAATTCTGTGATGTTGCATTAACAAGAAAAAAAGCATCTGAAGATAGATAATCTTCATACTATTATAATCCAGAGATCTATTCAGTACTAGATAAGAAGCGCTAAATGAAGATAACCATGGATTTTCTGCATCATCACCTCAATTGGTGATTCCTAACCATCGGTCTTTGTGAAGTGAAAACATCATGAAGGGCTCGAAAGACATGGAATATGACATTTGAATTTTGAATGGCATAGTTCTGGATTTGGCCTGACACTGGATGTCCGAAGCTCCAAAGGGAAAAGGGCGTGGGTCTTTTCAGCGCCTGTCATACCCTGAGAGCTCTGAATACGATCTCGGGAAGCTAACAATGTGTACCTTGGCCGATAATGGAAGAGATAACACTACAAGTATCCCGAGGTACATAAATAAACCAGGCAATCTTGTATGTAATGGGGCAGATGTACTAGACATGATGGAAGATGTTGGCCTATCGCAGCACTGTATTGATATCCCCCTACATCTAGGTTGCATTGATGATGAAAGGAGTTTTGTCTCGTTTCAGCAGTGATTGTCCATATCTAGAAAGTGATTTTGAGAAAGACATCGTGAATGGTTAGGAACTGAACAGGATATGCTTTCGTAGTGATGCCCTGTGGCAGTATTAAAACCTGTCGTGCTACAAAGTGACAGCCCACCTTTTCGGCCCTGCCGAACCGCGGGAGCCCGGCTTTTGCCGTGTAATGGCCAGTGTCAGCCAGATCTAATGCAAAACTGAAGCTTCATTTGAATGGTTTGTACAGAAAGGACTCTCTAAGATCGGTGTCACTAGAGCACACCCAAAAATTCTGGGATGAGAATTGATGAGGCCTGCTACTAGTGCGTGGATGCACTCACAAGAGGAGTGCGTTTTTGGTGATCATACTCTATCACTAAAAGCACCTCTCACTAGCAAAATCTCTCACAGCCGACGTGAGTATGGCCAGTTTCAGGCATCTTCACTTTGCGGTTCTCATTTGGTTATAGGCCGAGAAGCGGAATGTATGTAAAAAGGAGCCAAGGTTTGAAAAAGTGCCTAATTGTTATATGAAAGAAGCCGTTTAAATGTATGCTACCTTTATGCGAAACTAAATTACTGGCTAGTCCTACCTAAAAAATCGACATCATTTAGTAGTAATTTTATAGATTGATATAAATAATAGATATTTTTAGTTAATTTATTATTTTTTTAAATACCTCAGTCCTATTTAGTGTAAATAGAGTCCTATAGACTTACTAGTAGGGAAACCACTAATCTTATTTAGGACTGACCTTTTTTTAATAGAGTAAAAAATTAGTAAAATGTTTTATAGAAGATTAGATAGTAGGGCTAATAGAATTTGGGTTCTAGGTAAGATAGTTGAGTCTAATAGGCTAAAGTAGGTAACTTAAATATCTACAAAAAGCTATCTTTTAGGGGTCTGAAATGACCATACTATATCGTTAGAGAGAGGAAGAATAAATCTAAATTCAGACACTATTAAAGGCAAATCGGAGTAAAAGTGTAGGGAGAAAAGCGGTAAAAAAGGAAGTGACGTAGTTTTTGATAGAGTAGAAGCAAAGTGGTAGTAGACCTAATAGCCAATGAGTGATCGCCAAAATAGAAGGAAAAATCCATGTTGTGAATTTATTTAAATACAGTTGAATCGGCATGAGCAAATCACCCTCGCGAGGGCAGCTGCCACCCGTGCGTGACCTGGAACACTAGCTATTTATCACGATGTCTGCGAAGGAAAGAACGAAATGTTGGGATTTAAAAGGTGAAATAACGCTCCTTTGCGCCTTCTCGGCCAGAACCAAGTGCAGCCAAGAGAACACGATGGGTCAGATCCACCAGGGACTGACACATGCAATGCTCAGTGCTCTCCTAATTTTCCATCATGGAATTGCAGTGTCGGAGTCAGGTGCAACAGTGCCGCACGAATCTCCGTCTTTGTTATCTATGCTCTCCGCCACTCCGCTGGTGTCGGCCCTAGCACCGACAACCTGCAACGGCCGCCCAGAGTATTGCAACCGGTCCTACTCAAATATCACATTTGTAGGATCTCACGACTCTGCCTTTGTTGGACCCCTACCACAGCAAAATCAAAATATCAACATTAAAGCCCAGCTCGATATGGGGATCCGGTACCTACAAGCACAAACACACCGCTCTATCACTGACAGGAACGTGATAGATCTGTGCCATACATCTTGTTTACTCGAAAATGCTGGATCTCTCAAATTATATTTGACGACCATCAAAAACTGGCTAGATGTAAACCCGAACGAAGTCGTCACTCTTCTCTTGACAAACGGAGACTCGGTAGCCATCACCGAGTTTGGAGACACTCTCTCCAGCAGCGGGATTTCTAACTATGCCTATGTTCCCTCTGCAAATCCACTGCCAATTGCAAACTGGCCCACCCTGAGTGATATGATCTCTAGCGGAAAGAGATTGGTCGTATTTCTAGGTAAAAAAAACACCAGCCCCAGAGAGATGGGCCAGATATGTACATCGACTAAAAAAGTTTCAGACTATGGTGCCGACATTAAAAAAGTGAACTTCATCCAAGATGAGTTCGCTTACTACTTCGAAACAGCCTACGACGTCACGGACGCCTCTTTCTCGAACTGCAGCCTCGACCGGCCCTTTGGCGCCGCCGCCACAGGCCGCATGGGCATTGTCAACCACTTCCTTGACATTGAAGTTTTCGGCGTAAAAATTCCAGCTCGTCAGAGGGCAAGCACTACTAATGCTGCGACGGGGCCAGGTAGCATTGGTGCCCAGGCAGCGCTATGCTCTGGGCTGTATGGGCGTGCGCCGAATGTGGTGTTAGCGGACTTTGTGGATAAAGGGGACGTTATTGCTGCGCAGAAGAATCTGAATGGGTTCTTGATTGGGGTCTGAAGTCATGCATTACTATGACCCTGTTTCATCTCTTAACACTCATTGACTCTATATCGAACTCTGTTCTGCATAACGCTATATCTTTTATGGGTGTGAATGTCTTCTACCCCGCAATTAGTGACAATCCGCAAGAACAACCTAGCGCGCGAGGAAGTCACACTGCATGTCACCATCGATATCCAACAATCTCAATACGCTTCTTAAGTGAAAATTGCTAATTTTGCCTTAGGGTGCACCAACCTATCTTAGGATATATCTTTCCGCTACGCTATCTTTACCTATGTATCCTCATTAGTCATTGTAGATTGTAGTTGCTTGCCATAGCACAGTATGCTGTAGGGCTTTTACAGTCACTGAATTTTTAACCATGCAATAGGAAGTGAATTCGAATCTCTAAGCTACGGATGCCCAAAAATTTAGCAAGCCATGAAGGTGTATAGCAACTTTTCATAATAGCATCCTCGCAATCGTTGACGTCATCAGAATTTATACCACTCTGAAAGTCATGACAAGCAGATGGCTTAGGAGGATATCAACTCTGTTAATTTGAATCAACGCAAGACGTGACTTCAAAAATCATAATATGATGGTCTGTTTTTGCCCATTAAGATGTCAGATTGCTTAGTGACCTACTTTGAAGCTCAAGCGCGGTTAACAACATGGACCGACGAGCTTGAGTTCCTGGGCTACATTCTTTGTGAGCTGATCGATAAGGATGGCTTGAATGCAGTAGGATATCGATGTCATCAGGCAATTGATCTCCCGGCTATCATTGGCCTTCTTCGCATTCAATCGGAGAAGCCCGATGGGTGCCTCGCTAGAATGATGAGTGAAGACGAATTGAAAGTCTTCAGCTGGTTTATGAGTAAATCGAAGGATATCCGAAACATGATGGCACATCATAAAATCCGAAATGCCGATGAATTGAATCATCTTGAAAACATCAAGGAGAGACTTGGTGACATGCTTGAATTCGCCATCAGGGGAGCTGCCTCGGATTGTGGAAGATATGAGGTTCGTTTGGGATTAAAAAAAAAAACCGATAACCTACTAACAGCTTCAGGAAAAAGGTTCCTTGGTCTCCCTGCCATCATATCTGCCAAACATACATGGAATCAAAGAGACCGTCGACAGTCATGGTTCCGCTGAATAAAGAACCACTGCTATTTTTTCGTGGTCGGGTCCTACGCGATCATGATCTTCGACAGAGACAGATGCTCCACCGAAATCCAAAATGCAAGGCAACTGAGGAAGGCCGACGAAAGCAGAAAGATGATTTTGAAGCTGCTCTCCTACGGAAACAGCAAAGGAAGGACCGAGACATCGCCACACGGTCTAATCATCAATCTGTGAAACTTGAAAGATTAGAAAAAAAGTTCACCAGATCGCAGGAGCTAGGATATAATCGACTGAACAAAGTGAAAGCGCGGATGAGAGAAGAACAAGAACTTTTCTATCGACAGCGAGCTGAAATCCTTAAAGACGGACTCTTTTATCCAACTGTTGAGGATCAAACATTGTTGATAACAATCCTTCTTGCTATTAGTTCGCCGCTCTGGTTGACGGTTATGTTCATCTACAATGTATACAGCAGAACTCGAGGCAGCTCTCGCTGCGTATGATAGAATTTGAAGAACGGCAGCTTGATGGAACCCCCAAAGTATTGGATACCTTTCTTCATATTTGTGCATGTCTACTGGATCATTTCTGACACCTAAAGTCTTTTCCCTTTCAATTCAGTGCTGAATCTTTGTCATTTTATTTTCACTGTGAATCTCATCTGGTGTACCATAGCTCACCCTGTATGAATGGCGAGTTTGTTCCACCTTGCCTCAGATCGAAGTGAAGAAGATCGTTGCCTAAGAGTAGGCACGTGAAGCTTTGAATGGAAAGCTTTATAGCTGTTCTCAAAGACCATATATAGAAGTTATTCTAATCTAGTCCCTTCTACCAGTCATAATTTCTATGTGTTGGAGAAATGGGCCAGGCTGAAGAGTCATTCCGTAAGCATGCTATACCACTTGAGCATTCAATGACTAGGATTACTACGGGCAACAGGACATCTACTGTGGGACACCCAATTCAGATTGATTTTCCCTTTTTGTGACTTTAAGCAATTCTTGATCTCATGCAGCATAGCTCGGTATTTACAGACCGTGTCCCTTGGAGATGCAAAAATCAACAAACGCCACCGGAAGCCTAGATTGAAGGATGACATAATGCTCTTTAAAATCATGCACCTGCGAAGCCAGACTAGGTAGCGACGTTCGTTCAACCGTAAGCAGCACCGCCCTAAGCCTTAAGAAAGACGGATTTCAAATTACTGCAGGAAGGTAGGGGGAAGATCCGGGCCTATCGTCAAATTAGTCTCCACAAGAAAGTAGCGTTACTCAAAGACCAACCCCAAACATGCAAACTATCGGGCGAGGCAAGGGATCGATTGATAGGGTAATGATCATCGACCAAATCACCATCAACATAATGCTCGACGATGAAGCGAGAGGGGTCGAACCTTCCATTTCACATACAACATAAGCGTCAAGGTACTACCCAGAAAAGAATGGTGCAGAATAAAACGTACCAATAATCAAAGATCTGACTACCCATGATGTGACGTCCTATACCCCAACAGTTCTCATACCCCTTGCTGCGTAACCAGTCATGCCCCAAAATCTGCATGTCAAAATCATGTGTTTCAAACGAGGAATGGTGTACGTGTGGCTTGGGACCTTCAAAGAAGAAAAAGCAATGGTGGTCAACCAATGCAGAACCACGATCTAAATGAAGGAATGTGGTTATGTCTCTTCCGGTGGAGTCATGGACCAGCTTGAATGGTCAGGAAAACACATTCTCAGTACACAGACAGACCGAGTCTAAGGAGAGTACTTACATCACTCGGCTTGAAGTTGAACCGGGTAGTATAGAAATCAAACGCCGTCCCGAAATCGGTGACGCACATTCCAAAATGACCTAATTTGTGCACCAGAGCAGGGCCTTTTGACGATTTTTATGAGCACTAAGTCTGTAGAGTGGCTTCATCTACTTACCCTTTTGGAGTCGCTGTGTCTCATTACCTGGCCGGTGTTTCTCCGTTGGCTAAGAGAAAGTCAGAACAACATACAAAAAAAATAAAAATAAAATAAAAATAAAATAAAAATAAAAATAAAATAAAAATAAAAATGAACGCCAGAAGCATTGACTCGTGCAAAAAATTAATTGACTGACTCACGAAATTGAAATCTAGCTGGGGGAACGCTTTTTCATCGGCATAAGGTGTTTGTCCATAAACAAGGTGGAAAGGGAAACCGTCGACGGGATCGTGGAAAGTGACACAGCGACCACCGCCAGGCGCATGGTTCAAGTTGTATATCTCTGTAGCTCCAGGTAGCTCTTGTGCAGCGACCAGGTCAGCTTCGGATTCCACGACGAAAGCTGCACCCCCGAACACATCTTTTTTGCCATGTCGTGCACAGTACACAAATGGCTGGGAACTAGTGCCACGATAGTAAATATCCTTGCCCACCCGTTTGACTTCCTGAAAGCCGAAATCCAATAGGAATTCATGGGCTTTGGTGATATCTTGGTGGGAGTAAAAGACATGCGCGATGCGAACAAGGTTGATCCTCGGTGCATTGTTCGAGCCTGTCATTTTGGCTGGTGTGGAATGTGCTCGACAATGAGAATCGAGTGATTATCTTGGAATGAGCGGTATCCACCCTTTCCAAATTACCAAAATGTAAATTTCGCTCAACAAGGCAGGTGGAATTAATCTAGGCGCATTTTATAGTGGAATTGGGGTTCACGAACTTATGCCAAATCACCCCACGCGGCCGCTCTTTGGTGGATTCCTTGAAAAAGCAAAACATGAACCGGCATATTTCTGTGTGGCTCTCAATGCATTCAGGTCTAGACTGGCGATGCCTACATGTTTTTACATTGAAACCTGGCCTGCCTTCAGTTGTCACTTGGGGGAGCATGGAATTTTCTCTCCATTTGAAGACACCCTGGACTGTTGCTGCATGACACAATAGTTCTGATTGAAATCGTAGCTAGCCAGATATTGTAAGTATCGTCAAATGTACCATGTGCGCCTCGAAAGGGCTACGTTACCGGTCGGTACGGGTTACTAAAGCCGGTTCTGTGTTTTCAGCAATTTCAAACTTGTCCAGTGAAACCATTCAGGAATATGTCTATATAACATGGTAGGTGGACCACCTAGCAAGCAAGTCCTGTATACTTCTTGTAAACGTCCCCCGTAATGTGTGAATCAAAGAAATAACAATCAGGAGGTATCGGAAGAGTCCCAGTAGTAGGTCTCCTATCGGGTTGTTGAGGCACTATGCCTATCATCGCCATATAATCTACTGCAGCCGAGCGCCACCTCGTATCATTGTGGGTAGTAAAGTGTGACCAGCCATTGGGAAATACTGCGGGTAGAATGGTGAGCATTTCCGGCATGTATCAAGGAGGCTTGTTATTGGTCCTTCTCGAAGTTGTGAGATGGGGAACATTGTCTTGCGTAGTGGTATGTGATTGGCTTTTGGTTGTTCGTCTCCTGGATATCTGAAGAAGATTGGCTGTTATCAGTATGTTTCTCTCTTTTCCCAACTTCCAATTGCTCTTTGAGTGACTCTAGATTCCACTACAAAGCGGGTTGGGTGCCTCAATCTTCAACGCACCATCTATAGGTTAGATTTAGAACGTCGAATTGCGGTTTGATCAAGCTTTCATTAGCAAGTGCTCGAGTATAGTGTTTGCGAACCACAAGGGGTGGACAGACACACATTTGTGTCGGATCTGATCATCGCAGCTTTGACTCAAGGGTCTGAAATTTTCATTCATCAATTTCGACCAACTGCTTGATAATGTAGTTTCTGACCAGTCACTTCGGTCTTAGATGTGCTGAATGTAAACCCACCGGCCACACCTCCAGAGCACTTGCATTGGTTTGTTTCGGAGTAACAATATTGAAGTCTGAATGCATCATATCTATGGATCATCAATCAAATAAGCTAGATCGTAATGAAGATATTGTGTAACGGGTAATTTTTCTGTCGTTGACATCCTATTTGCTCTTGCCCCGGCGCACCAAAGGCCAGATGCTGATGGTGATAATGGAAATGGCCTGGTAAAGTGAGACTAGAAGCAACTTAATGCATTCCCTAGTTTCTTCAATTTTTTGTTAACCGCCCGCAACGCATCCTGGGGTGTAGGGTCTGCTAGTAGCCCAGATTGCTTATAGTGGATAGCCGTTAGGCACCAAAACAGGGTTGGGCTGCTCCCATGAAAGAGTTGACTACCAGAAATCGTGCTTTGTGACACTAATCACCCCGATACTGGAACGCCTTCCAACGCCGATTTAGGTCCGCATTTGTGAAGCTGCTTAGAATTGGATGGCCCTACAACCAATTGGAGTTATCAGCAGGAAATAGGATTTCCATGTGTCCCCAGTCAATAGAAGTTGGTATCTGACGAATTGTACTGGCAAAAACACCCATTTCCCAGGATGTCCAAAAGGCACGGCGCTTTTCTTCATCCGCTTGCCACCGGTGGGGGCTCGTCGGGTTTCGCTTTGGTTTTTAGTATCAAGATGAAGCAAGTCCATCTCGTATGCCCTACAAACACAGAATCCTCAAAACCGCCATGCCTTTCCACTAACCTCTCGAGTCAGTTGAAAATTCGTTACAGCCATGAGGGCCTGGGAATCACAATGAGGTGTGGCATTCACGCCACAAGAGTCTTTTCACGTAATCCAAGGCACGGCTAACAAAGTAACTTGGCTGTCGATGACCTTTTTCCGCCGTTCAAAACTTATCGAGAGGTGCCATCTATCTTATGACAAAGAAAAACTGAGCGATACCCCAGCTATGGCAGCGAGCAGTGTGCCCAATTGACACAGAGAAGAGATATTCAAAAAGATGCCTGGGAATCAAGATTCCTGGAACATATTGATGATGACCATGCTCTTAAAACTGCTCAAATCCTGACGGCATAACCAGCTGGTTTTAGATTTGACTTTGCTTGAGTGTTTAGAGTCGCCGAAGTTCTTAAATTGGATTTGCCGCAGCCTGTGACATCCCTAATTATGTGTAAGCTTGACGGCAAGGCCCGCCTTGCGCCCTATCATGAAAGCTCCGGCTTTGATCTTGATCGCAATTGGAAGTTGTAGATTTATATGATAGGTGGACTTAGAGAAGATCATGCGAATTGAGGTATGAACTTTGCGGTTGATTCCCTCCATGTTCCACTCTTCCATTTAATATCTCCGTATAATCGGTGGGAACCTGCCCTTCGATTTTGGACTTATAATCGAGAGTTTCTAGATCACCATGATCCGAAGGCAGGTCGGAATTAATTAGTGGGCTTGACTGGTTTGAGCTGTGTCCTCTAGAGGATGATATCCGCTCCGCTTTTGGAGAGACCCTGAATCTTGTCGACATGGTCCCGACAGCTGTTTTTGCATATGTCCAGAGATAGGGCCATCTTTATCAATCCTAGGCTATGGCTTCATCGATTGAATCAGATTGCCTCTTTGGCCGGTTTGTACACAGACCACGCATTGAGGCATTGATCACTGACCAGCCGTCACTTGCCAACCTTGAAAATAAATGAAAATTCTAACCTTCACGTACAATTTGACTTTGCGTCGAGGAAGAAATTTGCTGGGATAGAATGGACTTCTCCTTCACTGCTTTTGGGGAACGAGCGTTTGACGATGTTACGTTGATGTCGAGCTACTTTTCGGGGAAGGAGCCCACACTGCAGATCCAGAACAGTTGAAGCAGAAGACAGAAACAGAACAAATGCAAGAATTGGATCTTGCGCAGCACTACAGATTTTCGAATCCCAGAACGGATCTCATAACCGTGAGAAGCTTTCTTTCACAGGCTGTACTGTCCTGCAAAGCTTTTAATGCTCTCCATGCAATGAATCGATCCGGTCGAACCAACACGGCCCCCGATTCTTCTACACCACGGACAGTTTCCCACTCAAAGTAAACATCCTCCCAATCTTGCCTGAATCCAATCGAACACGCCTGGATAGGAATCTTGAGCTTCTTGGCAACAGTTCCAGCCGCTTCCTTCCAAGCCTCACCTCCAATTCCAGTCAAAAGTGTGAACAAGCCATGACCAGCAAGATCAATTGTCGAGATAGGCTTCTCTGGTGTTGCCTTATTGAGCCAAACGTGTGGCAAGCGAGAGCCAGGATATGTGCTTGGTTCATGATACAGTACTTTATCCTCGGCCGCCCTTCCGAATTGCCTATAGGGTTGCGCTTCGTCAGTCGAATATATTCCTCGGCCCTCGTAGTGCTGGTTCATTTCGACTCCCAGCCCGTGAAACTCATGAGAGGTGTGTTTGATTGCCTCACGCAAGGCACGGCGACGATTTGATCCTTGTGGGGTTGCACTCTTCAATTCCTCCAACATCTGTTTCCGGTCAGAAACATCCGCCGGCAGCATGCCAAGCGCATCCCACACGTGAAAGTGATCGCGGAATGCCTGGTTCGCTCGGGTAACTACTGAATGACCAACCGGCTGTCTTTCGCTGGAATATGTGGATAGAAGCGACGGGGACGCGAGGCCTTGGCAGACATAGGCAAGCTTCCAGGCCAAATTGAAGGCGTCTTGGATGCACGTGTTTGAGCCCAGGCCGTTCAACGGAGGGTGGCGGTGCACAGCGTCGCCGAGACAGAAACTAAAAGCAGGATCTCTGATTAGAGAGAACTCACTCATCGGATTAACTGGGAAAACAACTCACATTTTGCCTTCTGAGTACTTCTCCGCAACAGTCTCATTGATATGCCAGAACGAGATGTCGAGAATTTCGACAGGTGTGTCATCTCCAATAAACTCCTGCACCCTCTTTTGGTACTCCTCCATGGAGGGTTTGCTTTGAGAACGGTCATAGCTGCGATCTGGGAACAAGATGAACATCCACTCATTCCAAGGCTTTACCATGCGAACGATTGCCATCCAACCAAAGTTAGGGTGGTCGCGATCCGGCTGCATTACCCAATGAAGGTTGCCAGTCCGATTTTTGACAAGATGGGAGATCTCGGCCTTGACAAGCACGTTGATTGCTGAACCTTGTCCTGGCAGGACTGCGAGAGGCAAGTTCAGTTCTTTCACCACTTGACTGCGGGCACCATCGGCCCCCAACAGATACTTGGTGCGGATGCGGTATTCGTGGGTTGAGATTTCATCGCGAATGCTTGCTATGATAAACCCAGTCTTCTCGTCATTGGAGAATGAAAGAAGTGTCGTATGAAAGCGACACTTGAAGCCTTTCAAAGCCGCATGACGAACTAGAACCGGTTCCAGGACTGTCTGCGGAAGGTCAAATGGTTCACATGGACTAGCCAGCTCGTATTCACCCTTTCGTGCTCAGTTAGTTGACTTGTTCTACAGGTTATTCAAGCTCATCTACCGGAAGAACAAAAGCAACAAGTGGGAAGAGTGATTGAACCCCACCTTTCGTCTCGGATCATTACCCCAAGAATGAATTCTGGCGTATTCTTCGCCAGCCATACTATGGCACCATCTGGTGTGTTGCATGTGATCTTCGCCCGTGGCTCCTAGCTTTTGGAGCTCCTCGTATAGACCAACATCTCGGAAACATTCTGAACAGGTCTGTAAGTATTTCAACCGCAACTCGAGGTCTACTCGTGACTGACCAAGTGCGGCCATGTTGGTAATATGGGCGCGAGGAGTGTTTACTGTCCCTGACGCGCTGCTGATCATTATGCCCTTGAGCCCTTGAGGCTTTAGCCACAAACTCCAAAGCTATTGATTCAGATACTCACCATAGGAGCCAAGAAAGCAAGCTAAGGCTGCACCCGCAGGCCCTGCGCCAACAATCAGGAATTCTGTATCGATAGCGTGATCCTCAACTTGATTCGAATAAGTGTGTTGAGCAGTGTTCGCGACATCATCTGCTGCTGTGTTCACTGAGACTTGGTTTGTTCTTGTCTCGCCGATCGTGTTTTGGCTGTTCGCAAGAAAGGGAGCCATGAGCTCTAACAAGTATGGCTGATCGAAATCTGTTATTACAGAGAGGTTACAGTAGAGTTTTGGTCAACGTCAAGAGCTGAACATATATAGTTACAACGCCTGCTTAATAAGAATTATGAATACAACACTGGCGGTGTAGTTGCATGTTTAGTGTCTGCCAAGATTTGAGTCTGGCCTCGGACACAAGTTGTGACACAGAATTGTGTCGAAGATTATCCGATTGTGCTTCCGAGCACTATTCCTGTGGTTTTCGCTAAAGGGTTGAATCACCAAAGAACAATGTGAGGGACAGCAAGGACCATCTTTTGGGTGGAAACGAAATACAAATTGGATTCAAGGCGGAAGTATCTTTGCATAGGTCGACTTGCAGAGGTTAAGCAACACAACAGCAAAATCTAGCAAGATGGGGGAAACCGCAGCCACTAACTAGGCCACAGCAAAAAATAAAGATCTCAAGATATAGCCTAGAGGGGGGGCTATTCCTTAGATTGACAGGGAACAATTACAAGATTCTGTACTCAGCTCCAATTATAAAGCTGCCCAACTGAAAGCATGAGCGACAAAGTGTACCAGGGACTCTAGTACCGGCAAATGATCACCCAAGTAGAATTCAAGATATCTCTTCATAATCGAGGACAAAGGCCCTAGGTGTGAATTCAAGGGGCCAGGAGCCTGCTATCGCCGATGCAAGGCCCTAGATGACCTACCTATTAAGTGATGAATACTACATTTCTCTGCAATTGTATTTGATCCCTTTGAAGGAAACCCGAAATTAGCGGATGGATTATTTAACTACATACGTTGTACATACCCCGGTGCATAATGTTGACCGCTACGACCAAAGTTATGCGTAGCACCAATATTCGTCCGTGGTAAAGATGAAGACATCCATACAGCTCTAGAAACCTCTAGTTGTTCCATCATTTCGATCTCCACAATTTTGTAGATTAGATCGAGTTCTTTGGTAAGATCTCCCCTAGCTAGTTACTTGCAATTTTGGCAGCTATCAGATTGACAAAAAAATCTTAGCTCCACTGACCCCGGCCCTCAACTTCTTCAGTGCTGAACTCACACATCGGTAAGATGACATCGCTCACTATTTAGTAGAAAACCGCATGCCCTCCGAGCTTCACAAGGTAACCATGGTGTTTTGGACTGGCGGTGGCAGAGACAAATAAAGCCGAGTCGTTTTGTCGATTGAACGGCGAAGTGCCCACACTACTAGCTCCGATCCAAATTAACACCGCTTGCTTCTCCTATGGGGTGTGCTTGGTGACGAACAAGATGCCCAGTGTGATCCAGGTAGTCAAGGGGGTCGTGGTGGCTAAGAGGAAGACGGCGCCTTCTTTAAGTGAGAGGTCATCTGGGAGCGCAGCAACGCCTTCGGACTGTACTTAGACAGATTTTCGAAAGGCGCCATGGTCTCGCGAGCCATTTTGAAAACAACGGAGGAGACAAATATAATGACTCGGCTTCCTGGTGAGCAACTTTGAGGGCATTGGGACCTACTTTTGCGACGACACCAGAGAGATTGGACTCGATTGCACCGGGATAATTAGGAACAGGGGGCATGCCAAAATCACGCTGGTACTATTCGACGTGTGGTGCGGGTGGTGCGGGTGGTGCGGGTGCTTAGCGATAGATCTACAAACCTCGGGATAAAGATAGGTTATAGATGCATCGACACGGGAAGATAGAACACACCACTCGAAGGGATATGGTTATAGATGCAAAGCAGCATTAGCAAGCCTTGTTGGAGGGGGTTCTGGCCTCTTACTGTCACTACCATATCAAATGAAGGGTAATCCGTGTGGAAGAGTAGATTCTCTTCACTGTTGAAGGATGTCTGGACTTGTTCTGAATTTTGGTCAATTCATGTAGAGGTTTAGGAAGAACTTGAACTCTGAAAGTAAAAACACATGAAGAACTTCACCAAGCAATCTGTGGGATGTAAAAGGAAAGAATTGCCTGTACTGGCACATTACATGCAATTTCAAATAGCCTCAAAGATCGGATTTTGAGAGATCCGGATGAAACGACCGAAAGATCCGGGAAACTGGGACAATGTACATAAGGAAATGTGCACTCCCCACAACACACAAATCCCTGCTAAATCCCAAGCATAATCAAGCTAATCAAGCTCGGACTCCTCGTGAGGGTGAGCAGAATCAGGCTCGGCGTAGTGAGCGTAGAGATGAGTGATCAGGTTATCAGCATTATCTTCGCACACGGTGCTCACGAAACAAGGCGTCTTGCGGACCTCTTCAGAGACATTGGCGTAGATAAGGGCGACTGCACACTCGCACATGCGCCGGTACCACATGTACAGATTGTGGCCAGGGGACAGTGGCTGAAGCTCTGCAGTTACAATATGCCACACCGAGTGCTGGCGGAAGAGCAGGCCCATGGCGGCCAACCAGGAGTCCCAGTTCTCGTTTCCAGTAAGAGGGGGAACTTCAATCGGGACGAAGTGCTTGTCATGGGTAGTGTTCATAAAGAACCTCACATGCTTGGCGGTCCTGGCTTGCTCGGCTGTGTTTTCAACCAGCGAGACATCATCGTCGCTATCGGAAGTGCAGGATGGTAAAACGAAGCGGTCCAGGTCGGTGGGGAATGTGGTGGAGAGAGGGTTTCTCGGTCGCTGAACCCTTGGATTGGCCTCGGGGATGTCCTCCATCTTGATCTTGGGAGGTGAAGACTCTGTATTCGTGTTAGAGGGAAGAAAGATCTATTCCCAACGTCCGTTTTTGAGAAGAGAAAGAGGGACTGTTGGCGGAATTGGGACTAGGGTTGGGACAAGGGAAACAAGGTAGTGTCGTCCTCGGTGCAAGGAAATTGGTTCGATAGAATACCGAGACCATCGGCAAACTCACTCTTTGTGTTCTTGCTATTTCCGTTGGTCGTTTGATTGGCAGGGGTAGCAGAAGTCTCTGTAGTGTTGTTGTTAGAGGCAAGATAATACCAGTCCCAGCGTCCATTTCTGGAAACGAAGATAGGGCAGCCAGTGGAATCAGCAGTGGGTGCGTGGCACAAGGTAAGATCATCCTCGGTACATGGGAATTGGGCTGAGGCTGGGTCTGGGACAGGAGTCAAGTTGAACCTGTACTCACTCTCATTCTCACCACTGGCGACGGAAGCGGGAGTGGGAGAAGACGTCTCAGTTTTGATCTCTGCACCAAAGGCATAGAGGTTAGAATCTGTCTGTTGTGTGCCATCGTGGAAAACCCGTTAAAGGGTTGTAGGCTGATTCCAATACTCACTTGGGTTTTGGGTTCCAGTAGAGAGCTCCATCTTGGGGACTCCTGGCGGGGAGCTGCTGTTAGCTCTTTCTAGGATGGCTGATTTTCTACCTTTCTGCTTCTTTCTGATAGGCGACGATGATGGGTGAGGGGACAAAGCATGGGACATACCCTTCTTGGCGCCCTTACGGGAGGAAGGTTTGGGAGGCATGGCGGTCGTTGACTGGAAAAGGAGATTAATGAAGATGGCAGAGAGATAAAAGATGAGTTAGAATAGAGGTGATGCGTTTGCTGGAAATTGTTTGTGGGCAACTGAGAACTTTTATATCTTTGACATTGGCAACCCGTCAGATTCCATGAGACCAACCATCTTACACACAAAGCACATGAGGAATTGAGTCTTTACATGGTGATTCCATTGTCATGTACAGAAGTTGGACACTGCATAGAAACTGCGAAGAAAGAATTATGGAATAAAGAATCCAAGACATGACAGGCAGAAGACCCTCTGCTGCAAGTCAGACTTAAAATTGAGGATTGTAATCCACGACAGGAATTGTAGTGTCATCTAAACTAACTGATCCTGGGGTATCAATACCAGCGTACTTGTTCAGCCATCCCAAAACCTGTTGGTGCCAGACAAGGCTGTTTTCCTTGTTGATGACCCTATTTCAATCGTATTAGGTTAGCTCTATGACGCATCTCCATTCAAAGACATCTAGAATACTTACCAATGGTTTTCATCGGGAAAACTGAGTAGCCTGCTTGGAATACCTCGCTCTTGCAAGACATTGAAAAGCGCCAGACCCTCGGAGATGGGAAGACGATAATCCAAATCACTGTGAACGATGAGTTGTGGGGTAGCAAACTGTTTAATGTGCTCTGGAGCCGATGGATCCCATCGACGATAGTTGTCACGATTGTCCCAGAACGTGCCGTTGAACTTTGGAAGAGTCAGCATACGAACAGAGCAAAAATCATGTATAAGATACATGCCTCATGCTCCATGAACCACAGTTCCTCAGTCGAGACCTTGGCATCGGCCACAAATGTGCCATCATGGCTGACCAGCGCCTTGAACTCGCGGCCTAGAGGATTACCCTGGATCCAGTTGATCATGAAGCCTCCGTAGCTGGCGCCAGCTGCCACGCCGCGATCGGTATCGATAAAATTCAAGTTATCTCGGACATACTCCCAACCTTTGACCAAGTCATCGTAGGGGAAGCTTCCTATTGATAATTAGATGGTAATAACGGGAGTGAGTGATGAGTGAGTGATGAGAGGGGCATACCCCAATTGTTGGCGATCACATCCGTGAGCTCATCACCAAACCCAGTGCTACCAGTTGGATTGGGTGCAACAACCACATATCCTTGGTCGGCGAAGACCTTGTAGTTCCACCGAGTGCTCCAGGAGTCAGCCCAGGAACCTTGAGGGCCACCGTGAATATAGAACAAAAGCGGGTATGACTTTGACTTGTTAAAGTTCGAGGGGTAGACGATCCAGGAATATATCTACGAACATTAATGCGTTAACAGCATTTAGATCCCATGAGAAAACGGTAGACTCACATCTGTCCAGTTGCCCTTATAGTAGAACTCATCAATATCCGATGGACCAAGGCTCTTCAAGGCGGGGTCAAGTTCGTTGGCAGAGAAGATCACACCTGTGACACCCTTGCCAGGCTTCGCGGTGTAAATTGTGCGACTAGTATAGATAGCGGAACCAGAAACCAAGTAGTCTCCGTCAGGCAGGCCGTAGTAAGCAGCCACCGCGCCACTGTCGGTAAAATTCTTAGGTTTGAAATCTTTACCAGCATCAGCGGGTAGTAAGAAGAGTCGAGAGCGTGCAGAATCTTCTGTGTTCAGGACCAGGTTCTTCCCATCAGCCGTCCACTTGATCGCCCCAGGTGAACGGTCCCAGTTCTTGGCCAATGTGCGAATAGTGTCAGTGGAGCCAATGGTGTAAACGTAGACAGTGCGACGGTCCGACTCATAGGAGATATCTTCCATTTGGAGATATGCAAGGTGACGGCCATCTGGGGAGAAGACAGGACTGCTCGAATCACCCTTGATGCCTTTTGGAGTTCCAGGACTGTCCGGACCATTGATAGCTACAGCCTTTCTAGATCCATCATGAGGCACAAGAAAAATATACGAAGCAGTGTTGTTTGCACGTGGCAGTTCAGGGGCCTTGCTCTTAAATGCAACCAACTTTCCGTCGGAAGAAATGTCATAATCAGACGAATCACCGAATGGCGGATAGGGTGACTCAAGGTTCTTGACTCCTGCGACAAGGTTCCTGAGAGACCCACTAGAAGTGTAGCTGGATGTCGCTCCATGTCCGGCTCTCTTCTTCTTCAGAGTCCCCGAATAGATGGCATTGAATCTCGTCGTGATCCATTTATCCCAGTGGCGGACGTAAATACTGTCGTAGATACGTGCCGAGCTTAGCGGCTTCGCAGCGAGCTCCTCATTGTACGCCGTTCCATTGGGCCAGGACTCCCCATACACCAAGAAGTTAATGTCTCCAGACGTGGTGGTGGCCGTCTTGAGTCCAGAAAGCCGGGCTGGCAGTGAGGCTGCCTTGTACGCACTGCGCATCAATTAGGAAAGGTTCATCCCAATATGCAAGTAAACTCACGAGGTGGTGAAATCCGAGGTGTCTGACACCCAAATCTCGGTACCTCCAGGAGTCTCGGCATTAGTGCCGTTGATATACAACAGACCAGAATCAGTAGACCCTAGCCAAGTCAATTCAGAGACATTGCTGTCGTTAGTGAGTTGAGTCACTTTTCCAGTCTCCAAATCTAGCAGGCTCCACCATGATGATGTAACATGGGTCTCGAAAGAGTATTCAGAGGTCGAAAAAAGAGCGACTTCCTACGTCATGTCAATAAATTCGGTCGATGTCTACGTAGAATGGTACAACTCACCCCGGATGGATTGGGAATAGCCTCACCCCGTCTCGGAGCCGCGATAAGCTCTCTACAAATATATTCAGCAACCAGCCAATGAACAAAAGAAATCGATCGAGTGGGAAGATCAGCACTGACTCGGGAGTAAGAGCTGCCGCAGAAATAAAGATCGACCCGAGGGCCGTCGTCAATGGAAACACACGCATATCGACAATCAAGGATGCACTCACACAGCTGAAGATAAACGTGCAGATATTAAGACAGGGTCTATCCCGGACCTACGCTGGAACATAAGTGCTGGGACTCCACAGGCGCAGTTAGCTAGTCGTCATGGCGGAGTGGGCACTTTGCCGTCGAAGGGGGGCATGTTACATTCCTCGGTTCCAAGAAAGATATGCATGATGTTATTTTATGATATCGGCCACTTCTAAAACATTAGCAAGACGTGCTACGGACAAAAAAGGGCGGAAATAAGGCCGTTGTAGGGCCTCAGCAGGGTCCGGCTGCTTGGCTTGCAGCGCCAAGCCTGACCGAGCCCGCTGATCTTCTGCTGATAGCTGGAAGCATTGGATGAGGTCATGAAATTGTATGTCGATTAACAGGGGCTTTGTGTCAGAGAGGGGCGGTTAGATTAAAAGTAAATGAAAAAGTAAGTGCCTACCGGCTATCATTGCCCTGCTATTATGTCCACAAAAGGTCTACAAGTGGCACTACGGCAAGTCCTGGATGATGCTCCCTCACTCAGCAATGATGCCGTTCTAGAAAGGGAGAGGCCACAGTGTCGATCCAATGAATTCAATTGCACTCGCTATAGTGCACCTGAAAACCCCGCCTTAATACTCAAAGTCATCATCCACGCCTCCCTTGCTTGTAGTCTCCTTGGTGACCGCTTCTTGTTTCCGATACATCTCCGCCACAGCACGGGTGGTAGTTGCCTCATCTGGCTTCTTATCGTCGCGAGATTTGATAAACCGCGGGAAACGCAGAGACACACCCTTTCCACCACCGGTTGTTCCTTGGAATTCATCGGCAGCGGCTTGGTAGCGCGGACTGAGCGTCAGATCGGCTGTTTTTACTTCCCATACCAGTCTTGGCTCAAACCAAACATCCGGTTGGTCCTTGGGGACAGCTGAGTGAGTGTAAAATGGCTTTGGGCGGTCAATTACCAGAGGAACTAGAGTCTGGTGTAGCTCTTCAAGTAGTGCCTCAGAGAAGCCAGTGCCGATGTTACATATGGTCTCATATGTGTCGCTGCTAGGGTTGTAGGCAGCGAGAAGGAAGGCACCATAAACCGAAGTGCGTTTTCCACGACCATAGTAGGCACCGAGTACGACAAGATCAAGGGAGTCACCAACACCGGCAAGGTAATCCTTTTTGACCTGTGTGCAAGTTAGAAAGGGTTGAAGTGTGAAGAAACAGGGGCACCATACCTTCAGCCAGTTGCGACTCCGCTTGCTTGGCTCGTAGCCACTCTCTGCTGTGTCTAGCATCTTCACCATAAGACCCTCACAAGAAGCCTTAACACTCGCCTCGAGCAATTCTTGGATCTCATCAAGCACATTTGAGTTACCATATTGGGCAAATTGGAACTCCCCCTCAACCGGTTGGAAGCACTCATGCATAAGCTCTCGGCGTTCCCGTAGAGACTTCTTCACGCATGGCTGTTTGAAGGTTAGCGAGAGAAACTAGGGATGATTCAAAGCAACTTGGTGTGCCTCGTTTCTCTGTTGTTGTCCTCGACAAGATTGAAAAGAACGTCCAATCACGAAGAAGTAAAAGAGAAAAAAGAAGAAACCAAAGAATTGCTCTAGCGTAGGATTTTGAGGGACAAATTAACTTACCTCCCCATTGAAGAAAAGCAGATCAAAGGCGTACACGCAGACCTTGACCTTGACATCTTCCGCTTTGACATCCTTGCGCTTGCGAGTCATCAGTTGCTGGAATGGAAGAACCTTCTTAGCCTCCGTATCCCATGCGACAGTCTCGCAGTCAAGAACAAAGCTCTTAACGTCAGATTTGACCCACGTATCAAGCTTGCCTAGAACATCGGGATACTTCTTCGAAAGATCTTCCGAGTTGCGGGAGAAGATGGAGGAGAGTCCCTTGCTGTCCTTCTGTAACGTGTCCAAGGCTCCAGGATACTGGTGGACGGAATCTGGAGACACAAAATGTATCTGGGCTCTTTCTCCATCGTATTTGTATTCGCAAGTGAATTCCTTCCCTTCGAACCGGTCAAGGACTTCGGTGATAGATTTGGTGGGTTTGGCAAGCATAGGCTTGATGGGAATTCCAGGAGAAAGCTTGCAGACTTCAGGAAGCTTTAAGAGACCATGCTCAAGGACAGCAGGAATGATCACTTCGTAGGCCGGAAGCTCACTGTAAACAGTCTTGAAGATGTTTTCACCTTCAGCCATTTGCTCTGCGGACGGGATCTTCTTGCCGGTTGATTCAGCCTCGTGAGTCTGGACTGCTCTAGAAACAGCGACAAGAACAGTTTTCTCTGCGAGTCCCAGTCTCAGCTTACCCTCCAAAAAGCGAACTATGTATTTGGCTTCGCTGGGGCCACCTTTATCCTTGGTGACATCCACTCCTTTGCCTCCCTTTCCCGAAGTATCGGCATCGGCTGCGGCCAATAGTTTCTTGATTCCTGAAATCTTCTTGTCCTGAGATCCATGACCCTGGACCTTGGCGATTCCAAGAAGGCCTTCATGCACACCTCGAACAGTCAAAGGCTTGGGCTTGAACATGGTAGGCTGGTTTGACCGACTTTTGGCGGCGACCAGTCCCAGATCTCCGATCTCCCGTTGGTCGGCTTTGATGATGGCAAGGCTGCGGCCGGTACACTCACCAATAGCTTTCATTATCAGGGATTCTCCGATGCCCAGTTCAACCCCGGCATAATCGGCTGCCAATTTGTTGATCATCAGCTGCACAGTAGGTAGGAAATCGGCGGGGGTCAGGCGAAGAACCTGGCGAAGGAAAAGAGAACAGTGGTCCGTAATTTCTAGGCGTTTTCTGGTCATTTCCACCAGCGAAAACGTTGTGCATAAAGCAGCATATGGAACAGGTTCACCTGCTTTCCAGTCTGGGTATGGGTCTTTACCGCTGCCTTGTAATTTGGCTTGGAATTTTTCGATTGACTTCTTCGTGAGCTCCGGCTTGAGGTCATCTTCATCTTCACTTTCCAATGGGTCCTCCTCTTCTTCTACTGACGGTGACTTTTCTTCAGGAGTAACATCGGATGGGTTTTTAAGAGATGCTTTGGGCGATGGCGATTCAATCTTCAGCTTTATAGATTCGGACTTCTTCGGGGATGCCCTTCGTCGCCTCTTAGAGACAGGCTGGACATCAGAGCCATCGCTTTCTTCCGCCTCGACGCTCTTTTCCCGCTTCACACCCTTCGTTGACTCTGTTTTATTGAGGGAGGCAGTTGGTGCTGAGTTGGTGGCGTCTTCCACTGTAGCTCCGTCGGCGTTGTTCTTGGTCTCTGTATCAGCAGCCTTACAGCTTGCTACTTGTCTCGTTCCACCAAAAGCTAATGTGGTTTGCTTTTTCGGCGGTTGGTTGGCACCGGAGCCGAAAAACCTCCTGCAAGACAGATAGAAGGAATTAGCGGAATGAACAAAATAGAGCTGAGAGAGATCGGGGTGAAAGGGCGCATGCGCTGGTGAGTACTATCGACGCACCCAATCGTCTGCTGTCTATCCCGTACATACCCCAGGGTAGCCTGCTTCCTGCTCTTGTCATCGGCCATGATTCGCGATGGTGAATACGTTGTTTTGTTCAGACTAGATTTTTGCTGCGCTAAAATACTGGCAGACAAAAGGCCCGTAGATAGCTTCAAGATTGGTGTGGCCAAGAAATTGTACTGTCCTGCCGATCGTATGCAGAAGCTAGGTCTTGAGCGCGAAAGCGATATAAGCGCAAGTTCCGGAGTCCGCAAAATCCGCATAGATGTTTCTTTCGGAGTGAGATGGACACGTACTATGGCCCAGTATATATCATGTCAAGACCAAAGCCGCAATTGAAATAGCCAAGGCAACACTGGTTGTTACTCCATGTCGCAGGCAGCTGTCGAATTTCCCACGCGTTGAGACGCGCTAATGCATCACGTGTAAAGTTGTACTGCCCATTTGGGATATATTACATTCACCGCTTGATTGTGCCGGCAGATGATGACAGAGCGGTGCAATTTTGGGATGCAGTCCCGCTGTATTCGATCGCGATGGGTCCGCTAGAGGGTGTTCGCCATGGGGCTCTTGATGTTTAACTGATTTAGTACGACTCAATACCCAGCCTATTATCTTGCAACTCTGACGCTACTTGGCCTTGCTTGGCTGCAATGGAAAACCTCCGTCAGGAATCGTTCAAGCAGGTATGATATGCCTCATTCGGCTTTTCGAACGAAGAGTGCTGATCTGTGAATAGCTCCGAGCACCATGCGTCGAACTCAGCTCCGTGGGCCTCCGTTTCCGAGGAAATCAAGCTTCCGCAGCCGATGTATCCCGAGCCCTTGGGCCAGTGCACAATTGTTTGAAGGAACTTGCAGGGAATAATGCCCTCGACGAGAAGCTAGCTGAATATGCATTTTTTCCATTGTCACACATCTTCAATGAAACTCAAAGACTGCCCGCCAGATGCCTGGAGTCTGCCGTCCACTGTTTGCGGATACTGGTCGCCGATGGATGGCGGCAACGGCTGTCTCCTGCAATGGGCAAGCAACTCATAATCCTATTGACATTGATTGTGGGAGGATCTCCAAATAAGGCGGAAGAGAAGCAACTACCGAAGCCTCAGGTTTCAGAGGAACTGTCCATTGCTGGATTTGACTGCGTTGGTGCTATATTCACGGTCTTGGAAGGAGCTGTTCCTGAACGGACAATTTATCATGAAATCGGTACAGCGACGGTAGTGGATCAAACAGTATACATTTTGCTTGAGGGAATTGTTGATGATAGATCAGATGAGCTCTGCTTAGCAGCTGCTAGGGCGTTGCAAACACTTTGTGCTCGAGTCACGGACCGCGTGGTGCTTGCCAGCATCATGCCGCGAACTGTGTCGGCATTGGCCAAGGTTCTAAGGCCGTCGACACAAACTCGCAGGTCTTACAAGCTCATCCAAACTTCCTTGCAGATTCTCACACAGCTTCTAAGAGCTGTCCTCAGTGACCATGTGGCCTCGGAAGTCTCCCCACCCGAGCTGGGAAGCGACAAGATAGCTCTTGATGAAGCCTGGCTGAAAGCCACTACAACGCAGATCAAGCTTGCGCTGGCCAATGTCATCCAGGTTCGCCGTCATCAGCGACCAGAGGTTCAGTCTGCCGTCCTAGACCTCTCCCTGATGGTAATTGAAGAGTGCCAGACCACACTCTCCGAGTCTCTCCCAATAATGGTTGAAACAGTTGTTGTTCTGGCAGATAAAGAGGACGAGGGGGTGAATGAAGCCTACCGGAACGTGACTCATCTTGCCACAACATACCCTACAGTGTTGGATTCTTTAAAAGAATCGCTGCATACCTGGCTTACTTCTTTCCCTCGAATTATGCAAGGCACCGATGAAACTGCCAAGCAGTGGGGGCTACGCCAGATTTCTACCGTCTTTCAGGTTCTGTCCCAAGTTCAATCTGGATCAGATTTGCTTACCGGCGCTTTGGCATCCGGCCTGTGTGATAGCGTCGGTGCTGTTGTCAAGCAAAACACCCATGCTCTCCAGCCGTTGGCCTCAATGGATGCTGGCTTCAACTGGGAGGTTCTCAGCACTGATGCTATGTCTAAGGTGTTTCCACCCATTCTTTTGGAACACAAAAGCCAGCAACAAACCCTTAAAGATCTACGATCAATGATTGCTAGGTTGAACTTGTCTGAGTCTGGAAACGAGATTACCCGATCCATTGTCAACCGCATGCACACAACATCAAGTGATTCCGTTATTGCACCTTTCTGGTTGGCCATGACTTTCTTGCGGGACAGTGCTACAGTAATCGCCGACTTTGATGAATTCGTCTCTCTTGATTCTTTTGAGGGGTCTGTCTCGTCAACTGGCCGTGGTGGAATGATTGAAGAGTTGTATTATATCTCATTAAATATGCTGAACGAGCTGTCAGTTGAGGGACCAGATGACTGGCGTACATCAGCACTTGCTCTGGAATCAGTGGCTCTCCAAGCTCAACAACTCGGCGAGGCTTTCCGACCTGAACTGATGGACGCGCTCTACCCAACTTTACAGCTGTTGGCATCACATAACCCTAATCTTCAACGCCACGCCATGACATGTTTGAATATCTTGACCAATGCTTGCAACTACCCAGACACGAGTGCCATGATCATTGAAAACGTGGACTACTTGGTGAACTCGGTGGCCTTGAAACTGAATACATTCGACGTGTCCCCCTATCCGCCGCAGGTACTGTTTATGATGGTCAAGCTTTGTGGTGCTCAGTTGATACCTTATTTGGATGATCTGGTTGATTCTATATTTGGTATCCTAGATCTATATCACGGCTATCCCAAACTAGTTGAGATGATGTTCAAGACCCTAGCGGCAATCGTCGAGGAAGGAGCGAAGAAACCGTCTTTGCTCATAATCGACGATGGCAAAGAAAATGGCTCTCACAATGACCGCAAGTCTCAATACCAAAATCTCTCAATCTCAAGCATCGCTGCGAATATTGCCGACCGCAAAGCTAAACGGCATGCTGAGGATGAACTAGCAGATGCTGACGGCAAAATTCCCCATCCCAAAAAGCCATGGTCAGAAACATTCAATAAACCTCCTCCAGAGCCGTCCATCGATGAGCTTCTGAATCAAGCCGAATCGGACGAACCTCCACTTCCACCCCCTAAAGAACCAGAAGATGCCGAGAAGCCGCTCAGCAAAACCCATACCCTCCTCCTTCACATCGTCAAATCCATCCCGTCCCACCTTACCTCGCCATCTCCCTACCTTCGACGCTCCCTTCTCTCAATCCTCATCGATATCCTGCCCGCCCTGTCCCAAAACGAAACCAGCTTCCTCCCTCTAATAAACGAGATCTGGCCAACAGTAGCAAGCCGAATAATCTTCCCCTCATCACAAGCAAACGAAACATCCAAATCCCTCATCGCAACCCCATCCAAAGAATCAACCCACAACCCCGAAACCCCAGATCATCAAGAAGAAACATTTGTCACGGTAACAGCCTGCGAAGCCGTGGAAGCAATGTGCAAAGGCGCAGGTGATTTCATGGCCACACGCGTCGAGACCGAGTTCTCCCGCTGGGACCGGCTATACCATCGCGTGTGGGAGAAAGTGCGCGCTGATGCCGAGGCCGCGAACGAGCGCCGTGCAAGGTCCCAGGCTACGACTGTGACTTTCACTGCCGCTCAATCAGGAGATATGGCATCCACTCTACACTTAGCCATCTCTTCGTCCCTTTCACTCTCGCCGTCAACGCCCGGGTCGAGATTCTTCACCCCGCACCATCGTCTGTGGCGTGCGTTGATCTCCCTCTTTATCACGGTTCTCTCGCATGTCCAGTTACCATTAGAAGTGGGTGATAGGATTTGCGAGATCCTTGGTGACTGGATTGCGCTGTTTGTTGGGGCTGAGTATTATTTCACTACTTCGAGGACGTCAATGTCTGTGAAAAGTGTATCTGGTGAAGGTATGATTTCGGTTGAGGCTGCGATTCGGGCGATGGAGGCTTGGAATGTTGATTTGACATGGTTTGTCTTTGTACGGCATCGCTTGAGAGCAAATGTGGTTACAACAGGCAATGCTGGAAACTGTGGTGGCGCTACAAATATCCCTTTCGATGGCGAGGGGGAGCATATTGGACTGGTTGAGGTGGTGTTCTAGCGCTTGGCTTTTTATTGTTGATAGCATTGCAAGACATGAGACATGACTAGACCTTGTTGTGCTCTACTTCACTTGTTCATGTGTCCAAGTGCTACTTCATGTGGAAAAGACTCAGGAAATTGATACCACGTTGATATTCATTGTAAAGGAGTGGCGACTGGTGAGCTTAACTTGACTAAAATCAAAGTGATCGGTCCATGCAAGATGAACAGATCAGACAGTGGTCCAAAAATGCCCTTGTTCAATCTAAGAATGGACGCAGATAGCAAACAACGACGAACACATTGAAGCGTGGGCGACGTTTACCGTCTACTCGCTATCTTCTTCACTCTCCTCGTCACTCTCGGCATTCTCAAGCCACTCAATGAAGGGCTTGGCAGCCTTGTGGATCTTCTTGCTGGTCGAAATGTCGACGTACTTCTTGCTGGTCTTGGCACCCCATGCCTTGAGGGTTTCCTCGGACACAAGATCGTTCTGGTAGTAGCCCAGCAGGATTGCAGGGACCTGAGCAACAAGCTCAGGGTGATCCTGGCCAACGAAGCGCTCAGTACCGCCGAGGAAAGCCTTCTCATGGCGATCGGAGGTGATCAGCTTCTTGAGCAGACCAGCACGGCTCTCGATCTGCTTTGCGATCTTCTCGTCGAAAATGCTCTGCGCCAAAACGGCACATGTCTTGTGCTTGCTCTCGATGCCGAACTCCTTGGCCTTCATGTAGATCTCAACATCAGTGACGTTGGTGACACCACCCTTCTCAGCAGCGATGTCAACAATCCAGCTGCCCAGTTGCTCATAGGACGAGGGTCCATCAGCTCCCTCATCGTCACCATCCTCGATGACAAGGGCACGCTTGAGGTCTGAAGGGAGATCCTTGGCACGAGCCTTCACGGCCTCCTCGGAAACGTCAACAGCCCACTCATCATCCTTGATCTCGACCTCGGCCTCGATGGCCTGGGCCTGACGGGTCACCTCATCATCACTGTTAGCCTCGAGAGCAAAATCTCCATCCTCGCCATTCTCGGAGTTGTTGCTGTCGCCGGGGCTAGCTTCCTCGCCATTGGCAGCCTTCTCCTTCTCTCGCTCGCGGCGGGACTTCTTTTTCTCCTTTTTGCCACCCTTGGGGTTGTTGCGAACAATGAAGGTGCTCAGCTTAAGGCGAGGGTCAACATCGGAGCGCTGACCACAGGCCTTGCAGTCCAGGGTGATCTTCTCATCCTTGATCGATACGTCGGTCTCGGGATTCTTGCACTTCTTGCAGAGCACGAACTTGGAGATGAAGCCATCGAGGTAATCCTGGAGCTTGGGGGCGTCGTGAGAGCCGTTGATAATCCAACGGTCGTCGGATGGCTTAGCGTTGGCCTGGGCACCAAGTTCGAATCCGAAGTACTTGATGAGATACGCAGGAGGCCGACTGAGGGACTGGGCAACCGAGTTCAGGTTGACGACAACGGTCTTAATACCGTTTCCCTTTCCCTCAACCTTAGCCTGGAGCTTCTCCATCTTGTAGCGATAGAAGGGATCGGTGACATCCCGGCGAATATTGACGGTGGCCATGATGACGGTTGGATTGGGTGATTGGTTCACTAGAATAGGACAGCGGACGTGCGTAAGGGAAAGCTGGGAGGATTCTGGATGGTGATTTTGTTGACGAGACAAGACATGCGTGTCAAGTTTCTTTTATGGGGTATAGGATGTGATTTCTTCGGAAAAATTCACAAGAAATCAAGGAAAGATCCGAGGTGTTCAGCCACAGAATCTGAGGTGTATGCTACAAGGTTTCGGCGCGCGAAACGTTTGCAGCTTGAGCGGCAGGTGATGTTCGAAATTTTGGACGGAGGACGAATACATAGACAAGTTCGCGGGAAACTTCTCAACGTGTTGCTTTCTGGGTACGAGTGAAGTTCTTTGGGAAATCCGAGTCAGAGGTCGGGGACCTTTTGGCGTACGGTGAAAAGTGATAGTGGCGAAGCCGAACTAACCAGTGATGAGAAACGAATAGCGTAGAACTGAAAGTCCACGCGATAGGTAGATAAAGGCTTCGAAAATAACGATGCCTGGTAGTGTTTGTGTGTTGTTGAGGGAAAAGGAAGAAGAAAAAAAAAAGCAGAATTTGACAAATGACGGTTATGTCAGCCCGCACGTGCCGGAGGTAACTCGGAGTATAAAAGTGGCCATTGACAGCGAAATATAGTCCAAGGGATATCCTAGACATACCACGGTTCCTTTAAAGAGGCTATTCTTGAGTTTAAGTTTATTTTTGGGCTTTCAAATAAGTCCTTGACGATTTTACAGTATACCCAAGTGAGATGAATGAACTTCCCAGTGTTGAAATACATCCGGACGAGTACAGGCCGAACCTTTCAAGACCCCACCACAGCCACACAACGAGAAACGGCATTCTCCTTCAGTCACGAAGTTCGATATTTTGTGTTGTACGAGTATAGCCTACTGATCCTGTCCATAAAATCGTCGTTTCGGTTTGATTCACATTCTCAACCCGATTTTTGATCTAATACTCCGAAACTCCTCGCCTTTCTCCGGCGCAAGCCTAAGACACCACCATGCCTGTAGATCTGTCTCTCTACTTGGTCACGGATTCAACTCCGGCCATTCTCAAGGGGCGCGATTTATGTACAGTTGTAGAAAATGCTCTGCAAGGGGGTGAGTTGTGCTCTCTGGCCTTGCTGTAAATTATCCAACTGACCCCTGCTGCAGGCGTGACGGTAGTGCAATACCGGGACAAAACCAACGACACTGGTCTCCTAGTAGAAACCGCCCGGAAAATACACCAGGTAACCAAGAAATACAATGTGCCCCTTTTGATCAATGACCGGGTTGATGTGGCTCTTGCTATTGGTGCCGAGGGCGTGCATCTAGGTCAAGATGACATGAGTTCGTTTCTACAATTCCACGAAAACACGTGTGCTAATGTCGAATGTAGGCTTCGCGGAAGCAAAGAAACTTCTTCCCAAGAACTCCATTATTGGAATCAGTACATCCTCTGTCAAGGAGGCTAAAAAGGCAGCTGCAGATGGCGCTGACTATATTGGAATTGGTACCATGTTTGCCACCCCCACGTAAGTGTGCATATCCAACATCCCATCCAGCATCAGGCGCTAACCATTCAAAGCAAAACCAATACCAAGTCAGTCATTGGGACGGCAGGTACTCAAGTTATCCTGGACTCCATTAAGAATTCCGCAATAGGCACTGTTTCCATCGGTGGCATCAATCACTCCAACGTGCAAAGAGTGCTCTATCAGTCGCAGTCGCCAAAGAAAGCCCTAGATGGAGTGGCCATTGTCAGCGCCATCGTGGCAGCCGATGACCCTAAAGCATCTGCTGAGCAATTCGTCCAGCTGATCCGAAACCCTCCACGCTTTGCGCAGGCTTCCAGTCCTCCTCGCGCTAACGAAGCAGAGATCTTGTTGAATGAAGTGCCCCAAATTATCCGTAAGATGGTAGAGGTACATCCCCTCGTACATAACATGATCAACTTCGTTGTTTCAAACTTCGTGGCCAACGTTGCCCTTTCCATGTCAGTACATTATATTTCCAACCAAGCCATGTTCCATGCTAAGTATTCTACAGTGGCGCATCTCCGATCATGTCTCCATATGGTGATGAAGCCACGGATCTGTGCAAGCTTGATGGCGCCCTGTTGATCAACATGGGTACACTGACCAGCGAGAGTGTTCCAAACTACCTAAAAGCCATCAAAGCATACAATGAGCGGGGCAACCCAGTGGTCTACGACCCAGTCGGTGCGGCTGCGACACACATTCGCCGCAACACGGTGACTCAACTTATGTCCGGGGGCTACTTCGATCTCATTAAAGGAAATGAGGGCGAGATTCGCCAAGTTTGGGGTAGCTGTGCTGTCCAGCAGCGCGGTGTTGACAGTGGACCAAGTACCCTTGACGACAATCAAAAAGCCACATTGGCTCGTGACCTGGCTCGCAGGGAGAGTTCGTAACCTAGAAGTCTCTGGCCATGGTTCCTTTTTGCTAATTTCATACAGGAAATGTCGTCCTACTAACCGGAGCAACCGACTATCTCAGCGATGGCGAACGGGTCATTGCTGTTGAGAACGGCCACCCATACCTGGGCCAAGTAACCGGGGTACGCAATTTCTTCCAATTCCTTTTTCCATTACACGGCTAACGTTATTTACAGACCGGTTGTGCCATCGGAACAATCTCCGGTTGCTTCTTAGCTGCCCACCGCTCCGACAGACTTCTCGCAGTGCTGTCTGGAATTCTCATGTACGAGATCGCAGCGGAAAATGCAGCGGCAAAAGAGTATGTTCGAGGCCCAGGCAGCTTCGTTCCGGCGTTCGTCGACGAGCTTTATGCTATCCGCACAGCTGCAGCAAACGGTGACGACAGCTGGTTTGCTGGCCGGGCCAAGGTGCATGAGGTGAAGCTTTAGATGTCTAGACAGTAGACAAGTAATATGTCCACATCATTCAAACGCTTTGAATAATGTCAATTGAAAGTCCAACATAAAAATCCAAGACAGTGCACATGAAGTCTACCTAACCTAACCATCTTCCCTCGGCTTCTTCCCCGCATCTCCGACTTCCCGATTCCCCGCGTTCCTTCGCCAATTCTTCTCTTTTTCGACTTCTTCGACTTTTTTCATTCCATTAAATCTCCTCAATCGCAATAGAGAGACTGTCTCTAGCCAGTCACAATCATGACTGTCCCCGCACGCGCATCTCGAATCCGTAAGGAACCCCCAAATGTCCACGCAATCCAAGTCACTAACAATACGCCAGGCAATCCTGCACTCTTGTAAACAGAACACCCAGTATCAAAAGAATATGATGAACCTCAAGACCCGAACTTACAAACTACGTAACACAGTGTCTGCGACATCCAAGAAAAATTCCGCGCAATCTACGAGTTCCCCAAACTGTGCGAATCCCATCTCCCAAAAATTGATCGAAACCAAAAGCTTACCAACCAAACAGCATCTCAACAACAGAAAAAATGCTCCGCGCAGCCTCAAACCTCCAAATCCCCGTGTACGTGACCACTCAAAACCGCGCCAAACTCGGCAACACTGTACCAGAACTCCAACAACACCTCAACGGTCCACAAATACTCGCGGACGTAGACAAAACCCTCTTCTCGATGATAGTACCGGAAATCGAGAAGCTGCTCCCGGCCCCAGACTCAACGCCCCTCGACGTGATAATCGTTGGGATCGAAGCGCACATCTGCGTGACGCAGACGACGCTCGATCTCCTCGAGCGCGGTCATCATGTATACATTCTCGTTGACGGCGTTAGCAGTATAAACTCCGAGGAGAGGGGAATTGCGCTTGCTAGATTGAGGGATGTTGGCGCTGTTGTTACGAGTAGTGAGAGTGTGCTTTTTGAGATTCTGGGTGATGCCTCGCATGAGGCTTTCCGAGCTGTGAGTGGGCTTGTTAGGGAGACGAAGGAGAGTACGAAGGAGGCTTTGGGGGTCTTTTCGAGGATTTGATTCGATGGGACTTTGGACTTGGTTCTTGGCTTTTTCATACTAGACGACCTTGGAGAGAATGCATCATGATATCTGGCTACACCTACCACATATTTAAATGGACTGTTTGGTTTTAGTTGATTTTTGTCATCTCAAAAACGTCTGTTTTCGCGAAAAGTGGAGGATCCCGATGTCCAAGCCACACCCTTCAGCTCTACACCGGCAGATTCAGCTTCACGGTCGAGCGAAGGTGGCAGGGTCCACAGTGACAAAGGCAAACAGGCATCTGTTTCAGGGTTAAGTATTACTTCAGAGGAGTAGATATTCACCGTGTGTGAATAGGGAAGATGGACCGTTTTATGCTGAATCAAATCGATAATAGCATTGTCACACGGCAAAACATCACTCTCCCATAAGAATTGAGTGAGGCCTGTATCGTTGTAAAAAAACCTCCACCACCTCCAGATTGCGAGGTAAGCCCTTCCAGACGTTAAGCGGTTCATCCCACCCGCAGAAGAAGACATGGTAGATACGCAGAGTATGCAGGGCCGTGAACTCGCTCAGATCAATACGAGGTCCATTCCCCAGTCCTTCGTGGTCAAGCGATGGCCGATTCATTGTCAGTTCTGTCAACGTTGTTTTTTGTGATTTCAATGCGCGCACAAACGCAGCACATGTCCAACTGTTGGCTGGCTCGTCTCCGTAATGGCCATCCCATTCGCCTTGATCGGCATCGTAGTGAAGCGTTTTCAAAGCTGCCGGCCAGCTTAATACAGCGGCCAGAGCTTCCTCGTGCGCTCCACAATCAATCAACTTAAGGGATTCGACGGGCGAAGTGCCGATATGTGAGTTGTTTTCGAATTCCAATAGCTCCCACTCGCTGAACTTGGGAATCGCAAGGGTTTTAATCTTGGGGAGCCAAAAAAAATGATGGATATCGTCAATCGAGTCGTCGCATGGAATAGTTGCCGAGATGATGTGTTCTTTGAGACTCGGGTTCTTCTCAAGACTCTGGTTTAGCTGTTTCAGCGGAACCGGCTCGCCGATACGACCATATCTGCGGACAAAGATGTCACGATAGAACAGCCGCTGTAGAAGAAGACTGTTCATGCGATACGTGGCGAGCAGGAACGAATGAAGGTCTTTGACGCTCGGTGATGGATCACGCTCGATTGCGTAGCGGTAGGCATCCCTAAGTTCATAGAATAGCAGTGGGAAATGCTCAGTACCCATTTGCAGGGTAGTCAACAATGGCGAGCATCATTTCAATTGGAAGATCCAGCAGACGTGCCATTATTATTGCTCTTTCTGGATGTGGATCACTGCCAAAATTGGCAGTGATGCTCGAACGAAGACCGAGGAAGACGACGATAAATTTACCAAACAAGCTGTCTCTTGTCTCTTGTGGCTATAACCGGGGAGAACGCAAACGAAGAAATCTTGATTATCAATCTATGAGAAAGCAGGGTATTGGTGCCCTGGATCTAGTAACCAACTTCTCAGTCTACCAGCAAACAAGGGAAGATGGGATCGTGCCAATGCTGTCCTACCACTTATACTTGCACTCCAGGCTCCAGGGGCTTTGTTGATTACTCATCTTTACCAGGGTCCTGGAAAGAGCCGGATGGGTTGCTACTTGATATTGGCATTGACCTTGTAAATTGAGTAATCATAACAGTGTGTTTTTCTCATTTTTTTTTTTGATACTTGGTAGGTCCTATCCGTTGCTATCAGTTCCAGCAATACTACAAGCTAAAAAAGAAAAAGTGACCTCGTTGGCACCCTTGGAACCCAGCGCCTGATCCCCATTCTCACTTTTTCCTGATTCCTGAAGTCCCACCCTTTCCGTATCATGCCATAAAGCCAAGATCGTTTCAGATCCGGATGTAATCAAACATAAAACCCAAGCCTAGTCTATTTCATCTAGGACGAGGTGTTGTGATGGGGCGGGTTGAGCCATCCAAACGCCGATGCATCACCCACGGGATTTAGCATACCATGCTTGTCCGAAGCGGTAGTGGAGTGGTGGGCAGAATAAAGCGACAGAGACGACTTATCAGGCTGTTCAGTAATAGCATTGCCAGGAGCCGAGGCCGAAGTTGTCAAGTTCGCCTGACTAGAGGATTTTCCGGTGCGGAAGACTTTCATCTCGCGTTTATCAGTCCCCTTCTGGGTAGTTTTGGTGGATTTTTTGGCATCGCGACGCCATGGGCTGTCCCAAGAAGGCGGCTCCTCGGTTTTAGTGGACTTGGAGGTCGCTGCATTGACAGGAGTTTCAGCTGAAATGTGAGGATGAGCCTGGGGGTTCTGTGGTGTAGACTTGTGAGGATCGCGATTCTCGCTGTCAGGCAGACAAGTGGGTTGGGGCGCAGAGGCCGGCTTTTGTTGAACATTGGCAGGCCGCCCAATGACACCAACAGTTGGATTTCCGTTCGTAGGTGCTCCCAATAAGTCCCCAGAATTAGGAATACCAGGAGAAGTGCAAAGAGATTTAAACACGGAGTCATTCTCGGGACGCACAAGGGGGATAGACACGCGGTTGTGGTCGTCGTCCACCATAATCAGTTTATCTTGCGAGAACAAAATATCAGCATTGTGTGCACGCATCACATCACTTCCAATGACAATTTGAATAGAGTTATCGCAGACTTCTGTCTCGCGAACCACAAAGCGGATTGTTACAGCAGGAACTTGATGAGTAGGGGTTCCGGGTCGTGACGAAGATGAATGAATAAGTGCTTCAGGAAGATAGAGCGGAAGCTTGATGTACTGTAAATCGCACTCGCGTACAATCATGCTCTCCATCCCAAATTCGCGGATCATGGAGAGACCCAAAGTTGACACGTAAGAGCCCGAGCAAACGGCTGCATACAGGAGAGAGTCATTAGTGAAATTATCAGTCAACCAGCACCGAATGATGGACGGGACCGGTCCCAGCAAGAATAGTCCAGGAGGGGGAATCAAAGGAGGCTCAATTGGCGTGGTACCAAGCAGCCGAGTGGTGTTGAGGCGCAGGCTATTGGTGCGAGCGGAATGGTGCGAGTGACCAGACGAGCTCAAGCGTCCATCAGATTGGTGAGAAAATGTCCGCTCAAGAAGCGGGTGGGTACTCAAGCTGCTACCAGTCCGCAGAGGAAGGTCGTTGCTGGAACGGCTAGCCTGGGCGTTCCCGAGGATAGCACTTTCATCGAAACGGACACTGTTGGCTCGCGACGCACCCCGTCTAGGCTCGTCTTCGCCATCAAACCCTACCGTGGAAACAGCCATTGCGGGATGATTACCTTGATCAAATCCTTTAAATGCATCCGCGGGTGAGTGGAAAGTGGGGTCTGGAAGGGACGTTTTGGTAAGTGGCGAACTGATCCCGGAGGGCAGAGGTGGACTACCTGGAGCGATCGCCCCAACCGAGTGCGGAAGTGGCGACACAGGACACCAAGGACTCCTCAGTCGGGCATCGTCGTCCCGGCGACGCTCCAGTTGCGCGAGCCGTTGTCCTTGCTCGTACTGGGCAATGTGAAGCTCCTTCAACTCAGCGAAGACACGCCAAATATCGTCACGGGAAGCAAAGGGATAGTGCGCATCCATCGTCACTCTGGTGTGTACAATTTAAGGTAAACAAAAAAAAAAGAAAGCAGAGAAAGTGACGCAGAGTAGTTCGGATAACCCGCCCTAGGAACAGGGGCACGAAAGGCGTCACTTAAATTTGAAACCTTTTCTTCAAAATCTCCAGCCGCCTTTGATCCATGAGACGGCCCACCGGCCGTCCACCCTGTCTTTGAAGGACAAATATCCAGAGACCTGATCAGAACATCCAGCAGCGAGATTAAGGAAGGTTGACGATGGTATTGGCACGGATGACGGGAACGTGTTTCACAACTGTTGATATCTTAATCAGGAATTCTTGTTGAATCAAGGCGATTGAAAGACAACTTCAAGTTCACAGAAAGACACGACGATGTATTCGGTGACGTAGGATACGCGATGCGCCAGGCACAAGTTGAGTTGCGGGTTATTTGGCCCTCGAGGTGCCAGCGAAGTAACGTCAAATCGAGAGTAAACACAAGATTGTTATCGTGGAGACCTTGAAGTATGGTAGAGAGATGAAGGGAAATGCTTTCAGGTAACAAAACTGGCCACGGAAGGAAAGGATCATTCGTGGCCAGCGTAGTTTGGACGGAAGCCATTCTCACTAAAGGATGTGGTAGGCGGTGACGCACAGTTGGGCGGGGAATAAAAGGCGGAGAGTGAAAGGCGGAGGTAGATCACAGGCCCTACGTAGTAGGGCTAGACCTTCCTTCCACTGTGCCTCCACTATTCGACAACGTTCCAGCCACATCTCTCTCGTACTTCATCCTATAAGCACGCATTTCTGGCAATGTTTATGGGCTCCTATCTGAAATCTGACGGTTTTGCATCTACAATAAACACTCCATTGATGGTGCCAAGCTGTGATAGTTCAATTGTATTTCTGGAAGAGCGATCTGCGGGGTTTACGGTCTCCATCCGACTCGAATACATAAGAATACCAAGGCAAAGGTTCTAGCTGCGACATTGAGTAAGACATATGCCCTGCTATCTACTATTCGACGGCTGAATGTCACCAGTTTGTGTGCGACTGGCTGTCGTCGTCCTCCTTCATTTAATTTATCACTGCCCTTGTCAAAAAGTTCCTTTCATTATCACCTTAAAGCTCTTAGGCAGGTCCTCTCATAAATCCAAATTCTTCTTAGTGGCTCACTGGGTATTGATGGGAGATTTGTGGTGAACTAGCAATGCGAAGAGTAGGGGATTGTATGCTGTTGTTTGCTCTACAATGGAAACTTATATCGCATTCACCGCTAAGAGCCAATAGCACAAGTACCCAAAACTGGAGGTGTGATAGATCTCCTCGAATACCAGCTGTAGATGTGAAAGTTTATCCTTATTCGTGAATTAGGAAAGGTAGGGATCTAACTCTGCCTAGTATATGGCTATAGAGGCTCGTCATCTAGACAAGCTATGCCTTCAAATAGATTGTTTGAAGCTATGCGCCTGTACATCGATGCCTAGAGAGGACATCCCGTGTACCGTTGACCTATCTCGTAGGATCTTGTCTGCAATAATGGGGAAACAGAACTACCACGGTGAGATCACATTCGATGATCATGTTAAATAGCTCGCATGCTTTCGCCTCGCAAGAACTTCATCGCCGCCACGGGAGGTCTGCGACAATACTTTGAAGCGGAGCTGTTGACATGACGTGCATTCCCCACAGTAAAAACTTTCGATTGGGCACGCGCATTCAATCAAAAAACAACACACGTGAATAGACTATATCGTTTTAGAGACGTTGGATGGAAAGTAGTTAGATCAGCAGGCGTCGACTCCCAGTAGAAAGAGAAGGTTATACAGCGTTTGGCTGAAATTTTCGTTGGAAAGCGGATATTTAAAGTGGTGGGATCTTTCATCTCCACGGGAGATATGATGAAAGTTCAAGGTCTTGCAGACCTATCCATGCTATCCAGTGGAAGCCTACCTCATCTTTCAATTTCGCTAGGAGATTGTCAGCCCTCTCTTAAGAGACGTCCAACCTCCAACTTTCCCGACGACAAGAGTGATGATTTTCTAGTTAATGAGTGTTTTGATCTTATGGGAAACCTTGATCGGGAATTGACGTAAACTGTCTTTAGGGGAGAAGCAATATATTCCCCGCGCATAATGCGGCCGATGGCTGAGCTCTATAACGGCTCGAATGAGTTAGCTGCCATATTTCATAAGAAAGGCTATGAAGACCTTACAACCTCTATCGTCAAGGGTAGAAAGGTCAAACAACCTTTCTTCGTCCCTGGGCTTTGTAGCTCTTTTTCTAGAGATGCAGATACATCTACATCTCTTCACAGGACTCTAGCGGGACTTCACTTTTGAAGACAAGGAGTGTGAGGCCTAGAAGAGCAAGACTCTCATTTTATAGAAACATGACAACTTATTCCTTGGTTTGTTGGAACTACCAAACTGGGGGAGAGGAGCCAGTCGACATGTGGCAGCACCTGTGGGAGCCAAGTGATGTTCACTCGGGTTAAATCGGCTTCTTTCCCGTATCCACCCGCATCCATCTGCCCCACAATTCTTATCAGAGCCAATATGGATCCCGCTCCGGATTATCTTACTTCGGATTATCCTCCTTCGGATTTATCCTCATCATCGTCAGAAGACAATAAAAAGACCGCTCCAACCATGGATTCACGTCCAACTGCCAAGGAGTTGCTTGGTACGTTCAAGATTTTAGCCACTATATACAACCTCCCCTCAGTGTCTTTCCACTAACGATGTGTTGTGGTAGATCGCGTCGACTATGACATCTCACAGCTGCTGCAGCGGTTCGAGAACATCGTCGCCATCGCTGCTAACAAGTTCGACGGCACCAGTCATGTCGATGCTGCTGTAGAAGCTTTTCAAATTGATGTGGAATCCACTGCATTGGTATGTCGATTTGCGCTGCCCCAGTCTTGCCTGCCAAGCTCTCCCTTTCCCAGGAAGAGTACAATTGAGCTTCCAAATCTGCACTAAAGCGCGGGACTGACGTTCTGCTAGATCCGTGCCGCGGAGGACCTTCTCGCCCTGCACCGCCTAATGAAAGAGCTTTGGCTCTTCGGCAAGCTCGATACTCTCGGCGAAGACGAACGTGATGTCAAGCGCCGTGAAAAGCTCGAGGAGGATGTGGAGGCCATCCAGAAAGCCCTTGACGGAGGATTGTTGATGCCATCCTTGGCTGAGCCCCGGAACTCTGAGAAGTCAGAGGACACCGAGAAAGCCGAGAAGTAACGGCGGTTGCCCAAGTATCTCTGTCGAGGCACGTTCTTTGTTGACCCGTGAAGCTGTTTTGCTTGTGATACCCACTTATTTCGTCAAGTCTGGCGTTCAACCGGTGTTAGGGCGGTGTTGTGGCGCAACTAGTTTACCTATGATATTGAATTCAACCCCGATTTTTACACTTGCTTTCCTGCGTAGGTCACTGAATCAGACCAGGCCAAATAGCGCAGTGTTCTCCCTACCGAAATTGGATCGACCATGATATGATTAACCTCCTAAAGAAAATTGACACACATCAAGCCCACCTACAGCTGTACCTAGGTTTAGTGCGGGGTGATAAGCAGAGATCGTTATCGGAATTGGGCTCCCCTCGCGACGCGAACCTCCACCATTCAACATTTTCCCTCACAGCCCAAACATTACACACCCGCCGTATCTAAATTACCACGAACATCAAACTGCAATCACCTCGCAATCAAGAATGCCACCTCACAATCCGCACCCCCTCCCCTCCCTCACCCTAATCGTGGCAACGACCCCAATCCGCACCGCGTCGACAGCCACAAAAGACGAAATTACCCGCCTAGGCATCGGCCTAAATGGCACACTCCCATGGCCGCGCATAAAAACAGACATGTCATTCTTCGCTCGCGTGACATCCCGCCCACCGAGCCCCGGCACGACAAACGCGATCATCATGGGTCGCAAAACGTACGACTCAGTGCCCGCCTCGTTAAGACCACTCGCGAAGCGAATCAACGTTGTCATCACGCGTGACACATCCGGGACTGTTCGTGAGAGTGTAACTACGGAATTGGGGAGTATGAGGAGAAAGATTGCGGCCAAGGCTGCTCAGGCACAGGCTACGAGTGCGGAAAAGGAGGCTTTGGACCCGCCCAAAGAAGTTGTTCCTGCTGCGCCGGTAGGCCCGATGACGGATGCAATTGTTACGCCAAGTCTGGGCGCGGCGTTGGAGCAGTTGGACTCTGTGTATGGGGCGCAGGGTACACTTGGAAAGATCTTTGTTATTGGTGGTGCGGAGATTTATAATGCTACGTTGCATATGGATGCCGAGGAGTTGCGTGGTCGGCCTGTTAGAGTTGTCATGACGAACGTTGTGCGGAAGGGGGCCGTGGGTGCGCCGGCTTCGTTCGAATGTGATACGTTTTTCCCGCTAGATGGGCTTCATGAGAAAAATGGGTGGCGGGCTGCTAGCCCTGGAGAGGTTTCCGAGTGGGTTGGGGAGGAGGTTGATGGGGAGTGGAAGGGGGATGGGGATGTTGAAGTTCAGATGGTTGGATTTGAAAAATTGATTTAGATATGTGCAGGGTATGGTCGTCCACGTGGAAATTAGACTAGTCAGATATGTTCAAAAATTCGTCCTTGATGTGTGTTTGTCCAGATCAGAAAGAGAATATACAACAAAACTTTGCACAATGCCAACGGTGGATGAGTGTGAGCCGACAGAATAGATAGACATGAAATGAGAGAATGTGCAAGGCTATACAAACAATTGAATCAGAATGCCTTGACAACGCCGGAAAAAAAATGCAAGTGAAAAACCGTGCAATGGTTGATCATTGATCACGGCCTAGTCGCTATTCTCCCTCATGAATTTCACAAATGCTTTCTTGTGTACCAGGCCGGCATATTTTCCGTCTTGAGTAACGCAAAGGTAACGAAGACCCAGCTTGACGAAGCACTGGTAGACCAAATCGATAGAGGAGTGGACATCAAGAGCGATTGGAGCCTATGAATAAGCTAATTAGTACAGGTCAAGAGTTTATACAGAATAACCAGGCTTACAGGGTCAATGTATCGACTGAAGTCCACCTGCTCGGCATCTTCGACATCGCTGTCATAGACGGCTACGGAAGTGTCCGTAGTCATCAGACATATGGTATTTTCTTCCTCGTCGCCCAGGTTATCCAGTGCGAACTCAAGCTCCGGTGCTGGGAGTAAACCGGCTAGAACACCGTCACGTAGAATGGGAAGACCGCCGTCCAGCTCACCTGCTATGAGCAGGTCTTCTAGCTTCAAGCGGAGGGCCGTTGCTGTTACGAATGGCGATCCAGAGATGTCAATGATGCGGTTTTTCCGCACTGGGCGGACTAAGTCTCCCAGCTCGGCATCGGTGGTCGGTTGGAGTTTGCTGTCAAGGAAGGGGTAGGAGTTCATGTCGGTCAATAGGTCCTGTTTTCAATTAGCATATCGTCGGGTTTGTACTACCAGGCGGAGGGCCAGACTAACATAAATGCTGCGAGGTTCAATGGCATCTGCAGTCCACTTGGCGCAAAGCACCGATAGGGAAAACGGCAGCACGTGGTTGAGACTGCCTGTCAGCTCGAATAGAATAACAGGCAACGTTACCGACAGTCGTGTCACACCACACATGGTCGCTCCAGCGGCTACCAAGGCGTACACTCCTGGGGTCACGCACGATTCAACCCCAGAAATGGCAGAGCAAGAGTCAAATAAGAAAAAGGTTGGATGCCTGAGAGCCCAATACTGGATCAAATGTCCAACAATCCTCCCCATCAAGCCGCCGACAACCATGGATGGCACATAGATGCCCGCGGGCACCTTAATACCGAACGTAATGATGGTCAGGAAACTCTTGATCACAAACGCTACCAGAAGATAGTGGACAATTTCAAGAATGCCATCTGTGCGAGGACACAGGCCCGTGTTTTCCACATCAGATTCACAAGGAGAAGCTAGCTCAAACAGAAGTTCGGTGACAGGGAGCTTCGTGTATCGATTCCAGAAGCTCATGATGCCTGTAACTAGCGCAACAAGGAAAACTTCAAGCATTGGCCAACGCCTGATGGCTGGAATGCGACGAAATGATCGCGCCCATAGGTTCGAGGCTTTGATGAAAAGCGCACCAGCGGCGCCTCCCATAATACCGAGAAAAATGAAGATGAATATCTCGAAGATCTGCCAGTCGGAAAGGTATCGGACTTCAAATAGAACAACTTTACCAGTTCCATAGGGGTTTAGGAATTTGAGCGACAACGTAGCTGCAATGCAACAGAAGAACGTCCGGAAAAGGGTCTTGGGTGGGAAATAATAGCTCACTTCTTCCAAACTGAAGAGGACACCGCCAATCGGAGCACCAAAGGCAACAGCAACGCCACTGGCGGCACTAGCACTCAAAACCTCTCGTCGCTTTCCGTCATTTTCGTTGTATTTGGCGAACAAACGACAACAGATATTGCCCACACAGGTGGCAATATGAACATAGGGGCCTTCTTTGCCCAAGCTCAAACCAGATGACACACTAAAGATCAAGCCAATCGTCTTAATGACCAGCGTCTTCAGTCCCAAATATCCATGGAGGACAAAGCCACTATTGATCACTTTGACTTCGGCCACTCCACTTCCAGCAGCAGAGTAGTAGATCATAGCTGAACGAGACGGAAGATTAGGCAAAGTTCCATGCACTGGGCTCGTCTCCGTCACCGAAAGAGGAGAAGCCAGAGCACCGAGTCCATTTCCAGATTTAGTACCACGGGAGTCGGCGCCCAGGTTTTCATCGAGTGTGGCAAGAGAAATGGACGAAGGAACGACGGTTTTTGTAAGCAGAGTCAAAGCGCACGATATGAGCGCCAACGTCACAACGCAAAAAACAAACACGGTGAAATCAACCCACTGGGTTTCTGTACCCGATGGTGAGAAGATCATGGACCAGGGCCGCCATGCATCACAACCAGCCACACCATCACAGCAGGTCCGTCGATTACGGAAAAACCGGGTCGTGCAAAAGCCTTCCTTCAGATCAAAGACCGATCCTTCAGTGACATCGACGAAGTAAGCAATGGAAGCCGTAATGCAACCAATGAGCGCGACCAAAATCCATCCTTGCGCACCGTCGAAGGCCGCTAGCAATCGGCCTCGCACATCTTTCCGCTGGCGGAGTCGACGAAGTCGTGCTCCATCGGCTATGCTGTCATGTACCCAGTCGGTAGAAGTAAATTGATCATACCAAGTCCGTTCATCCATAAATGAAGAGGCAGCAAGATTGTCCTTCGTGGACGGAGGAACGCTGGCGGCTCTACTATTGCCATCTATACTCCCTCGCCGACTCAATCGCCTTCCGGTGGAGTTAGCACGGCTATTGTTTCGCGTTCGTCGCAGGCTGCCCGCCGCCAAAAAGTGTCTCAATGATTCCGGACCGGTGCCTGATACTCCTGAAGTGCTGGTGTAAGATCGTCGGTGGAAGTCTTGCGCAGGCCCAAGGAGGTTCGTCGTTTCTGTAATCTCCAAGGGCGCATCTAGGGACTGGTATTCGGTATGTGTTTCGGAGAGATAACTATGAGCCCGTCTGTAGTCATTCGGTGAGGGAGGAGCAGTTTGGGCATTATGTGTGTTTTCAGTGTCCTCTTGCTCGCGCAAGGCAGACGTAGACTTTGGAACGGACCGAGGCATATCGTTGAAGAGTTTTATTATGCTTCAATTACATGCAGTAGATCTGGCAGGTGTCAATTTTGGAAAGCAGTCTGGGATATGCCGAAGCAGATCCACCTTGGACGCAAGGATGGTAAACAAAGCTGCAGGGGCACAGAAACCACGGGGGGAACTTTGAACTTACCACGTAGTATCCCTCTCTTCCCAAAGCTATATTCTTTAGAATGATATCAATGGAAAACCCCCAAAAAAACCCACGAAAAAAAAAAATTTTGCGAAGACAACGGTGGGAAAAGAGGGTCTAAGTCTAACCATCTCAGATGATCGGCTCAAACGGCGGGAGTGTGCTGACCCACCAGCCACCAGGTGGGAGTCATTTGGCCCATATACATGTTTCTGACGGCGTCCTCTGTCCTAAGATGTTCACAAAGCATTTTTGCTATTTTGACTGGTTTATTTTGAGTGTGGCATTCCTCTCTGAAAAATCCCCGTATTTTTTCGACGGATCCTGAAACAAAGCGTCCAGCACCAACGGGGTGTGGAATGTGTAATCGCGTGGTGCACTCTAGTTAGGTGCAGCCTTGTTTAATGGTCATCCTGCACTCGAAAAAGCCCATGTATACTCTGCTGTCCATATGGTAGGGCAGTAGGGCATCAAAATACGGATATACCCTGTACTTGTGACACCAAGACCACTGGAAGCATCCCCTTGGGTTACTTATCTTGACTAAGATGTTTAAGAGATTTCCATCCTCCCCGGAGGAATCCTGCTAGATACTGATCTCTTGGCACTGCTTTTTAGAAAACGCCACTTTGTGAGGGGCGGTGTGACGCGATGATATCATGTTGGGCTGAACCGCGTTAGCCTCTTTCGGATGCCTGACGTGTTGAGATACATCAGCTCTGGCACCGGGTCACTTTCCAACCCTCCATAGGGCAGAGATCACCTACAACATAGAATTTCCACGTGGTTCCAGTTCTACGTGTTCTACAGGTTGTATTGATCATTTCCATCGGGTCTAGTTTGTGAATATGGGTGAAAATCTACGCTGGTCAGTGAATCGTTCATTTTTCTTTTCCCGATGTACAGTTATTACCAAGCTTTTCACTCACGGTTTCCTTCGAAAGGAAAAGGCAAATTGGAATTGGGTGAGATAGCGATAGATACAGGTCACCGCTATTATTCCTAGGAGAGTCAGAAGGACGAGGATGCTGGATGCTGTTTCTGTCGTTACATAGTGTGGGGCTCAGATCTGGCCCACGATTCACTAAAAATGATTAGTGGATAAGTTGCTGCGAGGGAGACAGATTCCGATCAGCAATGTTGTACTCTAGTTTTCAAGATCTAGTCTTACTACTCCATACGGAAGACTACGTGCATTGATTCCAGAGAAGTACAAGCGAAGATCCACCAATTTCCCTTTTGTCCGCGGAGTGCCTTCCCCCACTTCCTTTTCTGTCCACGTTGCTTATTGTTATAAGCCCCAGTCCCCAGACCTATCGATTTTAGTCCCCCAAGTAATTGACGTATCCAACTATATTCTAGCCTCACCATGGCCGCCTACGAGACCCAGGGGAATGAGGATGCCTTCAAACCTTATGACCAGTTTCTTCTCTTCGGAGACTCCATCACCCAGATGGCCTGCAACCAAGAGCGAGGGTTCGCATTTCATGCTGCACTCCAAGAATGTAAGTAGTTTTTCTGCAAATCCCTGAGATGCGCATGGCCAAGAAGTTAATCAAAATTAGCCTACAGTCGCAGATTAGATGTGATCAACCGTGGCCTGGCGTAAGACCAACCAAGGCTTTCCTAAACTGAGATCTGCTCACAAGCAACAGTGGATATACAACCGCACAGGCTGTCAAAGTCTTTGATCAATTCTTCCCTTCTCCGCAGACCGCTAATGTGCGGTTCATGGTAAGACCTCCTTATTCGCAAGCTCATTAGAAACCTTGAATGCACGCCAAAGACCATTGGACTAATATCGGATAGACTATCTTCTTCGGTGCCAATGATGCCTGCGTGCCAACCCACAATCAGCATGTGCCCTTGGATCAATATAAAGAAAACCTGAAGACGATCATTCAGCACCCAGCGACTCGTGCACAGAACCCGCAACTCATTTTAATCAGCCCACCTCCCGTCAACGAATATCAACTGGAGGAGTTTGACGCTGCAAAGGACACCCCGTTCCCCAGCAGAACCGCCAGCTTCACCAAGTTATATGCAGAGGCTGCATGCGAAGTCGGTGCATCACTCAATATCCCCGTGGTAGATTTGTGGTCTGCCTTCATGAAGCCCACTGGCTGGCAGGAGGGAGAACCTCTAATTGGGGCTCGTGATGTGCCGAGCAATGACACCTTGGCTAGTCTTCTCACTGATGGTGTGTGGAAATGGCCACAGTCCCCTTCCCTCTTCTTGAACTTACTCATCGTACAGGTCTGCATCTTACTCCTGCCGGTAACCGCATCGTCTATGATGAACTTATGAAGGTCATCCAGGCCAACTGGCCAGATCAGACCCCGGAGACTCTTCCAATGGTATTTCCCTCTTGGGTTGACGCACCGAAATGAGTTGCGTATACCATAGAGTGCTTTCGTATCATCGATAGAAGAAACTAGTAGGCTTCGGGCTATATTCACTTCAATTCCCTAGGCAAATCGTTCTGGTCAATAGCTAGGCTTCTGTCGAGAAGATGTAGTCTGAAAAGTCTAAGCCTCCGCAGACTGATCCACAGGTCGTACCTAGGGCAAGGGTGAGATACACAGCCATGCTGGGGGCTTGCACATCCGGGCGGGACCGAACCACTTCGGGGCTCACCCGCTCAACTAAGCTTGTTGACAAGTTGGAATCTGGGCCTCATGTTCCTCTCTGGGGCCTTGACATCCCAGCACTCGAAAATCTAGTAGTACGCTTCTGTCCTTGAAACCGATTCTACAGGTTTCGACCCAGTTGAGAATTTGGTACCCTGCATTTTCGGTAGCAGTGCGTTCTCTACCACGAATCCTTGACAAGCCCATTCACCTTCATGCCCCATCAGATAATCCGCAAGATTTCATTCTCAATGGGTGGCTCACAATGCCTGGACTTTTCGTGTGAAAGGATCCGTATGTCGCGCTCCAACACATATCTCAAGAAGCCCGACCTCCAAGGGGGGTTCTACATCTACCAATGCACCTACAAGGACCACACAGCATGCACTAAAATACTCCAGCCAATCCAGAAAAAGGGCCTACAAACGATCGGGTTGGAGTTCTGGGGCGAAGAAACCGCCCTGTTACAGAGCCATCAACTCGTGGACCATGATGATGCGAAGAAGTTCGATGGCGCGACCTCGCGCAAGGTGCACGATGACTTCAAGGAGTGAGTAGCCTAGTAGCTGCCGCAAGTGATTAACACGTCTGAAACGTTACAGAGACTGAGAAAGGACTGTGAGGATGATTCCATCTCCGGTCCAGAAGACCCTCTCGGAGCACGGCTTACCGTTGCCTTGTTCGTGGATGAGACCTGCTTGGGGCCGCTAGACCATATTAATGACCCAGTTGGAAAGATCTTTCACAGGCAATAAGAGGAACCTAACTCTGGAAGAGAAGAAGTACGAGATTTACCCCGAATGGCATGATGGAGAGACGGAGGATGGAGAAGAAGAGGTAGGATGGTTGTGTATGTCTGTGTGTGAGTTGGCGGACGTAGAACATGTCTGAATGGGGCCACAAGGGTGTTTGGCTTGACCTCTATCTTCGGCCGCCTCTGATGCTGGATATTCATTGGAATAAGGAAAGCCAGCCGGTTCTGGCGAGCTAGTTTATAGACCTCCAACCTCCTGCGCAGTTGTGTCAAATGAGACCGAAATGAGTTTGGCTGGAGTGGGTTCTTGTGTCTATTTTGTGATCTCAAACACCAAAATAATCATGTAATGCCACAACTCCCTTTCCCTACTCCGTATTCTCCTTCAATTTCAGCCCTCGATCCTGACCAAGGGCTGAGGTAGGTAAATGCAAGGAGACCCACTTCTCGGCTGAGGTGTTCTAAAGTGTACCTAATACAGTGCTTTTAAGCCAAATGTTGTACTCCATTACTCCATTTATGGAATCTACTACTAGTGGTAGCTTTCATTGTCTTCGCACCCGACCAGTTCGAGTACAGACCATATGCTGCTTTACAACACAACTCCGCTTTGCATATTCCAGCATTGACAACATGTGTGCAAATTTTGTTGTAGAAGAGGTAGCGTTGAAACTGCTGTTGATGGTGATTTTGCTAGAAGCATTGCTTTGGGGTAGAATCCCTGAAGGTTTATAATGCGCTTTTGATGCAATGTTAGAAAAATAACCGAATATAATACCCATTCGCTAAGCTGAAATACCCTTTGGTCTGACATCCCGATACTCAAGTCCCTCAAAGATTCTACCGCACGTATTTGCCCTAAAGGCATGGTCAGCGAATGTATGCAGTCATAGCGGATACAGATACACACCATAAAGCGCTTGTGGAAATCAGAACGGAGAAGATCCTGGAAACGAGTCAGTTTAACGTCACAAAACCAAACCCAAGGAAAGTAAGCATACGTTGACAAATTCCTTGCCATCTCTGTTCTCTGTTCCCCGAGCCTGGTTCTTGAATACAACGTCGTCGTCCCAGCGCCGTTTCATGTTGAAATCCTGGGGGTTGAGCAGAGGGTTACCGCGCGCGATGTCAACTTCTCGCTGCTCTTCTTCCTCGGCTGCTCGTTCACGCTCCTGTGATACATCAGCCACCATCAAATTCAGGGTGCAAGAAAGCAAGATACCTCTTTTTCCTTTTGCTCCAATCGTTCTTTTTTGATCTTCTCAAGCTCCCGCATTAACTCGGCTGCTTCATCTTCGTCGTCGCTACAATTTGTCAGTTTATACCTCCTGAGCACGAGATCCTGGGTTTAACCAACCTATCCTCGTCACTGCTGTCTTCTTCTGACGCGTCTGAATCGGCATCTATGTCGCGCGTCTCCTCCAATATGCGTCGGCGTTTGGCTTCTGGGTCTTCTTCCTGGATGTCGCCATCGCCTCCATCTTCGGGCGCAGCTTCAAGTTGTCGCTTGGGAACTGAGGATTCAGCAATGGCTGGCTGGTCGACCGGAATACCATTTTTCTTGGCAAAGTGTGCTGCCTCAGCCTTGAGAAGCTCTGCGCGAAGGTCGCGGGGCGAGGGGTCGGCGTCGGCTGCGCCGCCTTGTCCGGGTTGGCTAGAACAAGGTCAGCAATCCTTACGATCTGGGCAAGTGTTGTTCTACATACCGAACTTTCAGGTGCTTGTGCGCAGGGAGCAGTCGCTGGTGGTAGGCCGGGCCACGGAGGGCTTCTTTGCCTTGCGCCTGTTGAAATTAGTCAGTGTCCATGAAGAGTCGTGTTAGAAAGTTGTCGTACCGGGTCAAAAGTAGGTCTGTGGGCTAAAGAAATGTTAGCTATGGCCTTTCAAGTCACCGAATTTAGTTTCTGGTGGCATACCTGTAGTCATTTGGTGGTGTGGTTGCTAAATTTATGTTGGAAGTCCCGGGACGTATCAATGATGGCTTCCAGCTTTCAACATATGCAGTCGCCTCAGGCACAAACAATTTCCTTTTCTTCCCCTCACCGCCCCACAGAGATTCCGCTGTTACTGGCGCAACGCTCGGAATAATAATACTCCGAATCGCTACAATGCGGCCTGCACGGGCAAAATGGCCCAAAAAAGAAAGCAACTCTGATCCCCGCGCCGGGGCTGCTAGACCTCCCTCAACGATGTCGAAAGAAGCGCAACTGTCAATCGCAGAGCGTGAATTTATTCTCGAGGCGCTCCGTGAGAATGTGCGTCTCGATGGTCGCCAGCCTGACGACTATCGTCCTCTGAACATCTCCTTTGGTGAAGAATATGGACATGTGAAGCTGCAGCTTGGGAAGACGAAGTGAGCTCCAGATCTTTTGTTCGTCTACCACAAATTACAACCACTGACTGGTTCTCTAGCCTTATTGTTCGCATTTCTGCTGAGGTTACTAAGCCGCGTGAAGATCGACCCTTCGACGGTCTCTTCAACATCAACCTGGAGCTGAGTGCAATGGGTTCACCGGCCTGGGAAAACGGACGGTATACACCACCTTTTGTTCTGTTGTACACTGAGTTGTTCTAACAATTGCTTCTGTAGAACCAATGACATCGAGGCATACGCCACTAACGCCCTTGACCGTATCATCCGTCATTCCAACGCCCTCGATACTGAATCTTTGTGCATTCTAAAGGGCGTGAGCTGCTGGTCGATCCGGGCCGACATTCACATTATCGATTACGATGGAAACATTACCGATGCGGCCTGCATTGCGATCATGGCTGGACTGCAACACTTCCGCCGGCCGGATGCCGTGGTGAGAGATGGCCGTGTCATAGTCTACGGCGTGGAGCAGCGTGTACCCGTCGCACTTAACATCACGCACAAGCCTCTCTCAGTCACATTCCACACCTTCAATGAAAGCAAACATGTCATTGTTGATGCCACCCTCAAGGAGGAACAGGCTGCTGAGGGAGATCTTGTTATTGGCATTAACAGTGCAGGTGATGTCTGCTACCTCTCAAAGTACGCTGGTGCACCGGCCGATGCTATGGTAATTGTGAACAAGACAAATGTGGCATGGGAAAAAGTCAAAGAGATCAATGCTGCTGTTGAGAAGGTTCTACAGGCCGACCTGGCTAAGCGGGCGAAGATTGGCATGGCCGATGAATCTCGGGCAGAAAATGACCGGCCGGTTCAAATCGAATAAACAGCATGTACTACCACTACTTTCATGATTGGGGGACTGGAGTTTCGCATGGCGTTTACATCAATGATACTTGACTACCATATGATAGGCAACATATCGGTGCGGGCTAGTAGATGAATGCACTAAACCACTCTTCCTAAATTGTAAAATGTGGACTGGGTGCTTGAGGCTTCACACAAAATGCTTAAATGCCTAAATCAATCTTTCTTTTCTCCATTCAACACATCTGACTATTCAAAGTGGAACCAACATCAGTTGGTACACTAGATATGTATGTGGTAATCCATCCTTCACGCAGACCAAAGCCGTTAAACATATAACCGACTGCCAAGATGCCCTCTGTTCTTCGCTCAATTCAATGTAAACTTAGCCAACCAATGAAGAGAAGGTATATTTCGACAATAGGACAGAAATTAGGATCTTTCAAAATTATTTCTATCACTCCAACAATAATAATAATAATCAGAGTAGGATTTCAAAGATTTAATTTCTTTGATTGTTGTGAAGCGCTTTACCGCCTATCCGCGCATCAAATCAACATAGCTGCCTTCGCCCGCTAAACCTGTGGACTTCATTCTCACTTTACTCCCACATTTTTCCAGTCCAAGTCCCGTCAAATCCGTCACTTGTTCGCCATACCTCGTTTCCCCTCCTCCCTGCTTCCAACACATATAGCAGCGTCCTTGCTGTTGACGTGGCCTTGCGATTAATGCCTCAGGGGCATTGTTATTGCACTACAACAGTGAGGCTGTCAGCTTCCCCGCGGCATCATGGCCAGCGGTAGGCCTCCTGGGTCCCATCCAGCCGCTGGCCGTGATGACGACCTGCTGCTGGACTCTGGGCCTATGTATAACAGCGGTCAAGGACCCCCCGTGAACGACGAACATTTATTAGAACGCTACAACATTGACGACTCCGAACAACCGTACACCGAAACACAACCGCGCCCTTCCGTCTCTTACGATAACTTTGTCGGATCTAGCGCGCAGCAGGGCGCAACGCAGTACAATGCTGCTTCTGGACCGGCGCATCCGCCTGTCAACCCTGGTCTGCATTCAAATGACCCTTACTCCAACGGCACGCGAGATCGAGCTTACTCCCAGTCCTCCGAACTGGACAACTATCGGCGGTACTCCTTAGATGACTTCGACGATGGGCATTCGGGTTATTATGATCTTGATGCGGACGAAGACCGAATTGCCAGTTCACACCATGTCCGCAAGGCAAATGAGCGCAACAGTGTCCTTGGACTCGGGGGTGGATTGATGGGCAAGGCGAAATACATGTTTGGCATGGGGTCATCGCAATACTCGGAAATGGATCTTCCATTGACGGAGTCAGGCGCAAGAAGGGCGACGATCGGTAGCGATGCTTCTCCGGCGCAGCCACCGAAGCAACCCAAGAAGTTCAGCGCATCCGACCTTAACATATTTGCGCGTAAGGTTGATCCCTCAACACTGGGCCCGCGTCTGATTCAGCTTAACAATCCGCCCGCCAATGCCATTCACAGGTTCGTCAGCAACTATGTATCGACGGCCAAGTACAACATCTTTACCTTCATTCCCAAATTCCTATTTGAGCAATTCTCTAAATACGCCAACCTGTTCTTCTTGTTTACAGCTGTCCTACAACAGATCCCACATGTGTCGCCAACGAATAAGTTCACAACTATCGTTCCGTTGGCTATTGTTTTGACTGTCTCGGCGATCAAAGAATTGGTAGAGGACTACAAACGGAGAATGTCGGACAGAGGACTGAATTACTCAAAAACCCAAGTTCTTAAAGGTTCTTCGTTTTACGATGCGAAATGGGTTGATGTTGTGGTCGGGGATATAGTTCGAGTGGAGTCCGAGCAGCCTTTTCCAGCCGACTTGGTACTACTGGCCTCGTCCGAGCCCGAAGGTCTATGCTACATTGAGACGGCAAACTTGGACGGCGAGACAAATCTCAAAATCAAGCAGGCGATTCCGGAGACTGCGCATTTGGTTAGCCCCAGTGATCTGAGTCGTCTGAGTGGACGCGTTCGATCAGAACAGCCAAATAGCAGTCTGTATACTTACGAAGCCACCTTGACTATGAATGCTGGAGGTGGCGAGAAAGAGTTGCCCTTGGCTCCGGATCAACTCCTACTTCGTGGTGCAACGCTGCGCAACACTCCCTGGATTCATGGTATTGTGGTTTTTAGTGGCCATGAGACAAAACTGATGCGAAATGCAACAGCAACCCCAATCAAGCGAACTGCCGTGGAAAGAACAGTCAACATTCAGATTTTGATGCTCGTCAGCATTCTTGTTGCATTGAGTGTCATCAGTTCTGTCGGCGATCTTGCCATTCGGAAAACCAAATCCTCAACACTTGCATACCTCAACTATGGGTCGGTCAAAATGGTGAAGCAGTTCTTCATGGATATTTTCACGTACTGGGTGCTGTATTCGAACTTGGTTCCGATTTCTCTCTTCGTCACTATCGAAATCGTCAAATACTTCCAGGCCTTCCTCATAAACTCTGACCTCGACATTTACTACGACAAAACCGATACCCCAGCCATCTGCCGCACATCATCTCTTGTCGAGGAGCTTGGTCAAATTGAGTACATCTTTTCCGACAAAACAGGTACCCTTACCTGCAACATGATGGAGTTCAAGCAAGTGAGCATTGCTGGTGTCCAATATGGCGATGATGTTCCTGAAGATCGACGTGCAACCGTGGAGGATGGCGCTGAAGTTGGGATCCATGACTTCAAAACACTCAGAGCGAACCTTCAATCTCACCCGAGCCAGAACGCTATTCGCGAATTTCTGACTCTTCTTGCCACCTGTCACACTGTTATCCCCGAGCGAAACAGCAACAACCCAAATGTGATCAAGTACCAAGCAGCATCACCGGACGAGGGAGCCTTGGTAGACGGGGCCGCCTCTCTGGGTTTCCGATTCACCAATCGAAGGCCGAGATCGGTAATTTTTGAGACTGGAGGGCAGGAGCTTGAATACGAACTGCTAGCAGTTTGCGAGTTTAACTCCACTAGAAAAAGAATGTCCACTATCTTCCGGTGTCCTGATGGAAAGGTCCGTGTCTATTGTAAGGGTGCTGACACGGTCATTCTGGAGCGGTTGCATCCCGATAACCCTACCGTGGAACCAACTCTCCAGCACCTGGAGGAGTATGCCTCGGATGGTCTCCGGACGTTGTGTCTGGCTATGAGGGAAGTCCCAGAAAACGAATTCCAGCAGTGGTACCAAATCTTTGACAAGGCTTCGACCACCGTTGACGGCAATCGTGCGGATGAACTGGACAAAGCGGCCGAGCTGATTGAAAAGGACTTCTATCTTCTTGGTGCCACGGCGATTGAGGATCGCTTGCAGGATGGTGTTCCGGATACTATCCACACTCTCCAGACTGCCGGCATCAAGATTTGGGTCCTGACCGGTGACCGACAGGAGACTGCTATCAACATCGGCATGTCCTGCAAACTGATCTCGGAAGACATGACGCTCCTAATCGTCAACGAGGAGTCCTCAGAAGCCACCCGTGCTAGCTTGCAAAAGAAAATGGATGCCGTGCAGAGCCAAAATGCCTCTGGGGACTCTGAACCTTTGGCCTTGGTAATTGACGGGCGATCGTTGACTTTCGCTTTGGAGAAAAATATGGAGAGGCTGTTCTTGGATCTGGCTGTCATTTGCAAAGCCGTTGTTTGTTGGTAAGTGTGCCATTGAAATTTGGAGGATTGGAAGTTCTTCTAACATGTTCTATAGTCGAGTCTCTCCCCTTCAAAAGGCATTGGTCGTCAAGCTTGTCAAGCGCCACAAGAAGGCTCTCCTCTTGGCTATTGGCGACGGTGCTAATGATGTCTCCATGATCCAAGCCGCTCATGTCGGAGTCGGCATCAGCGGCGTTGAAGGTCTTCAAGCTGCACGATCCGCTGATGTCGCAATTGGCCAGTTCAGATTCCTTCGAAAGTTGCTTTTGGTTCACGGCGCGTGGAGCTATTCTCGTGTCAGTCGTGTCATTCTGTACTCATACTATAAGAACATTACGCTGTATATGACTCAATTCTGGGTAAGTTTAACCTCATTGAATTATTTCGAAGTGGCATCTGACTTGTTGCAGTACTCTTTCCAAAACGCATTCTCTGGAGAGGTTATCTACGAATCTTGGACTCTCTCCTTCTACAACGTGCTCTTCACTGTCCTACCTCCATTTGCGATGGGCATCTTTGACCAATACATCTCCGCCCGATTGCTGGACCGTTACCCACAGATGTACCAATTAGGCCAGAAAGGCGTCTTTTTTAAGAAGCATAGCTTTTGGGCCTGGATTTTGAACGGATTTTTCCACTCTCTCATCCTCTACATCGTCTCTCAGTTGCTCTTCTACTGGGATCTTCCTATGTCCGACGGCTATGTCGCCGGCCACTGGGTCTGGGGTGAAGCTCTGTACACCTCCGTGTTAGGCACCGTCCTCGGCAAGGCCGCTCTGATCACCAACATCTGGACCAAGTACACCTTTATTGCTATCCCAGGATCAATGGCGTTGTGGCTCATGTTTCTCCCGGCGTACGGTTACGCTGCCCCGGCTTTGGGATTCTCACGAGAGTACTACGGCACCATCCCCGTTCTTTTTAAGTCTCCCATCTTCTACCTGATGGCCATCGTCTTACCCTGTATATGCCTCCTACGTGATTATGCCTGGAAGTACGCCAAGCGCATGTACTACCCCCAACAATACCACCACGTCCAGGAAATCCAGAAATACAATGTCCAGGACTACCGTCCACGCATGGAACAGTTCCAAAAAGCCATTCGGAAGGTCCGCCAAGTTCAGCGTATGCGAAAACAGCGTGGCTACGCCTTCTCACAGGCCGACGATGGCGGTCAGATGCGTGTTCTCAACGCTTACGATACTACCCGGAGTCGTGGACGGTATGGCGAGATGGCTAGCTCTAGACCTATGGCGTGATGATTGATTCGCCGTAGGTTGATTATGCATTGTGCACTGGCAGTGGCGGTGGGTCGTTTTCTTCTTTTTATTTTTTCGTATGCATCCATGCCAAAGATTGATGGACTTGTATCTTTGTGTACCTTATGCTCTTCTCCTTTTCTCTGGGTCCTTGTAGCCGTGCAATTGGTGTGGAGGTCACGACATTTTACCCTTTTTTCCTGTTTGTCTGATGTGGCTATAGCTGGTTTTGCGAAACTTGAACATGACATGATTCAGTGATCTTCCGTTGCTATTCCATTTAATAACTATAGACAACGTGTGTAGACGTGGCAGCTGGTATGCTGGTACATCTGCATCCAAGTTTTGGCCGGGTTGGGTGACTCGAAGTTTTATACGTCAGTGTTGTCACCCGGAGGATTGGAGACTGCGGAGCATTTGGATGTACTTCCTCTTTTATGAACCAATTTGAAACAGTATCCGAGAGAGTGCTTGATACACATTTAACAGCACAGATCGCCAACATGGATCATTTTATACCCGAGCACGATTTTAGGCAATCCGTGTGTCCCGCCCTGGACCACACATCATCTCTTCCAGATCCTGATCACTTGCTATCTCGAGCATCGTTCTTCTGGTGGTCTCCATCCTACCCCCAGTCCCTCCATGACAAGCTTCTCCCTCTCCTCCCACGTCTCTCCATCATGTTCCAGATCAATCTGCCTTCCAGTACTTCGATCTCGCACACCACTCGAATCGAACTTCAACGAGCGCGCTTTCTTCGCATACCGCCGTAAATCTCGTTGAAAAGTCAAGTCACCAGACCAGCCAAGCACAGCACAACCGATCGTACGCCAAGGCGATATGATAATATCCACACGACGATGGATATTTGGATTTCCCCCCTGATGTCCATCATGTCCAGGTATTGTAGGATCAAAGTGCGGATCTTGCCAAACAACCAAAGCCTTATCCAAGGTATCAAACTTTCTCGTATCATCACCATCAAAAGGCAACGTCTGCTGCTCACGCAGCGAAGAAGTCAAATGCAAAGAGAGCGTGTGCGTAATACACCGTTCCGCCTCAAGACTCGCAACAACATCAACAACCAGGTTCCGAGTCACCGCGTCATCACGATGAGACAATACAACGTCAACATCACCACTGAGTCCCTTTCCACGACGGTATCCGCCAACAATCACACACTCAATTCCACATCCACCTCCGGCTTCCGGCCGGACCCGACCAGCATGATCCCGGATTACAGTGGCAATTCCTTCGCTCTCAGCACGGGGAACACCCTGCTGGAACTCCTCGTAAAATTTCACTCCAATCTGCTGCACGCGTGAGAGTGTAGACCACCCATGCTCGACAATATCATCGAGGTCGCGCCAGCCGCGCTGGTAGAACTCGCGTGCGGTCTTTGCTCCAACGCCCCAGATCTGATAGAACGAGTTCAGAACACAGAGCGCGGGATCTGTCTCCAGTGCATCGGCAGTGGCAACGTTCCCATCGTCATCGGTATGGTTGCAACCACCGTGCTGCTGGAACTGAGAAAACAACTCGGCGATTTTGGCGTTGCACCCTGGTAAAGCGAGGATCTCGCTCGGTCGCTGAATGGGATGGGGATATGCTGCCAATGATGCGATGGAGGTGCTGTACGCGCGCACACCGATCTCGTCGAGGGTGAGTTTGCGGATTTGCCTGATTTTCACGAGTTGCGAGATGAAGTCTTCGTTTGGAGAGTGCAGGGGTGCTGAGCGTAGGCAGGCAAATACGACTTGGTCGCGGACCCAGTCCGGCTGTGGGTGTGCATCCGTTTCCTCTTCTTCATATTCTGAGGTCGTTTGTCGATATAGGGATGGCCGGGGGCGCTGGGAAGATCCACCGGGGGGTTCTTTTGAGCGTCGTGCGTAGATGTGGTCTGGAGGAGGGGCTCTTGGTGTTGGTAAACTTGCATCGTGATTTACACGCTGGATGATTTGATTTGATTTTTGGAGTAGGTCTTGCTTGTTTTCTGCCTTTGTTGTGGGAGGCGGAGGTGGGATCTTTCGCCCAAGGTAGACGACGAAGGGGTCTTGGGACACACATTTGCCGGATTTGATAGAGGTATTCATCCACTCGAGCTTCAGCACTGTGACGAAATTTTGAAGCTCCTGGCCCTTTTTCTCCGAAATTAGGTGATTTGAAGGGTCATGTCGATGCGTAACTCTATCCTCGCCCTCAGACTCAGTACTAAGATCGATAATTTCGACCGGGAAATCCTTGGTCTCATCGTACTGATTCCTGCGCCTGCGCTTGGGAGGAGGTCCGATACCATCACCAGCTGATTTCGAAGCTGAGCTGGGTATGAGTTCCTCTGTCCAAACACCGCGGGTGCGCAGTTCGAGTGCTGCACGCTTCGCGCGCCCGACTTTCCCCAGAACGAGGCCAGCTTCAACGATGTCGTAGGTCAGTCTTCCACCATGATCTATCAATCGGCCTTCAATCTCATCCAGTTCCTCTAGGGAGAGATGTACTGGCAAAATGAAGATGGGTGGCTGTGATGAGAAGATAGTGACATGTTCCGTCTTGTCTTTTGACAAGGAGCTCTGACCTGCGATCATGTTTGCTAGTAGCTCCAGAGAAATGATTGTTGGACAGATCTAAAATCTACAATCATCACATACGTGAGAATAGTGGTGTTTCAAGGAGCATGCTCATTCTCCGCTGGCGTTGATGGTTTGGACACACACCTGTTCCACGGTAAGCAAGTGAAAAAAACGCCTTGAAGTTTAATGCTGTGGCACTTTCGTCTCAACCCTTTTTTGCATTTAGTTGAAGTTGTGCCAGGACGACCATTTGGAATCACGACATTTCGGGAGACATCTGGAATTGACGTCATAAGTGACACCCGAGGCACCCAAGTTTACCGAATCTACAAGATGTTATTTCTATATCGGTTTCGTACACAGTAGGTGGGTACATAGCACCCTGATATATTTAAGTAATCATGAAGAAATTAGAAGATGACCATGAAAGTTCCTTGTTGATTTGTTTTCTATGAAGGGCCTGCGAGAACAAGACTGCTATGGAGGTCTGTCTGAGACAGGGATTTTTCTTCTTCTTCTTTTGTGAACATGCCCCCATAAGCTAGGAACCATGGGGAAAAGAGGTTTCTCAAATATAGAAAAGCAACCCTCACGTTTAACCCTGCTGCGCAGATGTATGAATCCTGGGAAGTCCAATTGAGTGTGTGTCCTGCAATACCAGCTGAGCCTGCAGTGAATATGTGTAGATGTCGTTTTTGGTCTTTGGATTGAGACATTGATCCTGGGCGAGCCGAGTCACTGAGCTTCAGGACAAAGAAGGATGGTTTTTGAATTGCGCTTCTTGTTGTTTGAAGTGGTGTTTGGATCGAGATATTCATCGACAGTTTGATAGCCTTGTGACTGGGAGTGGACGGAGCAAATGACGCAGTGATATTTCTTGACACGGGATATGAGATAGACACCGGTAAGAAGCAGTTTGACCAAGAAGGTTGATGAAGCCATTTGGTTGCAGGCTCGAGCGCGAGGATTGACGTGAGGGCCGATAAAGAACATGGCATTGGAGGGAGGTGGTGTGATTGAAGAGGGAACATGAGGGGCAAAAAGAGGTGTTCGACCATAATTAAATCGTGTTCGTGGCAGCTGGCGAGAAGCTGCTGTCGTCCGAGTCGCTTTGCGAAGCCACGCCCGGTTGTTGGTTTGCCTCGAGGCAACTCATAGTGGGTGGCATTTAAACTACCGGCCGGAGTGCTTCCACTGCAAGCCTGTCGACACGTGTTTGTGACAGTTGACGAGAAGCTGCTGTCGCCCGAGTCGCTTTGCGAAGCCACGCCCGGTTGTTGATTTGCCTCGAGGCAACTCATGGTGGGTAGCATTTAAACTACCGGCCGGAGTGCTTCCACCAT